CCCGGAGGCTTCGTTTGGGAAGTCCAGGGAGCCATGAGCAAGTTGCAACTCGGCTGCTGTTTCTCAGGGAAATGAGAATTGGAAAGGCCCCAAGAAGAATCATCCAGCTGGCGGTTTCCTTTAAGGGGGCCGAAGCCTGGGTTTATTCCCAAAACCCGGAACGGGATATTGGGTACTGAGCACCAGCAAGGAATTCACCGTTTCGGTGTGCGCAGACCCATTGGGTTGTAAACTAGGCCAACTCGCAGCAAGACAGCCTCTTGAGTGCTCCGCGGATGTACAGTGATTTATGTTCCAGAAATGGGCAAGATTAACCCACCCCTAGTTACTCAGTTTCTCATAAGCAGTAGTCCCATCATGCGGTCCTGCGCTGCCGAAGATATCCCAAAAGCTGTCCTCGAGGCTTTGGGGGGGTTGTGCCTTTGGGGTGAGGCGTGGACGCGTGGCAGTGCGTCATTCATGAAAGGTCAGCTGTGCCATTCCCAGATGTTTGTCAACCCCTTCTCAAGTCAGTGTCTTGCTATCGAGGTCTAGGCAGAGGAACATGACTGGATCTCCCAGACAGGCAGGAGAACGAGCAGGTCAGGCAAAGTCTGTGACCCGGCAAGGTCAAGAATGCCAGAGGCGTGACGGTTTCAAAGTTCAGATGGGTTACTATCTCGTATTCCCTGGAAGCCGGCTGTTGGCCACCAAGGTGCACGCTTCTGGATGGGGACAAGATCAGGACAGCGTCAAGACCGCGTTGCTCCCCACGAAACGTTTACGCGGCTCTAGGCGATGATTCTGTAGCTTTGAATTGTGAGGTCGACCTCACAATCGGCGGTGTGTTTGTGCATCGCTGTTCATTTAAATATGAGCACATGTGCTTGTGTGGTATTTCGGTTTTGTGGGCACGTGAAGTGTGATGGGTGCCTGGAGTGTGTCGGCGAGTGTGGTTGGGTGCTTAGTGTATTGGGTAGTCTTGAGTGTGTGCGTGCGTGCGTGTGCGTTAGCGTTGCGTGTGCGTGCCTGTCTGCCTTTTCGCATGTCGAGTTTGCTGATATGATGTTGGCTTTATGGCTGCTATGTTTGTATGAGTGTACACGGCGTATTGTGGGTTGGGCATGCGCATGTTGAAAGTGTTGGGTGGTGTGACTATGGCGTGCGAGTGTGTGTGTGTGTGTTGCTTGTGTTGGGGCGTTGTGCTGGGCTGTATGTTTGTCATTGTGTACTCGGTGTACATGTGCGTGTGCTGTTTGATTGCTCTCGCGCTTGTTGCATTGCTGCTTGGCTCTGCTTTTGCCTGCTTGCATTTTTGTGTTTACTTCGTGTGGGCGTGTAGTGTGTGCCACTGTCTTTGCGCTTGTGTGCGTGCCTGATGCAGGAGGGAGGCCCGCGACGAGTCCGGATCAGAGGCAAGTTCCTCTACAGGTGCAGGTTACAACATGTTTTCCTCGCCCGTGCTGTGTGTGCCGAAAGCGCAATGAATGGAGTGCGACATCCATGTGTAGCCTTGGCTACTTTTGTTGTAGCAGAGGTTGGAGTCAGTTGAATCATCAGTGGCTGATTCAGTGGACCAACGAAATCGAATGATATTCCACAAACGGTTGCAACTGTGAGTGGTTAGACCCGGATGGTGAGTGAAGTGAACACAAGCTGATCAAGTGCTTGCGACGGCTTGGGCTCCGCGGCCCCCCGGTACCTCCGGCAACCTCCAGCCGGGAATCGCCTCTAACCTCTGCAGGTGAGCAAGTTCCAGCTGCATTTGCAGGAAGACCTGGATCGAATGCACGTGAGGCGGATCGAGCCGGTTCGAATGTCGAATGGCTCGCTTCCAAGAATTCGGATGGTCTGATGTGCCCTGTAAACCGGGTGACCATGCGGGTTCATGTAGGGATCATATTTGTGGCTGCACCCAGCCAAAGCCTTGAAAGTCGACCAATTCAGATGCGCGCAGGCCAAAACAAAGGACCATCATCCAGATGTTTGGTTTGCTTCCTTCGAAACCGCCTCGAAGGGCTTCTATGATTGAAACCCAACGCCCGAAATGCAAAGGGGGATGGATTTGTTGGGTTTCCAAGTGCAACCCAAGCCCCCGCGATTCTTGTGGAGACCAAACCTTTGTGCATGGCGCTACACACAAGGGAGACGCATTCCCGCTGATACACATGCCTTTTGCCCCACATAGCAACGTATTGGATTTGCGGCGGGATATCCGATGTCCGCTGGCAGCAAGCCTGCGTATGCATGTGCCACCATGTTCAAAATAGGGGACCTCCAAACATGTTTGTTCTTTTTTGCATCCCTTGAAACCAACCCCAAACAGGGCACGCCAAAAAACAGCCTGAAGAGAGCCCTGGGAGAAACGGGACACCCCCCCAAATCCGAAATCTTTCTGCCGTCAGTTACAGCGTGGCGCCCTGGGGCGCTGATTTACTGCTGCGGCGCCTCCGGTCTGAAAGCTTCCTGCGGCTCGGCTGAGGCACGGGCTTGAGATCCCGGTAGATTGGGGTCCGCCAAAACTGGTTGCTTTCCTTTTGGCGACTCTTTAAATACCAAAGGGGGGGTCCGAAATCCATGTTGAGAAACTCGTGGCGGGAAATGGGGCTCGGGGAATTCCACTTTCTGTGCCGAGCTCGGCATCACCGGTTTATTTCCACAGCCATGTAGCCTCGCTGCGCCGCAACTTAGGCCACGATGCTTGATCTTCCCGTCCTCCCACACGCTGGAAGGGGAGGAGCTTTCCAAGGTACGGCTGATGAGCGGAGCATCATAGAATTGTAGCCTACTCCCCTTCGGATCAGCATGGAACCCCAAAAAACAATATATTGGAGGATTCCCTCTTGGGGGGGACCCTAGTTGGGTTTTATGATCATTTGCAGCGGAGTATCCAGGAGGTTCAACATGAGTTGACAGTTGGCCGCAATCTATAATGGCGCCGTTTGGGATGTATGTTGCTGAAATTAGAGGTTGCAGCTTGGAGAGATGCATCATTTCTTCGACACCAGCAAAGCCATTTGAGCAGCGCCCACTATCTTAGCATACGGCTCTACCTGATTGAATTTGGGTTCTATTGAAGCTTGCAGCAGCCCTTTAAAACCATGGTAGTAGAACCAAATGTCTATCGCTTCCAGACTTCTTGAGTCATCTTTTGGTCCTTGCTGCTTCAAGGTTGAATGAAGGTTTGTTCATGCTTTGTTGGTTCTGCCGGTCAGATGCATCAACTCTGCAAGAGGGCAGCTGGGCAAATTGCAGAAGCCACACAATATGAGGGGTCAAATCATTCTAGTTTACCCCCCTATAAATAATGACCAAGTATGGTTCTTACAATTACCCCACAACCCCATTCTAGTTGTACTTCGGCCTTGATTTAGCCACACATATCCTGTGGCGGTCGCCAGGCTCTCTTCAACTACGTGCACCTGGGAGGTGGAAAGCTCGGCTTGCAAGAGGGGCCAAAAAGCTCTCTGCTTGATTTGTCTTCAGGCATTTTGCCTCGTGGTATGGGTTTTTGGGTGCGGACTCTTCAGGTATGGGTCTTTTGCCTCCCTCAATTTTCAGTTCAGGTATTGGCAAAGCTTGGTGCGCCCACAGCCTCTCACCCAACCGACTTTCTGAATAAACCGCCTCGGGTGCTTTGGCTTCCACTTGCCCAGGCCAGCTCTACCTGGTGGGCAGCCAGGCCAACATCCACCTCGCCTCCCAGGTATCCGCCGATTTGGGGAGCTTTCGCCTGGTTGCTGAGCAGTGCCTCACTTTTTGTCGGCTCTCAGCAGCATTGCGGCGTTTTATCACAGCAAAACAGATATCTTGGGCATTCTCGGGCAATTAGCACGTGATATGATGACATAATGCTCACATTGCCCATGTTGCGACCCTGTTTTGCGACTGCTTAGCTCTCGTCACGGCAAATTATTTTAGCTTGTCAACACTTGGCTCCACTCCCTCTTTTGTGCTAGCCCCTGATTCAATCAAGTTCTTCAGTGTATTAAACTGGCTTGTCGGGGGTCGATTTGTTGGAGGACCCTCCGGATTCATCCACGTGCCAGCTCAGCTGGCATCAAATGGTACTCGAACGGGGCCAAAGAGTTTCAAGTGTCTGCCCGCTGGGCAGTCAGCAAGTCCAGTCTTTGTACATCCCGGGCTCACATGGCCTGACAAACGCAGCGGCCAAGTTTTAGCCCCAATTGCCTCAAAATGAGCCCCAAAACATGAGTGGCTTCCTTGTGGTTGCCCTTTATTACTCCAACAACGGTAGCCTCAAACAAAAACCAAACCCATTTGGCTCGTTTTTTGCACTGACAAACTAAGAATCTGGCTGATCCTCGTCCAGGCCTTGGGCTTCACCGATTTCCCATTTCTCCCTGCCAAGAATTTGTTTGTTTTGTTTCTTTCGGAGTGCTAAGTTTTTGCACTGGTAGTAGAGGAGAGCCTTGGCCTTGCATGCTCAGGACTTGAGGCCCCGCTAGCTGATGGGGAAGGTCTGCTATTGTTTGGTACTGGAGGGGGCCATTGAAGAGGTGGTTGAACGTGGTGAAATCAGCCCTAGCCTTGAAATTTGGAGACATGTCTCGCCATGCAACTCGACCAGCACGAATTAAACGTGGTGAAAACAGCCTTAAACTTGAAATGTTTGAGACATACAGCGGGAGGTCTCGCCATGCAACTCGACCAGCACGCGTGCTCTTTTGCTTGCAGCATTTGCTGGAAGAAGCCCGGCGGAAACTTGCTGGGCGGAGGGTATGTTCCCAAGGAATTATGAGTTTTGATCCAAGGTGGATGAACAGCCCAGAAACTCCAAGCCTAAAGCCTTCGCACTGCACCAACGCCGCATTCTTTGGCACGCGGAGAGACTAACCCATGTTCAGCACCTATTCAGCCCCTAGTCTTTCCCCATTTCCCTGCCAGCCTGACAGCCTGCCCGGAAAGCGGTTTTTGTCCACATCTTCTGGAGATGACTGGCATGTTGTTCTGCGAGCCCCCATTTCACCTGCACCAGCAACCAGGTTGTAAATATTCACGGTCGGCGGATCTTTACGGCCATGTGCTGAGATATGGTAGCGGAATGCCGCAGCCTTTCCAATGGACGAGGTGAGGAGGGTTCCGCGATCGCAGGCTTACCCAACAAGAAATATTCACCTTACCCAAAATTGGTGGTTTGGAACCACCAAACCACCAATCCAAAGCACTAATTAAAGGGAAACTGAGATACAGGAGTGCATATGTACAATAATATGTGCCTTTTGAACATCTTGAAGGGAGCTTTGACAACTGTTGGTGGGAGGATACTGCATTCGGTCGCGCACCTTGGTTGTGGAAAGCGCGCTGTTGTCAAGCTGCACTTAAGGCTTACTGAATGTCACACAACCGTTTTTGCAGCATTTGGCTGTTGCCGTTGTTGGCCAGATGAAAAAGACAATAAGGCTGTCGTTGATTCAGTGAACAGGCTGTGGTATGTTCGCCCTTTCTTGAAATCGGGACCATTGGCCAATCTTAATACCTCTTGCTGTTGTGCTGCTCGTAAGGGTGACTGAGAGAGAGCTGATGTTAGCCGCATGCACCGACCTGTAATGCGCCCAACTATCTCAGTATGAAGGCACTTTATTGCGGTATGGCATGGACCCTGTGAACAACACCTGTTTGGGCCAAAAGTGGGTGTCCCGTCCGTTCGGATTGCTTCTCCGTTAGGCTCACGAACTCGGGGAACGTCACGGTGTCGCCGCGGGCGGGGCACAGCGTCACCCCCACCTCGGTGGGATTCTTGCTCTATGGGGGCATGGATGGGCGCCGGAACGACCAGGGCAACCCGGCGCCCAACTCCGACCTCTACTTGCTGAAGGTCGGGGGGAGGACCTTCCAGCACCTCGGAAAAATGGAAGCGGGGGAAGCGAAGCGCACGCCTTGTTAAGACGGAGTTCGAGAAAGCGAGCGATCCGTAGCTTCTCCGATATTGAAGGTGATAATGTTGCTTTGTTGTGTGCGCGGAGGAGGGGGGTGGAGGTTGGTTTGTGGGATCTTGGATAGGAGCACCTGAACGGAAGCCGCACAATGCCTGCATTGCCGCTGCACGGACCCATTTGAAGAGATGGGCGTCGCACATTGAGGCGCCCCAACTTTCTGCAAACCCTTGCAAACAATGTTTTGTTTGGGCAAACAAGATAAACATTGAAGAGATCCAACTAGCAACTTGTTGCTTGGCAGCTGAAAAATGTGGCATTGGGATTCATGCAGGTGCAAGCGGACCATCCACATAGGAGCAAATACTTGACAGCTGCAATGATTCACATCAGGCCACGCCTGAAGTGCATTTAAACCTTGAACCTTTTGGACGGCCCTTCTGCTGGCGCAATGTCAATGCAGCGTTTGCTGCCGAAAGTAGAAGCTACCCATGGCTCCTATCAACTGCTCTTTGTTGTTGTTTTGCTGGGGAGGGCGGGGGGGGGGGTTGCAAACACCATTGGATTGTGCATCTTGAGAATGTCGCGGACAGGTAGGCGTAAATCTGACAAGCACAGATGTCCCCCGCAACCCGTGACAGGAGCATTTCGAGTTGTCATAATTGTTTGATCCTTTGTGCTGTTGCGCCTGCTGCAGGAGCAGTTGCTGATGGCTAGCCAGACGGCAGACAACCACCAGTGTTTCACAGTGTGCAGGAAATGCTGAATGGGAACTCACAAACGTCAATATCGGGCAGCAACTTTTAGTATTTAGCCTACGCTACAATATGTCACATCCTCTTTTTGCCACCCTGCACAGGTTGGCTTCCGAACGAACAGGTGTTCAACGCCAAGGGCCACCACGGAGGTATTGGTAGCAGGGTAATCAATGCCAGCCGAAGCAAAGCACACTGGAAGACGGCATGACAGTATGTGCCAAGCTAAGACCCAAAAATGATAGGCATCCTTTTACTTTATTTTCCTTTTTTCCAATTACAAAGGCTCACACCGACTTCTTCTCAGGTGGGACCTCGTGGAAATCGACCCCGGCTCCCAACTGCCGCCAGCGCGCACGCTGCACACCGCGATTTCCATCAGCCAGGACGAGGCGCAGTGCACGAGTGTTAGCCCTGCACACCCAGGGGGCATCCCTGTCTGTAGAGCGGACCGTTCTGCAAACAATCACATTCAGGGGGGAGACATTCCTCAAGGAGGATTGTCAGAGTTCTGATACTAGTTTCAGATGTTGCCTGGCGCAGAACAGGGGCGAGCCCCCATGCATTGATTCGAGCCCCCATTCAAGGGCTTTGGGCTGGTGGGCTGGTTGTCGAGTTCCGTCGGTGAACCGCCTCACAAACGAGTGCTTATAGCATTCAATGGTTAGTTTATTTCATGTTTAACCAAGCTCGTTACCCCTTGCTTGCATGTCAACTGGGCAACTAGGTTATGCACCCAGGTGGCATGTGACAAATATTTTGTCACGGGGGTACTTGTACGTGGTCACTCTTGAGTAGACAGCGGTTGCAATTGAAGAGTGACCTTGGTGCTGCCGAGACGTGCCGCAATGACGGAGGTATTTGCATTCCAGCCGAGCTTTGATTGTGCGCTGAAAGGGGTATGTTGTGCATGTAATTTGGGTAAAGTTGAGGAGATTTGAGGAGTGTTTTGCTGTGCATCTTTGGCGTTTCTTAAAATAGACAGCCTCTAAAGTGGGTTGTTTCCTTTGGGGTTTTCAGCCAGCCCCCCCCCCCGGTTTTGAGGCGGTCGGCTTTTCGTGGCTGGGGGTTTCTGAGAGGTCTTCGTGTTCGGGGGGATCCACTCCGCCACGCCGGACCGGGTGCTGAACGATGGCTGGATACTGGACACCACCTGCTTCGAGTGGAAGCACGTGCAGTTCAAGGCGCAGTCCAATGAGCTGAAGAGCTCCTACTGGCAGCTTGGCGAGAACGCCGAAAACGCCAGGGGTCAGGGGGAGACACCACCGGGTTTGGGTTAAAACAAACGCCAGGGTTGGGGGGAACAAACCCAACGCAACGGGGTTTGAGTGAGAACTATGCTGGGCAGGGGCCGCATGATTCAAGCAAGAGTCTTGCGAGGGAGAAGGAGGTCGCAGTTCAGTTGCAGGCGGCTGAGACCCAAGTACGGTGAAACAGCCAAACCCTGCATGGTTCAAGACGGTCCATCACAAAGGTCCGTGCATCTCAGAAAGGAATGCATTGTCCTCTTGCTCGTGCAGTTGTTTTTTTCTGTTTCATCTCAGAAAGCAATCTATTTGTTTATGTACATCCATACGCATATGCATGATGTTGGCTTTTTGTGTTTGTATGATTGGTTTGGCACTCGCACCGGTAGTGGTACTCGTATTCGCGCTTATGCATGGTTTGATAGCACTGCAACCATCAGCACTATCGCCTCGTGCCACTGTTTTGCTGACACAAAGCCAAGCACACTGCAGATTCGATGCTAGCTTGCGGGAACGCAATCGACATGATCCTCTTCTTGTCCAAAGGGCTGTTTTTGGACTCGCATGGGACGCCGACACTCAGGAAGCGCATGTCTGGGAAGATCCTGGAGCATCCCTATGTTGCAGCACAGGCTGGGGCTGGGGTCAAAGTATGGCAATACTCCGGGCGGATTGTTCAGAAAGCCGATGAGCCTCGCAGCTGGTTCAAGCCAAATGTTTCCGCGATTTCTAAAGTCAAATTAAATGCCGCCTGATGACACCCACAACGATTGCTTGAGTTATCAGCCACCTCAAGAAGATGCCACGGTAGATGCTGACATTTCGACTCATCGCACTCAGCTTGCATCCCAGGCGTTTGCAAGCCAAATGGTTGCTGAGTGTTGTTTCGAGTATCATTCTCACGGGAAACATCTCAAGCACTGCGGATATTCTCGGCGGGGCTGAGACAAAGCGGAGTATTTGAGAGAGTGGTCAAAGGCCGTTTTTTGGTGATCTTTCCCCACTCCACAATCAGCCTGGAGAATCCAGGGCAACACTTGGGACTTGCAAGGGTTCGCGCTGATTTTGGCGAGTCCAAACTTTGTTTGGCCAGGGCAGCCAGGGCAGGGCATTTCGTTTGGCCAGGATTTCTTTTGGCTTGAGTAGTGTCATCCGTTCCTGGAGGCACTTGGGCTGTAGCCCCTTCATTCATCTGAGGCTTGCTTCCCCACTCTTTGCAACCGTCACTTTCCACAAATCCGCCAGTCCCCCGTGTTTTGGCGGTTTTCTGGAAAGAAGGAAGGCTCCTTCCACCGTGTGGCCCACACAGGCGGAGGTCCAGGTGGCGCCGCGCCTTAGCGCTGGCGGCCGGCGCTTGTCAGCGGCCGCGCAGACCGCGCGCAGCGCGGTGAGTCGGCAGCAAACCTCTTCAGGACAGTTAGTCTCTTGCAAAACCCCACGGAGCCTCAAAAGAGTGTGTACCCTGGTCTTGGGAATGGAGGCGACAGCTGAGGGAACTGCCAATCAACGCGGAACCCAAAAAACGGGGATCCCAAAAGGAAGTTTCCGTTGCACATGGATCGGTTTTGGGGTTCCATGAGAATCTGTAAGGGAGAAAAGTTTGAGGGTCGCCGTGGTTGTTCGAAGTTAGGGTTGGGCTTTGGGAATTACACCCCCCCCTCCGCCGGCTCGACTCCTCCCTGCCTGGCAGTCGCGTGCAGTCTGCCTTTTGGAAGAGTGTCTTTTGGATTTGTGGGGTTCTTGGAGTGCGCAGCACGTCTTTGCACGGCTGCCGGCTTTGTGTGAAAAGCATGTTTCTAAAGGGTTTGGTGCTGTTCATTTGCTAGCAGACCCTGTAGAAAAGTGGACGTTCTTGCAGCCTCTTTTTTGATGCGATCCTATTGGTCCAGTCCGGGGCTGTCTTGGATAACAATTAGGGCGTGCATTTGAAGTTCCAGGAACACATGATGTCTGCCCTGTTTGCATGTCCAGACAAACACAAATAACATGTCGACATTTCTGCGGCCGCTTTTTCAGCTGCATTCGGCGCCCTTGGTATTTGTCCTACTCGCGACTTGCCAGTGCAATTGTCTGGCATATGTGCAGCTTCAGCAAGGCACGAAGGATACGTCCAGGTGTTTTTGGCTTGCCAAAGTTTTGGTATATGTGCAGTTCCGGACGGACATGAGGGAAATGCCGACGATGCTACGGCCATTTAAGTTGTTGGGTCTGCCTGTGCCTGGCACCCTGTCATTGGTTTAGTCATGGCTCGTCAGGGTGGTTTTCTGCCGAATTCGCTGTTCCAAAGAGACATCTGCAGTTCCAGCGACACGCGCTCACGCACTGACACACCTTGCGGGACAACATCGATGTAACTTCGGCGTTGAACAACGCGGAGATTAGCTGTGCTTGCCCAGCCCTCTCTGGCCTCACGTTGGTATGTTTTTGCGCGTTGGCGTTGATGCTTGGCTGAGCTGTTTGGCATCAGATTGGCTTGTTCGCCTTTGTCACTGGTTGTGTACTCCAAGTTTGCGATGTTCGCTACTTGTTCAGGCGTGGCTGTGTACCGACCATATGGGATGGGCTGCTCCTTGTTCCTGGTGCGGCTTTCTAGAAGGCGTTCCCGAGTTAGCACTGCGCGTGTGGTATCCCAGAAGCCTGGACAGATCACACACAGGCTTGCGTTCCCCGGCCTAAGGTGGTTTTAGACGAGGGCGTGAAGCTGGCAAGGGAGCACTCTTGAAGCCTTCAGCCCGTGGTTAATACTCAACTTCGGGCCATGGAGCCGGAGAGCCAGAAAACTTCAGCAACCCAAGGGTTTAGGGCCTTCGGGCCTTGCTGTTCTTTGTTTCGTTTTTTTCACGAGCTATCGCACCCAGGTGAGCGGACTCAACTTCGAGACCCTGGCGATGGCCGCCTCCAAGGCCCGGACGCCAAGAAAACGCCAAAAGGACCTCTTGGAACAAACGGTTCTTACCCATCTATTAGCAGTTTTGCGCAGGGAGCATCCCAGTTTGGACCCTCTAAGTGTCTAAAGTGGTGTATGCGTCCACCTTTAGGGTATGTTTTTTGGGGGTTTTGGGCTTGATGACTGTTCTCTAGGTGTCATGGCTCTCCCACCCGCCACCCTCCCCAAAACTAATGAAAACACAAAAACAAACAAACAAGAGAACCGAGGGTGTTTGAAACGAGCGTCCCTGAAACATGAGTGCAATCTGAAAGTGATCACACAGAAACAGCACATACAGACGATTGAACATGGCGAGCTGGTTGCTATGCGTTGTCGAGGGTTCGTGGCCAGCCATGTAAGAGGTCAGTTCCTGTTTCACTTCGCTTGCTGTAATTTACAGGACGGGCCCCTACCGCAAGTAACCGACTACCACTATTTGCACGGCCGCATTCACACAGTTGACGCATACCAAGGATGTCCAACAAATAATGCAAGGGGCTCAATCATTGCACACAGTTTTCTCCTGTGACCTTCCCCCTTGAATGTCCAACCATTTAGGCTGTCAGTCCATGCGACTGCCCACCAGTTCTGCCAGAGGCGGTGGTGAGCACGAGCATGGGCGAGGCGCAGGAGGGCGGCGTCGCCAGGAAGAGTTGGAAGACACCTGACCCGTACGGAGCCGGGAGTGGGAGGGGAAGAGCGGAACTCTGTGACCTGCGGCGTCTATGTTTTATTTTTATTTTTTGTTTGGGGTATTTTTTGGAGTTTGAGTCTGCAACATCAACTCTAGGCGGGGGAACCCTCCGAAATTAGCATGGAAATAGCTGGTGCAAGACAAGCACATGCTTGCCCATGTTTGGCTAATTTGTGAACTTGGGTCAGGCCAAGCTGACCGTAGTTTGTGCGGGCGTCCTTCATGCTGGGGCAGGGGAGAGAAGCAGTCGCAGAATAGCCATGATGGTAGTCTAATTTGGCATAGCCATTGGCGCCTTGAACCTGCTGACTTGCATCATCCTTTTCTCTGTCCGTCGCAGGGACGCCGCCCAAGGCGCCCCAGCCACCAAGCTTCTTCCTGACACGCTATGCTCGCCGCAGCCAGTAGATGAAGTGTTTGTGCTAAATGTCTACGTTGGATGGAGCCCTTCAAAGTGCAGAGGCGGGCTCTCCTTGGGACAACTTTTCTGAGTGCCGGGCAAGAGACTCTCTGGGCCGAGTTTCAAAGGCGTACAGGTGATGGGGGGTGACGGGGGTGTTTGTGACGGGGGGTGTTTCTTTGCGCTTCCCAGCATTGCAGCTCAGCTTCCCCGGCGGTGCGCGGAGGCTACTTTGGGAATGAGTCATAAGGACCACCGTGTTGGTGTCTCAGCTGAAAGCCATTCAGGGTCCCATGTTTCAATTGCCGCGCCGAGGAAATTCCTAGCGAAGCAGATGACCTCAAGCCTGAAGACCCCAGGCGGCTCGGCAGCAGCGCCGTGTCCAAGCTCCCCCACCAGCACCAGTTCGGTTTCACAGTTTCACATCTTTGCAGGTGCCTTCATCTAGTGCCGGCCGCTGAAAAAGACTCAGGCAGGAACTTCACAAGCCATTCATGGGTTTGTGCCTGTCACCGTGGCCAACTTGCCAGCTCTGTTTTTTGCTTGAGGAGTCGCATTCACAGCAGGGCCTCTTTCTTTTCATTGGGGGCGTGCCTTTGTTCGGAAGCTGTGTTTGTGAGTGGTTGTCAAGATAATTCGTTTTGAAAGTCGTTGGCAGAGACCTCCTTGAATAGGAACTGGTATTTGACTTGTGGTTGTATAGAAACTGAGTAGCAGATTCTTAGTCAGATATGTCCGATACTTTATGATATGTTTCAGTACGGCTCAGCTAGAAGTTGACTTTTTTGAGCAAGAGCTCCGGACATTTGGCGCTTCGCTCGCGAGAGGCTGTTGCGCTGCGCAATTGGAAGCCTTGTCACCCTGGCTAGAGCCAACCCCATGCCAACTGCACCCCTCACTTTTGAAGTCTGTTACAGCGTTTTGCCAAGGTCTGCAGAGAGGTTCTTGATGAGTATAGGGTCGCAAGCTGCTCAAGCCAAGCCGAAACCTGCCGGAGCCAACGCTCAGCAGGGCGAATACCGCTGACTCTTTCCCCCATGCTAAGCTGGCCCTTCCTTTTTGGAGAGAATGAGCATCTCCTGCTGGCTTCCACACATTCGGGAAGTCAACCAACATCCGATCCTGCGGGCTGCGCTCAGACCAAGGGAAGATTTGGCGGCTCAACCTCCGCAAAGGAATTCCCTCAGTGAGCCCTTGAAAACGCCTCTTGTCTTTGACCCTTATTCGTGTTCTAGTACTTGTGTAGGGTGGTTTGATCGAACTGCCGGTTGGTTCAGCCACTCGCGGGGTCCGAGGCAAGGGCGACAAGCAGTCAAGGCAGGGGCTTCGCAGAATCGCTCGCTTCAGAAAAGGCTTGATGCATGTGTTTTTATTTTTGTGTTTTTTTTGGTGTGAAAAAGAACATCATAATGAACAAAATAATATGGAGTGTACATGTGTTACCTTGGTTCAAAGGAAACGAAAAAAGGAAAGCCATCATTTGCAGGGTCCCCCTATGTTGACATACTAACATGAAGCACGAGGTCTTTAGACGCGTGGATGAATCAGGCTGAGTCAAAGCCTGGTAGAACAGAGGGCTTAGAGTGCTTGGCTCCTGCCAAAAGCCTGACCTTGGTCCAAGGTCGGCAACATCAACCAACTGGACTACCTATGTTAGGAGATGCCTGTTCACTACCCCCACGATACTTTTGCTGCAAATACGACGGCCTTACAACCTTCGTGCATAGCGCGCAAAAGCGCGGATAACAAAAGGGCCTTCCACAGTTGTCTCCTTCCTTAGAATTGTGCTGCGCATGTGCTGCAAACTGCTGGGGAGATAAGCAAAATTCGAAGTTTTACTTGACAATGGCATAGCTACTGAATTTCCCATTGTTAGATATATAACGTTTGCTTTCGGGGCTGACACCAGGCCTTCGGTTTGACTCATGGAAAGCAAAGGCGGTGTCGGTGTGAGCATCACGCATGCGCTAACTACAGGTGCTAGTTGACGAGTTTTTGGTCCTTGGGTGTTACTTGGGCTGCGGGAAGTCAGCCACTTAGGCTGACCAATTGCGGTTGTTTCTGGTCATTCAGGCTCGTGTATCGGCATGGCGTTCGCTAGGGTGTTTCTGTTTGGACCTACGAGCTCGCCGGACGCAATGGGGCTCCGTGGAAACCGTGCTGTGCATAGCTCGGTTCGCATGAATAGTACAGTTCAATGCATGCTGGAATCATCAGGGTAAGGTCATGTTAGGTGTTGTCATCTTTTGCCGGGGCGCAGGTCGAGGTTTACCCCGAAAGACAAGGCTGGCATGGTGAACTTTGAAGAGGAGCAGCTGCTTGAACAGACTTCTGGGTAAGGATTGCCAAGGCATGCATGCACTTGTGTGTGTTTTTTCAGGTTACTCTTTTCAGGTTGGTTTGAAGGGAAAGCAAAAGGGAACCACCCACTTTTGGGCTTGCATTCTTATCACGAGTTTGGATCTTCGATGGCAAGCAGTGATTCGGAACCCTGCCGCCCGGCGCTGTGTTTGCTGGGTGTTCAAGTTTTTGGTGGCATGTTTTAATTGGTTTTTGCGGGGTAGAGCCAGTTTGTTTGCGCCTCTGATTGGTGTTGATTTTATGTTTGAAGATGCCACGTTCGACCAATTGCCAGTATCTGCGACAGAACGTGACAGACAGACGTGACAGACAACTGCGACAGAGCTTGTGACGTGGTTGCGACGGACAGCTGCGACAGACTGAAGCCTCAGGCTCCCGCCTGTGGCCGGGTCCGAACAAGTCCAGGACAGCACGACAGCGTCAGGACGGCCGTCACCGAAAGTCCAGTGGCCAGGAGGGGACAGCCACGACAGTCCGAAGCCTGAGGCTCCCTGTGTGCCCGAAGTTTGAGGTAGCTACGACAGCAGGCTGCTGCTAACTTGGCATTTTCCAGAACCAGGTTTGCAACAGGGCTCAAACTTTTTTCCGGCAACCTTTGACCCGCGCGCGCGCGCCACCTAACTTTCAGCTGCTATTAGGCCATGTAGTTGGATCTTGAGGCTGGGGATGATGTGCCCTCGTAAGAGCTTGCCATCGGAGCGAAGGGATCTGCACCAGCCGTTGGGCAACCCTGTCAGTTTAGCCTTAGGCATATGCACGTATTGCCTTTTTTAGTACTCGTTGTTTGGGGGCAGGGGGACGTGTCCACAAAGCGCCTGGTGGTGCCGAGGTTTCTGGAGGACTTGTTGGCCATGGTGAGCGCGACGGCCCAGGGAGGCACCCAAAGTCGAGAGTTTCATGGATCCTTGAGAAAAGTCGAAGCAAACTAAGGGAACAACATCTCGAGATTTTCCACAGATATCCCCGGTTTGTGGGTGTTTGGTTTTCTGGACTTGTTTACTTAGCATGTATGGGGCGAAAACCCATGGTGGGTGCCAAGCAGCCGCCTCTCACTTTCCGTGGCGGAACTCCCAAGACAGAAATGGCCGGGTGGGGCTTTAAGCGGGATTGACCCTGGGAGGGCTTCTCTTTTTGTTGGCCTGCCAAGGTAGCACGGAAACCACGCCCCGACAACTTTTCAGCAACCCAGCCAGGGTTGCTCGTTGCTCGTGCCAGGCGAGGAGGAAGGCTCTTTCCGCGGGCCTGCGCCCAGATCGAACCACAGCGCGTGCCTCTATGAGACCCTCGGCTTACGCCGCAGCCGGGGCAGTCCTCATCACTGAATGTCGACCCCGGATGGGTAAGCCTGGTGGGTTGGTTTGGGCGCAATTCCCCCGAAAGTGGGGACCCCCTGTTAGATATGACACGCCCCTATTCCCCTATTAGTCAGCGTTCCATTTCCAAGTCTGCCGTTGTCCCCCAGTGGTGTTCCCAACTGACCCTCGCGTTGGTAAATCGCTGTGTTGTTTGTTTCCGAAATCCAAGCCAAAGGGAAAAACACGGAACAACTGAAGGGAAACCCAGTGAGAAATCACTGGAAACCAAGGTAAGACAGAAGGAACAACTGAGGGGAAGCCAAGGGAAAACCAGCTGCACAGGGAGGCTAGACAAAACACTGAACACCAAGGAAGCTTGAAGCTGGAATTTGTGCGGGGGAGAAAAATATCGGAAAGAGTCGGCTGACTTCTGGAAAACGACGGAACTGACGCAACCTGACGTTGGAATTAAGCACCCTGCTGCCGAAAAACCGCAGGAAGACTCGGCTCGCAAGCGACACAAGGGGAAAACTACTTGAAAAGCTGTGCAGAAGGGCACGGGAAGCAGTACACTCGCTTGGGCCCTAGGAAAAGACAAATAGAATTAAACTGCTGAAGTTGGAAATAGTTGTTGAAGCCGCTGGCCAAACTTGTGAAAACGATGATCTTGCCAGGACTGAGCCAAGGCATGGGAAACCCAGGGGAAAGTAATAAACCATATATAACCAACGGAAAACAAGGGCAAGGGAAAACAATAGGGCTATCTTGCTGGATTTCTATCACTTTTTGCATCCGTCAGCAGAAGAGAATACAGGATGGTTCCATGCAATCTACATATGGATTTTTAGATGTGTTGTTTGCCTTCCGGATGTGCCATTTTGCACATGTATTGGCTGGTGTCCATGGAGAACATACAGTCCAAAGGGTTGGAGAATGCGGCTGCAGATGTCCAGCAAACTGACCCAGCTCAACAGCGCGATGTGTTGCCAGTTCTGTTATGACCTTCACGATCCAACGGGGTTGCCTGGGCGGGAAGCTTGGGTTTTGGGCTGGTGGAATGATTTTCATTCAAAATCGCATGCCCAACCACCAGTGAGGGAAGGGCAAGATGACGTTTGCGTGCTCCTATCCATTCAAATTTAAGGTTCTCTATCTGTCCCCGTCGACGACAGCAGGCAGTAGCTCAATTTGCAATTTCCTTCTGTCTCCCCCTTGGGCCGTTGGGCTTATTAGGAGCCTTCGCTTTGATCCATGCTAAGCTCATTCCTAGCTCATTCCTTGCTGGCTTTTTCCGGCCAGGAACACGATGGTCCTCTTCGGCGGTCATGGCGGCTTTGGCTATCAGCGGCCCCTTTGCTTCACTTGGGTCGGGCAATCGGTGCTTTTGCTACCGGAAACCAACCTGAAACCTTAACTGTTTGCACTCGCGAAGTTCGAGACAAATTCTTATAGGTTGCTTCCTTTGTGTGATTGCCTTGTTTTGTGTTGCTTTGTTTTGCTTTGCCTTGTTGTTTTGCCCGCAGCTGCGGTGACTTGCTTTGGGTGAAGCTTCTGATCATCTGTGAAAGTGACCCCTTTGTGTTGCGCTTTTCTTCGATCTTGCAACCAGGGCGGAAGCATGTGCTGATTCGTTTTCAGCAAGTGCTACTGCGTTTGCTCAAGGTGCAGCGCGCACCTCCCTCTCAAGGTGTCAAGGCTATGGTTCCGTAGGCTGAGAAACATTCGAGCCGGAGGTGTCTCAGAACCCTTCTACGAACCCCTTAGGCTCTAAGAAGCCTTAGGTTTTCGGGGGCCTCTTTCATCATTCTCAGCCCAAGTTAACATGGAACCCCAACAGCGCCATGGTTTTGGGGGGGACGTTTTGGTAGAATTTATAGGTTTCCTGCTGGTTTGAATGAAGCCAGAGCCTGTCAAATGCCAGCAGTCTAAGGAAGGCCTTCAACGATGTCTGGACTCTGAACCTGGACTCCTTCCGTTGGTCCGAGCTGAGCTGCCACGGCAACCCCCCGGCACCGCGGTCCGGCCACGTGAGCTTCCAGAAGGAGAGCGCTTCGCAGACACGGTTGATATGGTGCCCCCTTGTTGAGGCATGGAAAGAGGACAACCCCGCCATTTTGGGGAGGTCCCCCTATTTTGGACACATACCAAGATTATTGGATTCCAACAGGGTGAAAGCAGATGGCACAAGTCCCGGTTGTGGGCTGTGGCAGCAAGAAACGCAACGGAAACCAACGTGGGGAATTGTGCCGACTACCTTCACACAACTGTAGCAAATAGCAAGCAGACCATCCGTTGGAATGCCTGTTCTGGAACCCGAGGCAGCGAGTCAAACAAATGGTTGTGAGGTCCCCACCATCCATCTTCGGAATCTCTTTGGCCCCCTTGTGTAACTCTGCCGGGGTGTTGTTGCTGTTTTGGGCTCGAACAGGGAAGCCTCAACAAGAGCTTGCCGTGCGCCTGCGACAAGACTTCTCGCAGGTTGCTTTTATGTTGTTTGTGTCCTGGGTCCATGAGCCTTCCAGCAATGCATGCCGGGCAACAGTGTTTCTTTCCTCACTGCTCACTCAACGCATCCTGGCTTATAGAGAAGAGTAGCACAGTCAGTGCGGACATCAGACCAGCAATTCAATGACGCGCGATATGAATCAAACAACTATCTCGGGCAACCTTTGTTTGGAGTGGCTGGCGTTTGAAGGGAGGCCCACCAGCCCACCGGCCCATGACACAAACTTGTTGTCCCTTGTCATAGGACATCAGGAGGGTGAAAGGAGCATGCTGGTCTTGCTTGGACACTGGGCCCACGCCCCATGCCGTTGTACAGGATGTTGTTGGACACCGTCAAGTGAATCTCAAGGCTGAAGGTTCCAAGATCTTTCTGCATTGGCATTCCTTCGGATATCTTCGGCCTCCCTGAGGATGGTTTTGTGTATGTCTTCGGCGGCTGGAACGGAGAGACGCAATTCAACGATCTGCTGCCCGGTGGATTTTTGGCCGGAAGCCGGTGCGCAATTCGTCCAAGGACAAGCCAGTGAACCGCGGAACAATGCTAGGACATCCTGAGATTCTAACAAACAGCCTCCAATCGCTTGCATCAAAAGGACAATGTTTGTAGCATCCCATCAAACTCATTTGTTGTGTATCTAGGTCGCCCAACAGTGAAGCCCTCACAGAGGGTATCTCTTGCCGTGTGTCATTCTTGTGTAGCTCGGCAGTTAAGCCGTATTTCTTTGGGTTCATACTCCACGACATCCACCATGCGTTCCCTCGATTCTCTTTTTTTCGGAGTTCCCAAAGTGGCAGTTTCATTGGGACAGCTTTTGATCAGGTACTCCAGCGACCCATAGGGACTCCCCTCCCTGCGCTTAGGTTCATGCTGGATGTGGAGAACAAGGACTGGTCAGACCTGGACTTGAGCTGGGGCGTGCCGCGGTGGAACATGGCGGCGCAACTGGTCGAGGCCCTGGATTTGATTTTGCGCCGAAAAGTGGCAGTTGCGAGTAGCCGTCAAGCTAGCAAACGCCCAAAAGGCCTCGTTGTGCATACCCTCAAGCCAAGCTCTCACAGGGTTACCTGTCGGCTCAGTCGCCTCAGGTCTCCTATCCCAACTCCTTGATACACTGTCATAAGAAAGCAAAGGTGAACATGACTTGCAGTCCAAGCGACGCAGTATAGGCTGTATTGGGCGGCCTGACGTAGGGCATCGGAAGCCATTTTGAAGGGCTGCTAGGGAGAGGCCTTCCGAGCTTCCCCTTTAGCATTTCATCTTCGATTTTCCCTGCCGGCGATACACATTGGATCGCAAAATTATAAAAGCCGAGAATTGTGCCAGGTAGGCGACCATCTGCGTCCGGGGGTGCAGTTTTCTCAAGACCATCTCTTAACATGATGCCAAGGTGTATTAGCCACAGCCACTTACAAAGCGTCAATTACACAACTTGTCTATGCGAAGGACTGCAAGACGCAACAGCGTTCGCGTTTTGCACATGGCCACCATCATGTGATGACTTTTTCAGAATGAGCCTTTGTGCACCCGTGGTCTCATTTCAAGCGATGCGGGCCTTCCTCTCTAACTTGCGGGACATTGGGGGCAGTACATTGGTCCAACGTTTGCCGCAAAACAAAAGCGGAGCGGTCCGAAGTCAGCTAGTCGTTTCTTGTTCAGCATCTTGATGAGTTCTCGTGTGTGCGTGTGTCAATTTCGGAAATCCCGGCGTATTCGTCAAATCCCTTGCGCGAGAATCCTTGGCTTATATCACATTCTGGCAAGCATTGGTTTTTTCATGGAAGGCGTGGGGAACTCGGATTCCGCAATCTCCTGATCTCCCCCGAACCTGCCGCCGGGGACCGTTGGGGACCGGAGACAGGCCATCCCCTCCTGGCGGGTCTTCGTCTTCGGCGGCTCCGCGGATCGCATGGGCGAGGGCCGCACCATGGGGGCCTACGTGCCTCAGCTCTCGGGCTCTCGGGGGGAGCTCTCGCAGGTGACTGAAGTGGTGGTAGATTGTGTTTCAAGGGAACATCCTTGGTTCAAAATCAATCCTTCCCGGTTGACTGGGGGCGTTTTGGAGTGGTTTTGGACTGGGGGGCGGGTCGGGATTCCCGGAGTCCCGCATAGGGATTGCTAAGCTGCCTGCAAGTGTTGAGCGAAACACTGATCTCAGGGGGATAGCCGGCACAACAAATGCTGGGAGTCATCAATGTGGCACGACGTGTGCTCCCCCTCCCCCCCACCCCCATTGGGCTCACAGGGGAAAGGGGGGCCCTTTGGTTTGCAACTTAAAGGGAAGGCGCCGCTTGTTGTTTTGTTGTTTAAAGCCAATAATAATAAACCGCTCACACGAGGCAACCCTTTGGTTTGCATGAGAAACATGCTCAGAATACAACTTTTGAGCAAGACCTTCTGAAGGGAACTTGATGGAAGCCCTAACAAGAACAACCGTGCATACAAGGCAGAGATGGGTTCATTTGGTTGCTGGGAGGCCGCGAGTACACATATTTGGGGAGCTGGGCTGAGTTCATCTGGTTTCCGGAAAGTTTAGCATTGGTCTAGTTTCGTGTAATTTATAATTAGTGTTGGCATTTAGTTGGGGTTGGCTGGAGGGTTGTTTATTAGTAGGGGTCCATTTGTGAATAGAAAGTGATGACCCTGCACTGCCAGATAGACAAAGCTGCCAGTCAACAATGCCAACACATGTGCCGCAGAAAGTCAGAAAGTGTGCCCCGCAGAAAAGCATGCCCCAGACAGCACGGTCCTGGCTTCTGGCCTGCATCCGAAGCTTCTTACCACTCTCACGTGGACCTGGGGCGGTTGATCATGCATGCGCAAATGGAGAGGAAGCACGGGGCTCAGAACATGAAGCCTTGGTACAACTCCATTGGATGGCTAGCCATTGGCTTGGTTGACTGGCAAAGCAAAAGCCCAATAGTTCATCATGCATGGTGTGGGTCCATTGCCAGGCTGAAGCAAAGGGGTTCCCATGACTCCAAACACTGGCCTCAAAACAAGCGCTCAAAACACGTTGGAATTTACAGAGCCCGAATGAGGATAGGAATGGTAAGTTGTGAGCCGAAAGCCAAGACAAATAGGAGGGACACGAAACCGAATGAGGAATAGAGCATTCTTCAACTCCAGCCCAACCCCCTCCCAAACTGCCCAGTTCGGAGGCTGTGTGGCGCAGGCTTGTCCTTTGAACAACTGGCCCATTCAAAATATAACAGCCTTCCTCCAAAAGTATCGGAGCCCTTTCCCTTGTTCTCCAAGCAATATTGCAATTTTCCCCCCAGAAGCATGCATAGGAGGAATGACTCTTTTTCAACCAAATACATCCCCGGCTTGCAAAGTGAAGCTTTCTTTGAGCGAGTAACCAGAGGTTGTGTAAAACGACGCTTGAAACATCGTTTCTTTGGGGGACATCTTTGGAATCACACCCTGGAATACTCTTGTTTGGTCTATGTCAGGCTTTATGTCAGGTCTTTTTGGTTTTATGTCGTTTTTTTTCATTGTATGTGACTCCAGCTTGTTTTTTCCCGGTGTGTGACGCAAGGACCGGGAGCTGGGCGTCCTGGACCTGGACGAGCGCAAGTGGCTGAGCCTGGTGCCCGAGGAGGGATCGGTGTGCTTTGTTGACACCTCGCGGTTCAGAGGGTTTCACCCTTTCCCAGCTTGTCAGTTGGTTCGGCGGATGGTCGACTTAGGAAAGGTGCCGTCGCTTCAGGTCGTTTCCTTTCAGTTTGTCTCAACGTGGGAAAACCGGAAGCGTTCTGAAGCCCAAAACGAGCGTCCTCGCCTCCGGCCTCTTTTGGGGGACTGGGCGCGCCGGCCCGCAGGCCAGCGCTGAGGATTCGCTTCCCCTGGTGCTCTTTGGGGGTTTGCCGTTGCCTTTGCATTAGGTCCCTTTTCCCCTTTTTGTTTGGCGTTTGCTTAGACAGAGCCAAATGAAACAGGGCAAGTCTTATCCGACATGCGAGACATGCGCTATTTGTTGACCTTAGTTTTGCCAATTTCGTGTCATTTCCTCAGGAAGGCCGACCGTCGGTTCCCAGCTGCACGATTGGGCCTGTAAGCCACAAGGGGGTACAGGACTGGTTGGTTTAGATTCTGCGTTTTTTGTTCCGGGGTCTTTGGTGAGCAGACCACTTCTGAGGTAAGCAGGGACGTTGACTAAAGCAGCAGTTGCGTGCTTCTGCTGAGCCGCGGAAATCATCAAGAAACAGCAGTTTCTTACTTGCAAGGAGGACCAGCTGGAGCACAATCTGGCATGGGGAAGGTGCCTGCTACAAAAGAACACACCTCAGACACAGTATCATGTGAAGACTATCTAGCGAAATTGCTTTAAGATGACTATCACACCATATCACACTGGCTGTTCAGTTCGGATTGGCATAGCATGCCTAGATGGTTCCATGGCATTCTGTTAAACAAAGAACTAGGGTCCCCTTCAAGTGGTTAGTCCTGCAGCAGCCAGGTTCCCACAGTTTGGGGACATGCCCAAATGACGGTAGTGGAAAGTTTGGTTTTGCTGCGATGATGGCAAAACTCCACGATTTTGCGTCCTGAATTTTGTGCCCGCAAGGTTGACAATAGGACCAAGAAGTACGGATACTGTACTCAGACGCATGTCACGCTTCCCTGTTTGGCCAAGAGCATGGGATACAACGCTACCAAGAAGACTTTCGCGTCTCGTCAAGCCGTGTCTCCCCGCCCTTGAAATAGCTTTGTAACTGCACCATGTGCCCTGATAGTGACAATTATGCGATCATTTGAAGCGTATTTTCCACAGCCATGGTCAAACTCAGACCAGGAGAGGTCCAAGAGCGATCGCCCACCCCCACGGGAGCACACGTCCATTGTTTACGATGCGGAGGAGCCCGGAGAGTCGGCAGCAGGCCTTAGGTCAGTTTCGTTCAGCAGTGATTTTGGGAAGTTTCATTCCGGCCACGGTCGCTCGTTTGTCAGGAAGTGTCAAAACATGCTTTGTGATCGGTTGGACGAGTTGTTACACTTAGACTGTCCTTTCAAAGGACTGGGCCCACAAACTTCAACAGCTAGTTGAAAAGAAGTGCTATGTGGGAGGCATCGGTGCGAGTAGCAACAGCCTGCAGTCGGAATGTCGCTGTCGCTTTGATCACAGTATGCTTAGCCATGCACAAGAAAGTTTGCTTCTAGTAGACACATGTATGCAGGCACCTTTGCTACCAGCGAAGGTGCTGAATCCCATGTCCAGCAATACAACAAAGAGAACAGTGGTACTCTGGCTTGCACAGTATTGGACATTTTGGTGCCGGTGAATGGCCTTCATTCTGGCATACTGCGGCAAAACGCGTCGGCAATGTTGCGTTCTTTGAGACGCTGTGACACGCCTTTCACTGCTTTTGCAGCTTGTGCTCAACTTGGCCCAATGCCAAGCCAGTCTTCCTCACATCTTGTGTCCGGGTTCTGCTGTTGACAGCTGGAAAGACCTAGGGGAGCTCAAAGCGTTTGATGTTTTTGCTAAGCCTATCTGATTTTCTGCCCTTATCCAGCGCCGGCCTCCAATTGTCATCCTTCACTTCCTGCAATCCCCTGTAAGCATATCACAAATTGGTTGAAGGTGCAAAACGCCAAAGCTGGAAAGCTGACAAACTTGCAAACGACTCCCCCAGGCCACAGGTTGGGCAGGTCTATGAGACCAGGAGAGCCGGCTGATCATGTACGGCGGTTGGTCCAACAAGTGGTTGGACGACTGCTGGCAGATCAACGTCTCGAGCATTGTGGGCCCTCCTTACGCCGTGGTTCGAGTCGAGCCTCCACTCGGGCCGGTGTCCGGGAATCAGCGCCTTGGGCCTTGCAGGCACGGTCGCATGCATCCACCACTTCGCGTCGAGAATTTCCTTTCTGGCATGTCTTGAGGAGGCGGATGGTGCACTCCTGCGGTCATGTTATGTTCAAGGCTAGGCTACTGCCTGTTGTTTTCATTGGACTACGTGTTCTTTTCATATGCATGCACCTGCACAGGAAACAAATGCCATAATGCATGTGTGCCACATTGGGCGTATGTGTGTGTAATACATACAGGGACGTCCACATTTCAAACCTTTACGTAAAGCTGAAATGTGTACAAAGTTAACCGCTGCTTTGTCCAACCGTTTTAGGGGATGTATGGCAGCCTTGACAGCCCCCTTCCAACGCATTGGCAAGGGGAGCTTGCCATACGCAAGGCGTGGCACCCAATTGCAGATTTGTTTGCCCGGGTTAGACAAAATGCAAAAACTGTGAGGGACTACAGCTGGCGCAACGGACAGGGAGCTTTGTTGCCAGGAAGTAAGGCTTGCTGTTGTGTGTTTCGCAATCTTTTTGGGAGGCATTTGACTTGCACAAGATGGGTCCGTGCCAAATGGGCTTGCCCAGCCCACAAATGCACAGATGCCTGCAGTATGCCAAATAAGATGTATTTCGCCTCACTTATTAAATCAGGCATGCCCTGTACTTGCACACTACGATTATCCTGTTGCAGGCAAGTCTTCTCAGAATCTACCATACTAAAGATGAATACATCATGCAAGCGGTCCCGTGAACACATGAGAACATGTCACAATGTATCAGATAAATAACCTACACGCCCACCAATTAACATGGAACTTGACAGGGGTTCCTGAAAGACAATTTTCCTTTTACAGGGACCTGACTGTCCGGTTCCATGCTAATTGGAGGGTCAACCAACGTGTCCTCTGTTTAACAGCCAAGGAAGGTGAAGATCTACGGCGTAGGCTTCCTCTCGGTGCCCGGCGCTGCGGTGATCCGCTTCGGCGCGCACGGGAAGTTCGTGGAGGCCCGAGTTTTTGGGGCGGCGGTTTCTTGGTGCGATGGGCGGGGATGGAAAAATGAATGACCCCGAGTTCTCAACCATTCCCCATGGTTTTTTTTCCGATTTTTCAACCATCCCTTATTGTTTTTTGCCTTTAAGGGAATCCCCAGGTTCATTTTTGGGTATTTTCTACTAGGCACCAGCGAGGTTTGGGAGTGCTGATTTGTCTGGGCCGGGTGCTCAATAGCCAATGTTGAATTTGTCTCCGTAAAATAGTTGCAAGCAACCAAGGGATAGATTATTATCTTTTTTGTCTCCGGACCACCTGTTTAGCACCTAGCTTGGGCTCGTTTCTGCCCATCAGCTTTACTGCGCCATCTACTTTCACCCTGGTGTACCTGAAAACCACGCAACCTGAAAAGAACCTTCTGGAAGCTGATTTTCGTTCAACAGAGAACCCTCTGCCAGGTTCCATGTTTATTTTTGGGAAGGTATTTTCATGTTTCCTCTCCGCCCAAGCCGCTTGATGCACAGCAGACCCGCATAGCGAACACTCATGGATGAACCTGGCCAGGGGTCATGGGCTATTGGCAAGGCAAACAAGGCTTTTCTCTGTGTGATTTTACATGAAACCAAGAGAAAAACCACACATATATGTTTTCGAAGGTTCCCTAGAAAACGACACCCATATGACAAGGCAGGGCAGCAAGTTGTGAAGCCTATGTTTTTCTCCTTTCTCTGCCTGTTGGACCTCAGGCCATTCTGATCAATTGCGGTCACGTGGAACTTCTCAATCCTGACTTTGCAGGTATGTGTTGAAATTAGGCGAACCCCGAAATGGGGGGGGGTCCCTTGGGTTTTCCTCCATGACAACCGAAAAAGGGACGACCATACCCAGGTGCTCAACTTGCTTCGCCCTTTGGAACCCCTGCCAACAGTCCTTCGCCCGGACTCGGGCAAAGTTCCTGCAGCCATTTGAATGAAACCTGCAGGCTGCTGGTACACAAATGGAGCGGGCATGGTTTCCGGCACCAATCACTACCCCACGGAAACAGGACACATATCTACTTTTTAAACATATATAGATGTACGCGTATACAACCGGATATGTCTCCCCCCCTACACCCCCCCCAACAGCCCCCCCCCCCGTATCGGTATCCACCATTGATATAGTGGCTCAGCTGTAAATCCCTCACCGGAGACTCGGTTGACGGCTCCTTCAGGCCCAGGGCACTGTGGTGGAGGATGAGTTGGTGGAGTGCCTGACGCCCAAGGCCCGGCTTCAGCCGCCCAAAAAGGAGACCCGGTAAAAAGCCGGTGGCCACTGACGTGTTTGTGTGCAAGCCAAACACAGAAAGGGAAGTCGCCCCAGAACATGAGATTCCTTTTGCACAGTGGAGATTTCGGGGTTCCGGGTTTGGCCCTCCGGTTTGGGCAGTTTTAAGACTCCAAATGCTTCAGGGTTGGGAAGTCCATTGGATGAGCCAGGAAGGGATGCAAGTTTCACAAGCCCCCAAGTCTTCGTCCCGTTCATCAGTGAGACTCATTTGAGAACACAAACTTCCTGAAGCTCGCCTCTCTGCCAGAGGCTCGTTGGAGTGAACAGAGATTGGCTTCTCAAAGCTTCTTTTGGGTGGATGTGCTTTCACAGCCGTTAAACAAACACAATTTGATAGTGTGGCTTTAGTAGGCCCTAAGATGTGTCATTTGTCACTTTAGTGGATCCAGTAAGATGGTTGCCGCGTGTCTTGGTGAAGCAGTGCATGGCCTCCATTTGCTGGCCTCGCACGCTGCCACGTGCCAGCAATTCAGCACTTGGATTGGTTGGCGATATCAGGGCACACCACTGAGGAAGTTGACATCACAATGAGGTGCTTGCAGGCTGCTGCTCCGGACCAAAAGTCGCGAAGACAACTTGCTAGTCACATTTTTGCACTGAGTATGCATGTGAAATTCATTCCTTAAGTCAATGAACGTATATCTATATGTATACACATACACACGCATGTATACATCGGCAGGTGCGCAAGAACTGAACACACCATTAGTGCTCTGGGTTGTTGAAAATCGGTCCCGCGTTGAACATCCGTCCTGCATCCTTTTACCCGATCGTTGTGGTTTCGGTTGTTGTAGTGCCGTGCCACTACGGATTGCTGATTAGGAAGTTCGGGGTTCCCTTTCCAGGATTGAACAACCAAGAGGACCCCTGATGTCATGTCTTGTTGTTTCCCTTTGCACCGAACTAAGAAGGGTGAAAGTAGGTTGCACAATTCCCTCGTGTTGGCTTGGTCGCCTCTTTTCTTACTCACAGAAGGGGAATTGTGCAATCTACTTTTCACCCTGCAAGTGATTAATAACCTCCAGCAGGCCCCCAGCAAGCCACTTACCAACTCCACCATCTAAGTGGGCTTCAGTCCATGTGTGTCTGTCTTTTGAGGGTACCCGTTTTGGGGATGTTGCTTTTTCGTGACATTTCGCAGAACACACATTTTCTTTTTGGACACTTTGTGAAAACTACCACCTCTTTTATTTTCGGTGGGGGGGGGAACCACGATGTGTCTTCGGGGTTGGTTTAAGGCCAAACTCACGTGCCCAAAGCCGACCTTTCAACCTTTCGGAAGGTCCCAAAAGGTGAACCTTTCCCAGGTCCTTTGAGCGAGTGAGAACATCTAATTCCCTTTGCATGCAGTTCATGGCACGAGTGAATGCTCTTGGAGTCCCGCGACAAAGGGAAAAAGTGAGAACACCAAAGGTCCCCAGTTTTGAGCCCCGCGCCTTTCTCCGCGAGGCGGACGCCCTGGGCCCGCGGGACTGCGAGGTGCGGATCAGCATCGGAGTGAAGGACTTCACCACCACCATGCGCCCGGGCCAAAATCGAATCGAGGATTTGGGGGGGGGAACCCAAATAAGCCCTTATTAAGCCCCTAATAAGGCCTTATTTGGGGCTTATTGGGGTTCCCTGCCTTCCCCCCCTCCCTCCCCCCCAGCCCCCATGACTATGGTGCGCTTTTTGTTGGCCATTGGGGAGTACGGGGAATCTAATCTATGAAACCAGCAGGAGGTTCTACATCCTGGTGGGGTTTTCGGCCAATATGGACGAAATCCACGGCACCACCGTTCAGAAACCCAACGGAATGATGATTTCGAAGCCAGCAGGATATGTTACGTCCTTGTGTTTTTTAGGCCGATTTCCAGCATGTTTTAAGGGAAGCCAAAAGAAAAATCCAGGGCTTCCGAAGTTTCAGACGCATCCTTAGGCCATCTTCGGCAGTGAGTTTCAATGAGCCACCTCCAAAGTGATTGGACATGAAAGCCCACCATGTTCATCAAACTACACACCCAGCAAGACCATAGAACATAGGTGTAGGCTGGTTGAAAAACTATTTGCTCAGAGCACCTTTTGCTTGCCGTCAACTGAGTTTCAATTCGGATGCATGCGATACGCTCCCAAACACGGAATCTGAAAGCCCTGAATCAGGGCGTCGCCTTGTGAAGGTGTAGCACGTGAAAAGGGGCACTTCACAGTTATTTTAGGCACTTGTTGACGACGGCATGGCACTTTTTCCCCAAGTATGTGGACTTCATAGTGTTCAGGGAGGTTTGACTTGTTTCGGCGATGTTCGCTCAGGATACGTGAGCTTCTCTATGAGTGATCTCTAGCTGTAATAACTGTAATATCAAATCATTAGACGTGTATTTAGCTTCACCAAGGACCAAGTACCTCTACTTCCTGAACACGGTCACGGAGATGTCTTTGTGCTACGGGCCGGGGCTGTTGACGGACCAACAAGCCGAAGCCACCACCCGCTTCATGATCCAAGCGCGGAACCAGCTGGGGGAGAACCGCAGCTCTGGCCGGGACGAGTGGGTGGTGCAGATCCAACAGGTCTATGCACCTCGGAAAGGGAAGAGGCCCTGCCTGTTCCCAGTGGTACCCTTGTTCCCTTTGTGCTGGGTGGTCCAACAAACATATCTAGCCCAACAAGCAACTCCAGGAGCTTGTGCCCATGTCAACAGGTTAGAGTGTCGAAGCGCTTCAGGCTGCAGAAAATCAGTTTGCGAGTCATGGCTTTCGCTCCCAAATTTTCCCAAGGGTCGGTTGCCCGCAAAACACTCAGCTGCCCAGTGACCCAGAAGCAAGCCGTTTGGTGGAATGCACTTGTTTGCTTACTCTATGATCCTTCTCCTTTGAGATGGATAGCTCGCCACTGGGAAGAAGCCCTCGGAGTTTACCATGGCCGTGATCCCTAGCCGCCCTGGGGTACTGATCGAGCGAAGGTGAACGAGAAGGGCAAGGAGTCTCTTCGAGAAGTCCCTCACGAAATTTTGGACTTCGACACGGGCCAGTACGAGGCGAGGCACAAGCCTGCCATTTCGGGGAATATATTTTTTTGAAGTATGTACCCCTTGAGAGTCGTTTTGAAGGGACGCCGCAGAAGAAACGGCCTTTGCATTTTCAATATTGGTGGGGGGGTCCTATTTTGACACATGCCTACCCAAATCCACTTCTCGAGCGCTCGCAGTACGTAAGTGTCTCACGGCAGGTGCGCTACGTGGCAGAGCCGGGCGACCTCGTCATCAAGGTCAGTATGGTGGATGCAGCTGGCCCACAAACATGGGAAACGCTGGTGTACACGGTGCACGGGATAGACCTACCTTAATATATATATATATATATATACATGTTTATATGTGTTACATGTGTTACATGGGCATGGTTTGCTGGATTCCCCTCAATGCCTCGAAAAGACAGACTCAGGGACTGCACTAAAAGCATGGAACGAGTGCACGATGGCTTGCGGCAAATAGCACGTCATGTGGCATGTGGCTGTGTGTGTGTGTGTGTGTGTGTGTTTTTTTAATGAAGATGCGCTTGTTTGGTTGGTTTAAAAGGGACACCGAAGGAAAACCATAATTTTGGCGGTCCCCTATTTTGACACACACACACACCCACGTGCGAGTTATTCAGGGTCCAACAATCAATTCACATTGGAAGGAATCAAGAGCTGCCGAAGCTTCTGGACGAAGTGCCATTGCTCAGGGCTCTCCGCTCATGTTGTCCTCTGGGGATGTCCAATTCAATCGGTGTGAAGCTCTTCATTGCTTCAAGAGCGCAGATTGCCCTGGACTCTCCTTGAAGAATCTTGGTGTTGTTTTTTGGATTTGGAGTTTTGGGGGACCAAGGTTTGCCAGGAGGGGTCAACAGCAAGACTTGGCGCAATTCTTTGCAGTGGGCTTCCCTTTTTCCTGGGCCCAGCTCATCAGATCAGGCGTTGCCCGGAAGCGGCGGAAGTCAGCAAAGCGCTGGTAGACGGACATGGCGGTTTCCATCCTGAACTGGATTTTTGAGGGGAGTAGTTGATGGGCTTCTTCCAAAATTCACTACTGAGAAGCAAGCGAGTCTTGCCGGGCGTTGCTTTAAACACCTTTCTCGTTTTCTTGGGCGCCCGTTTTCGGGCGAGCTTCCCTGACCGGATGGGTGCCTAGCAGGTACCTCGGCATGTTGTTTTGAGGTTGGCTTCTTTTTCACCTGCAGATGGGAAAAAGATGAGCTTCAGGAATGGGACTCCGTTCGCAAACAGTTGCTTGGAACTGATGCGCCTGCGACTTTTTGTTCCTCGCTTCTTTTCTTTGCTTTCTTCACTTTTCCTTGAGGCAATCCCAAGACTGGGCCTGGCAAGAACTGTTTCCTTTCTTCTTCGGCATTTTTTTTGGTAAAGGGACATTCCCTCCAAACAAACAGCAAAACACATTCCTGCGACAAAAAAACAACACCTCCCGGAACGTATTTTTTCCACGCACCCTTGTCCGGACTGAATTTCTGGGCCTTCCTGACACATCCCAACTGAATTCTGCTCATTTCTTCGGACGGAATTCTGCGAAACGAGGAGCTGGGCAAGCCGCGGCCCATCCGGGGCTCGCCCTTCAAGGCGTCTTGTGTTCAGTATGCCGCCTGGATCAAACATCGGCGAGCGGATCGAGCGGAAATGGATGAAATGGATGGCTTCCCATGAGACTCATGACAGTATCCTTTTGGTGGAATTGTAAGGCCATGGGTCACATGGTTGTGTGTGCTTGTTTAGGCTTGTGGTTTTTGAGGGCACCTTTTTCACCTTGGTTCAAAGGGCAACCAAAAGGAAAGCCACCTTTTTTTTGGGGGGGGGAGTTGACAGATACTCAAAATGTGCGACTCCTCGGGCCGCCTCTTGGTCGGAATTTAAACGGGGACCAAAAGGAAACAGTCGCCATTCAAGGGGGACCCCCTATTCAGGAGACCTGCCAATACTCGGCCAATTCCAAACCAGTACCAAGCCAGTTTGGCAATGACCATCATCAAGCTGCCCAAGTGTTCATGTCACGCTTATCTCGACACCAAAGCAGCCACCCAAGCAAAGTTTCGGGTGGTGATGCCTGCCCCAATTGGGAGCAACAGGGAGAGTTTAAGGGTCGGAAATGGAGCAAGACTCGGCAATGACGTGACCCCAGGACCAATTGCTCACAATGAGCCAAGACTAGGCCATTCTAAGCCCATACTCTGCCAGAACTAACTCAACCGCTACGTGGAGGGGCCCGATTCTATCTTCCTTTTGCCCAAAGTCATTGAGTTTAGCACCCGTATGAAAGTAACTCTGACAGATTGCCTTATCACTGACAGCCGCGATGCAAGGAACCTTAGGAACACTTTTGCATAGCGGGACATGAACATCAAGGCTTGCTTGGCAGGTCGCAGGCAGCCCCGTGGGGGACAGGAGGACGCAACCTTTGAAGTCGAATCTGCACAGTCCTCAGCCCTCTCATTCACTTGCCCAGCTCTCCGGGCAGATTTGAGTCGCCTGAGGTTCGGCTTTTTTGTTTTTTGGTTCCATGCGAAACAGATGGCAGTTTCTGCCCAAAGTGCCAGGTTTGACACGGAAACCTTCAACTCCCATGGGGTCTCAGCTGGCGAGCCATGGCGTGCCAACCAGCCCCCAGATCCCGGCAGCGTTTGTGCCAGCAACTTGTCCGTTTCTTGGGCTTGACCCAGGCCAAGAATCGCGCCAACGACTACCTGGGGCCCAATGTGCAGACTTGGCTCTCCCAGACGCTGAAGTCCCTGGCTGCTTGAGCTGAAATGGTTTGAAGGGAAACCACCCCCCTGTCCGCTTTCAGGGTTGCTTTTTTGAGGAGGGGGCGCAACGGCGGGGAAGGGGGGGGAGTACGGGCTGATGGGCCAGATGGGAGGTCTCATACCATGGTCCGCAAAAGACAGAACGAGGATTGAACATGGCGATCGGAGACACGGCTCAACAATGGCAGCATCGTCCCAAAGGGAAAGTTGGCAAGGGCTCTGTCAACCGCCCTTCCTCCATTTGTCGGATGATTTGGGTGTGCTTTCCCCGGGCTCGGCTATCCTGATCCCATCTGAGGATGAATTCCAGCGGAGCACGGAGGCTGGCCAAGGGGCCAAGCTCTCGGAGGAGGATGTGAAGGGACTCATCAAGGCCCGCGAGCCATAGACACGGCTGTGAGATGTTGTGTTGGTGTGACATGATGCGTGTTGCGCGGTGCGATATGGGCTGATATTGTTAGTGGCGTGTGGTTCAGTGTAGAATCTGAGAGTGCCACCCTGCTGAGAGAGGATTGGCCGGGTGCGACTTGGTCCACTTGGTGGTACTTGGCTAGTTGCCTTGGGTCGTTAGTTGAGTGTTCGATAGGCTCATGATGTTTTAAGGACAATGCGCCCCTGATCGGTTGGCATGGGCAGGTCCGCTTCTTGCGCATGCGGAGTTGCTTGAACGTGCATGTTCACGTTGTGATGTGGCCGTTTTGCATGTGTGTATGTTCCTGTTATACTTTACCCGTAGTAGAAATCAAGCTGCTTTGTGCTCCCTGCGCAAACGTTCTTACTTGCGATGGGGATGTGAGAGTGGGTGCAGGTCATGAATCATATTGAAGACATGTACAAGAACGAGGCAGAGCTCAACAGATTGCAGGACCGACGCTGCCAGCCATGCCTTGGCTATTTATCTCAGCAAAAGAAACAGCTTGTTTCAGCTCGTGCATTGACTACAAACCGTCCCTGAGAAACTCTTACCAGCAAAATAAGTTGTTCTACGTTTGTCCTCCCATTCGCACTGAGGGGTGCTGGAAGATGTGACATTGACCTGACGTACCGGCTGGGTGTTGTGGAGGGTACCCTTTTTGGATGGCTTTAGGGGACGACAAGGAAACCACCCCCAGCGATATGGAGGGTGCCCCCAAGAGAAACCCATCGGTGCCGCACCAAGATGTCAACGCCGCCACTCTTCTGACTGCACTCCTGCGGGCTCCAAACCAATACGAAGCTTGGGGCAAGGGAAACTTGAGCAGCAGTTTGGCTGTTCTGCCGTTCGCTGCTGCCACAGTTGGCTGTGCTTTCGGAATCAGTTCGGCTTTCTTGACGAGCCAACCTAGCCAATAAGCGTTATTCAGCGCAGTCAACTGTGTGTAGTAAAGCTGCAAAGCTTGGCTCTTAACTCTGCAGAAGTTTGGCTTGTAGCTGTGAGACGTGAGAAGCCGACCAAGCGAGGAACTTGACTGCCGGTCTGCAAATCGTGGCAAGGGGTCACGCAACACCGCGTAGTGTTGAATATTGGAGCACGGGCTGAGCAGATTTACAAATTGTGATTTGTAACTGTGAGGACCATGGCTGGCAGCATGGCAACTCATTCATTCTTGGCTGCCTGAGACTGAGCTGGACTTAGGCAGCGAGGGAGTGATTGTGGGTATGTTTTGTTGGGCCTAAGCTGGGAAGGGCCTAAGCTGGGAAGGACTGCATCTATGAGACGCTGATGCATATCGAGCGCGAGGGGGTGCCGGTGGATAAGCAGCTGAAGAGCCTCAAGAAGGCCCACTCATGCGGCCGGTGGCACGCAGGGTAGCAGGATAGCTTTGGATGCACAACCCTCGGGCATGGTAGGCCAAACCATGGCCCACGTGACAAATCCCTTGTCCGCCCCACAGTCACTGTCCAATGATCCACCCCGGGCTGTTGATCATAGGTGTCCCTTGTGCGCCTTGGCCATTTGGAACTTTTTAGGGAGAGGCGTGCGGACGGATGGCCTGCACCAAGGAGCCTTGCTGCACCCTTCCTCGCTGGCTGTAACCACTTGCACACACACACACAAAATGGGTGGCACCAGACCTTGGGCGTTCTTGTTGTTCTTCATAGGTTAAGTGTCAAAGTTCAAGGTTTAATGTTGTTTTTCAAAGGGCAAGAGGTGAGATTTCAAAGTCAATGAGCTGAAGTGCAAGCTGCTATTGTTCAGCGTTGATTCCCCTCTAGGTGAATCACTGACTGGGCATGCCAGCCAGAATCGCCATTAAACTTAAGGTGTTTGTCATTTTTTTATCTTTCTGCAATGGGTGTTGCGTTGACAACAGGAACTGGCTGAGTCGCAATCGGAGTGCAGGCTTCAGCAGTTTCGTCCCCCCCAATGAGCGGCCCTTTATGCGTTCCGCTGGAGGTTTCATCCAGCCAATTAGATTCGCCCTTGAGCGTCTCGAGTTAAATGAAAGTCTTCCCCGCGCAGGGCGCCAACGAAACGGCCAAAGCAACGCATCGAGGTTGATACCCCGCAGAATGTGTTTCGGGCTATGTCTTGCAACGCCACGCACAAAAGAAGAAGTCCGCCCTTCCTTCTTCAAGCTGCGCTTGATTTTCCTGAGCCATTCCAAGCATTCAGTTTGGGAATTGTGAGTCATTTGAGCATGGGAAGTTTTCGGGGAATAAAGCAACTATGACTTCTGAATCCATTGAAATTTGGGATGCCTTCTGCTTAAGCTTTGAAGAGGAGCCCCCCCTTTGTTGGACCTCTCTTGAGCCTTCCAGGGACCCGGGTGGTGTCCTTCCAACAAGCGGCCGGTAGGTGAGCCATGGGCTGGCGCACCTCAAGGGCTTGTGTCAGACCACGGAGACCGCCATCCAGCCCATGGTGCAGGCGTCGGATGGGCTGGGTGGCTCCACCCGAGTGAGTGATGTACCCGTTTTTTGTCGGGCAGGTTCTTGTCTCATTCTTGTTGGTGCTACAAGGGGCTGGTTCAGAATTCTGCTCAACACAAGCATTTAGAAGCGCAAACGAGAAGCAAGCAACATCAAGTCAAGGTGGTTCTCAAATACCTCGCCGCCCGAGATAGGGTGCAATCACAAAGCCACTTTGTCCATCAAGCCTCATGCTGGTTATTTCCCTTGCAAATCAAGGGGAGAAGGTGCAACAATCCCTCTTGGCGAGGCGAGATGCACATCAGACTTCCTCCAAATCTCAGCATGAAAGGGTTGCCTTGCTAGGCGCAAAGCGAGATCTACAAGACTCGACGCTCAGCCTGCAAGGATGATGCATGCTGTCTGGTACATTTCCGCAGGATTGTGTTCTGGCTTTTGGCTGGGCATGGCTTTGCAATTTGGGGCCTGAAGCAAACGAAGGGGGGAGGGTAGGAGGGAAGGCAGGATGGCAGAAGTGAGTTTGCTGGAGGGAGCCTGCATGTGCTCGACATGCTGTGGTTCATCATGGCTATAACAATGGTCGGTAATGATTACAAACACCACCACCGCCACCAACCACCACCACCACCATCATCACCATCAGGCCAATCCGCCCCCTCGCTGGCATTGAATGCTCGCAGGTCCCGACGATATTCTTTCAAACCCCATCCTGCTATTCATGTCCATCCCAACCGAAATGACTGTGTTACTGAAACGGTTTCCTCGTTCATGTACTTTGCCCCGACCATTCAGGCTAGTCCCCAGTGGGCTTCTTCCAGGTTTCATGCTTTAGGCTGGTCCCAGGAGCTGTTGCGTCTCTGGTCCGCTCAGCTCGGGCCGAGGCATTGCCGACTTTGAGCAGGCGCTGAGATCCTACCACACGGGGCTGAAGCAGGAGGCCTACTACTACTACAGGCTCCGGGATTGGAAATGGCCGGACTCCCTAAACGGAAGGGAGTTGGGTCATTTCAGGACAAAATGCACGGTATCTCTATATGTATATAAAAAAAATTATATATATCTCTCTCTCTCTCTCTCCCTCTCCCTCTCCCCCGGTATCATCTCCTGGTCCAGCAGCTGGGGCGCTGAAACAAACCCACGTTCATGCTCATTGGGGGTCTACATTATTTCTGCTGTTTGTTCATTTTCCGACCATTTCCTATTAGGCTAATTGACAGTTCTGCCAATGTTCCACACATGTCAGTGTCTGCTCTCATTTCCAAGCGACGACACTGTCACAATAGCTCACGTGCTCATGGCCAATGTTTCAGCTTTGAACCAAGAAGCGAGCAAACAAATGCTTAGGGCACGGGAGGGTTCAGGTATCTGCGCCTGGATCGGCGTTTTTTTTTTTTTTTTTTTTTTTTTTTTTTTTTTTTACCAAGAACACACACACACAGACACAGACACAGACACAGACACAGACACAGACACAGACACAGACACAGACACAGACACAGAGACAGAGACAGAGACACAGACACACAGACACACAGACAGACACACAGACACACAGACAGACACACAGACACACAGACACACAGACACACAGACACACAGACACACAGACACACAGACACACAGACACACAGACACACAGACACACAGACACACAGACACACAGACACACAGACACACAGACACACAGACACACAGACACACAGACACACAGACACACAGACACACAGACACACACACACAGACAGACAGACAGACACAGACAACACACAGACAACACACAGACAACACACAGACAACACACAGACAACACACAGACAACACACAGACAACACACAGACAACACACAGACAACACACAGACAACACACAGACAACACACAGACAACACACAGACAACACACAGACAACACACAGACAACACACAGACAACACACAGACAACACACAGACAACACACAGACAACACACAGACAACACACAGACAACACACAGACAACACACAGACAACACACAGACAACACACAGACAACACACAGATAACACACAGACAACACACACAGATAACACACAGACAACACACAGACAACACACAGACAACACACAGACAACACACAGACAACACACAGACAACACACAGACAACACACAGACAACACACAGACAACGCACACACACACACATACAGACGCAAAAAGCCCAAAGAAGGTCTGGGTATGAGTCTCCTAAAGGGTTTTCTGCCATGACATCCGCATGAACTAAAGGAGCACAGTCAAGCGCATGTTTGTCGCTGATTTGTTTGGCGTAAAGGAGTAGACTGTACAATGCCGAAGGCACCGGCACCCACTCGCAAGCGCTCACATGCTCACACACGCACATGCGCACGCACATGTGCGCACGCACATTCGCAAGCATGCCGATGGCCACGGTCAGGGTCGGCACCTCCAACATGTGGACTTCAGGGCGCCCCTGTCGCCTTCTTCGTTTGGCAGGTCTCGGAAGTCTTGAAACGCCTTGTGAAGACGGGTGGCTTACCTCCGTCTTGGACAGGTCTGGTGTGGAGCTTGCCTTCCAGCGGATCCAGGCGGTGACGACTCATCTGGACATGAAGACCAACGAGCTCCAGGCGCCCTGGGCCTTCAAAACGCCTGGACAGGTTGTTTAGATCAGCGACTAAAAAACGCTGATTTGATGGATGCCCTATACCAGTATTGCAGTTTTGCAATGGATGAGTTTTTTACAGGGTATTAAGATTATGCATTTTTCAGAAGGAGGATGCAGAAGGATGCAAAATAAGTATCTGAGTCGCCTCTGCGGTGGCAGGAGCAACTGCGCTGTAGGGCTCTACGTCCCGGTCGCTCCATCCACCAGTCCGTCCGCACATCCGTCCCTTTGTCCCTCCGTCCATTCGTCCATCCATCCCTGCCGGTTCATTCTTCCACAGACGGTCCGTCCCTCCAGCCATCCATCCAGCTAATCATCCCTTCATCCATCCATTTATCCATCCCTGCATTTGCCCTGGATTCCGAGCACACATAAAGTTGGCGATGCCCGACATGACAGACTTGGCTTGAAGGAAGCAAGAGGCCTAAGAGCTTTGCGAGAAAGTTGCCAGCAAGCAAATCATGAGGCCTTACTGAAGTGTGGACGGGGACTGCGTTCAATTCCTCAAGCCGCCAGTCCAAACCAAGTGGGTGTTTCTGAACATTTAGGGCCAATTCAATCAGGTTAATTCCTTTTGGCTTCCTAATACCATTCAAGAACCGGACTTTGAGAAATACCCAGGCAAGCAACTGCCTTCCGAGGGTTGGTTTGTAAGGCCAATAACAACACGATGTTTGCAGGATACCGCAAGTCCCACAGTGCAAGCCCGGCGCAAGCGCGCAGGACCTGCATTTGATTGCCAAGAATTTCGAGTACCCAGATGAGGTGAAGGAATCCTTCAAGATCATGAGCCTCGCATGCTGGGGTCTCCTTCTTCTTTGACTTACCAAGTTCTTGTAGAAACCCAACAGTTAGAAACTGGCCCTGTGTTTGTTGGTTTTTAAGGAAACCGAATTAATTGGCATTTGCAGGGTTACTTGAAAAGGGAACCAGGACCCCCACCCATGTTCAGGTCCCCGAGCCCTTTCCCATTCTGGGAAAATGGGGTTCCACAGGTTCGGTTGGCAGATTCCTTGCGCATGTGTCGTGCACTGACTGCAATCACATGGCCACGTCCTGTTTGGGTTCAAGTTCTTTGGGTGGTTAACGGCCGGCCGAGAGTTTTTGGACCGGTTCCCTGAGCATAGGGATGCCATGGGGGCTGTGGGATTTTCATTGTGATGGTCGGTCCATATGCGTTTTGTTTGCACTCCTGGGTTGAATGGCGATTAAAAAAAAAAAAAACGCACGCGGCTTCGATGCAGCGGCTTGGTTGTTGCTTGTTGGCCTGAGCTTGTTCGGATGGAGTTGCCATCTTAGTTCCGTTCTTGCAGCCATTTGCCCATCGGAGAAAAAGCAGCAAGCATTCATGTTGATCCCACCGCTGGAGGCCACGAGCAAACAGTAAGAACGATCCATGCTGGCGACCCATGAGGAAGGCTGCAGCAACTTCAAGGTCAGATCTCCAGCCATTGGAGCCACCCGACCCCCGCAGGTAGAAGGCTTTCTCATTCCGCGTGGCAGGTGTAGTTCTGCTGTCTTCGGCGTGACTTCCTCAAGCATGCTGCAAAATATAGCTGGCATGTTCTCCTCCCAGCAAACTTGCAAGCTGAGCACGAGGTACTGTGGATGGACGAAATCCTGCACCACCTGAGGAAACCCTGGAATGATGATTCCCGTGCAAATGCCAACGACCAAAAAACCTTCCATGGTTTCAAAGTGGCGTAGGATTTCGTCCATCCACAGTATGGCAGGCTGTGCTCTCTGAAGGTAAGAGTTTGATTGTACATCGCAGCATTGGCACAATCTCCTCGTGTGGAACCAACACAATCGTTAGCCTCACTGGGCACTCGAGCTACTTTGAGCAGCTGACTCGTGTAGACTACACCTTTTGGCCAACCAGGGTATACTTCCGTGCTGGCAATCACCCAAGTCCCCCCCCCCCCCCCAAATGAAGCCAAATATAAAGCACAATGGATACATTTCTATATATATATATATGCCTTTGTTCTAACACATAAAATATCCATCTACCTAATAATTTACATATCAAGATGCTGTATACACATTGCATTTTTCAGCTCACTCACCCCTTCCACGTTTTCCCAAAATTCCGAGGAACATGATGCGGGAGGACGTGGCGCTGATCAAGTCCCTTTGGGACCACGAGATCGGTCGGATCCAAATCACCGAGTCCTACCTCGTCAAGAGGCGCGTCGAGCCGATTCAAAGAGCGCAGCTCGCGCATGCGAAAACGTGGCGTGGCTCTATCTCGACTCCCTGGGTTCCGGAACTCGGACTGAGTAACTTGGGCTTGGACCATTTTACTGTAGTGACTGTACCGGCAAAGAAAACCAACGTTTGGTTACCTTTTTTTCAGGAGGCCATCTGCTGCCTCCAAGTAACCCTCATTAAATAGGTGCAACACTATGATCACACATTAGTTTTGTCTAATGACTGCCTGTTCTGCGTCCGTTGGTGAATAGGTGACACTTATGGTTAATTTCCGTTTTGGTTTGAACCAGGGCCATGACATTGGGAATGGCAAGGTTATGGCCACCCTCAGCAGTCACCATGGGTCACCAGAGACTTGGCATGGCTCCCGGCTATGAACCATGGTTGCTCGATGACCATTGCAAGATGGAAATATCTTCTACGCTGGGGCCATGTCTGTCTCTTACCGCATCATTCGTCTCGAAGACTCAACTGCAACAGGCCATTCCTTCCTTTTGGCTTCTTTTCAATGCTTTCTAAGGAGGGGCACGGACTTATGCGCTTGCTATTAGTACCTATTTCTTGGGCCCAGGGCCGCGTTGATGTAGAAATATGAGTGCTTCTGATTGTTCAGCAACGCTTTGCCACCGCCTTGCCCAGACAGCAAGAAGGCTCGTGTTCCGCCAGGTGGAAAACTGTGGATGCATTGCAGATGGAGGAGAGCTGCGGGTGTTTGAGACTTCGGGTGGCATTTTTTCTGGAGCTTCTGCAATGCACCTTCAGCTCTTTGTCTGGTGTGGCCCCTTGCCACGGCAACCAGGCAGTTTCAAAGTGAAGCACTAACAAGTTCCTTACGCAAGTATTATCAGCACGCTTGCCCTGTGACGCCGCTGTCTTTAAACTTTAGGATTGGGGGAAGCTGCTTGTGCACTTGTCATGTTAGAGTCAAGAGGGCTGGTGTTTAGCGAAACACACTGTCGCAAGCATGTACCTACCGTACACATGTATAGAATTGAATCTGAGGCATATGGCATTGTGTGGCTTGGATGCTGTGCTGCCAGCTTGACTTGTGGTTTGTTGTCTACCTGTTTTAAGCGCAGCCTAGCAGCCTGATCCTGGCTGAGGCTTGAAAGGTTGATGGGGCTACAGACTGCGACCTTGTGCAAATGCGGAAATGCGACGCCTGTCAATGACCTTCCAAGCAGGGCGAGCCAAGCCGTATGGCAAGCGGGCCCGACGATCTCATAATGTCTGATAGTTGTTTCCTGTCAGTCTAGGCGCGAAGCCAGTCAAGCCCTGTCTAATCTCATGCGTAGGCTTGGGCTTGTGAGAGCGCGGGAACCTCCAAGATGGCACCCCAAGCTCAATGACATCTGCCCGAACAACCCCAAGCAAACCTTGCGTAAGGCTCGAATCAAGCAATCTTTGTTTCTGGCCAGTCGTGGGGCCCACTCGGTGAACTATTTTTTGCTTTGGGCTTTTCGCACATCGCCGTGAGCCGAGCTCGGGGCCCGAAGCGCAGGACGACATCAAGGGCAACTTCAAGAAGCTGAAGGAGTACAAGGCCTGGTCGGGTTTGGGGCGTTTCGCCAGTTGAAGCGCTCAGTCATCCATGTTTTTTTTTTTTTTTTTTTTTTTTTTTTTATGAATATAATGTATTTCAATCGCTGGTTGACTGGAGTGTGGACCATGTCTTCCGGTAAATGAGTAGAGATGCCTGTTGAGGCATGCTTTGTGATGGCAAGTGTCAGGTTCTGATCTTTCTCATGAACTGAGTTGACCCACAGCTCGGAGAAGGTATGTTGGTTTCAGTTCTGGAATTTGGGCCAAAAGTTCCCACTGCAACGGCTAAGTTAGGACCCCTGACAATCAATCGGATTTATGTTAGGCTTCCGGGGGGGGGAGGGGTTCGTGCTTACAGCACATCTTCGGGAGGTTGCCCCCTTACCCACTGAGATAACATTGCTTTCACATGGCAGCGCTCCAAATGATCCGTCAACATCCTTCGGCCCCGTTGCCGAACATGCGCCAAGTGTTTCAAAGTTCAAATATGTTCGAAGCCTCCCCCTTTTTGTTGTACGAAAGGACCTGAGATGAACAATGAGCTGCGAACAAGGTTTGGCTGAGATCGAGCCAACGGAAGCCTGAATTCAACCTGACTGCAAGGTTGTCTTTTTCTTTTTTGTTGTGGGAGAAGAAAACTGCCCGAAACGACAGTGTCCAATTGCGGCTTTCCAGCTGCAATATGTTCCTTTCAAGACGAGGTCCAAGCAGTTTGAATCCCACCTCTTCTCCGGATGCACCGCTCTCGAATTTGGACGAACCAAATGATGGGCGAACAGAATGGCGCATCAAACTTGAAAAGTGAATCGGGCGGGGAGGGGGGTGGGACATCCACAGGAGGGATGTGCAACAAGAAGGCATCAATGCAAAGGAAGAGGCTTTTGGCAATCTCCATCCCCCAAAAAACAAAGGAATCCGACCGTCTATCTCTGGAAGCAACCGAAGCTTGCTGTGGATGTACGAAATCCATCAAATTCCTCTCACTGGGATTCCCCACGAAATCCGATGGGCGAGTGGATTTTGTCAGGTGGACAAGCGACTGGACGTCTACGTGGGCATGCAGGAAGTCTTGAAGCGCTGGGCTCCTTGGAGAGACAGACGTTTCTACTGGGCGTTTGCGAGTGTGGGTTGGTTTTTGAGGCTAGCCGTTTTGGGGTTGGCTTACAAGGGAAGCCACAAAGAAATGCACGCGTTGTTTTTCTTTTTTGTTAGTGGGGGGTCCCCCCATTTGGCACACACACACACACACCTTGAAGTGACACGGCATCCTGCACTAGTTGCCATACTTTCAAAGACGCAGGGATTAAATAATGATTAAAGCTGTCCAACATCTGTTTGCAAAGTTCGATTTGCACGAGACTGAATGCGACTACAGCTAGTTTGGCAGGGATGCTTTAAGGGACCTTTGTTATGGTCAAACAGCAAGCCTGTGATTGGGATCCGATGTGTTGTTTTAGTGTTCAGTTCGGATTTGGTCAACTTTCTTCAACAAGTACCTCCAAACCAGGATTTGTTGTGGATGCCCTCTTCCAGGAATGAGTGGCCCTCAGCAAATTGAAGGAGGCATCTTGATTGGGCACTATTGATGGCGAGTTTGATCACCGGCATAGCCAAAGCCCTTCTCTTTGTTTTTTCCAAGGACCGGCCCCACCTGCGTTGCGACCCCAGCACAAGCATATTTACATGGAAATCGTTTCAACAGGCACAGGCTCACTTATTCGCTTAATTATCAAGTCACGGCCGCCCTCCTTCCAACAATAAGGGAAACTGGCAGTTTTCAAGGCGACCTTCCTTTTGGGGAAGGTTCCTGTCCAGTTGTCGGGTTATCGGCTGGCAGTTAGATACGGTCCTGCAACCCCACTGTGTCCTTGGCAATTTGTGATCGAGAACTATTTCTGGATAAAGGGTACTCAACACCCTGCTTCAGAAGTGGTCTATGGTCCATGTGGGGGAAAGACAGGAGAACCCCCAAAAATGCACCAACCCCACACAAACTCGCTCATTTGTTCTTGTTCTCTTGGGAGAGCCAATAGTCTCGACAGTGGCTCCAATCAACTTTGACAAATTAACCTTGACCCTCCTCTTGGGATTACATGGGGGTTCCACTACACATGGTTTTGGATTTGACATGGAACAAGCTCTAGATTTCACACAGGGGACAAACACCCACTTATTTGTTCATGATGATTTGCCCACAGGAAGCCGTGTCCCAAGCGGGTTGAAACCATCAGGTGGTCTTCTGCCCGTTGGTGGCTGAGCTCCTGGACCCCTCTATGCGGCCTCGGCACTGGACGGCTTTGGTCACGCTCTGTGGATGCCTGGCGCGGAGACAGGGCAAATCCAGCCGAAGGGAAACCACGCCTTCCATTTGGTTCAGAATATGGGTTGTTTACCCATCGAAATGATTTGTTTTCGAGGACATCAAGCAAACGGAGGGGGCTAGTCTCAAAATTGTCAGCCCCACAAGAACATGGTTGGCGTCCTTTTGGTTTCAGCCGTTAAACTAACCCAGAAGGGGTACCCTCAAACAAAGGCACACGCACACAAGGGCACCAGTAATTCCATTTACCTGTATCGCAGGCAACTACCGGAACCACTCGTCACATTTTGTTTGCCAGTGGGAATCCACTGGAGCTCCGGGAAAAAGGTACCTGGAAGCGGCGTTGGGCTGCTTTGGAGGTCTTCTGGGCAAATCAAAGTGAGGGATTGGGTGTATAAACGAAAAAGCGTATGAACATTCCTTTCTTGAGGGCCCTGCAATGTCAGGTTGGTGAAAGTCTGCAATTCACCCAGATGGTTCCTTCTTGACGACTTTTCAACAATCGTCCAACTGCTCTGCTTCAATGCCGAGGGTTTTCTGATATGACCACTGCCGGCGAAAAGTTGACCAACACAAATTGCGAACTTTGCATGTTTGGGCCGCTGGTAAACCCTGCAGTTCGTTTGCCTGCTTGCTTGCTTGCTTGCTTGCTTGCATTCTTGCTTGTGTTTGGGCGTTTGTTTGTTTATGTGTTTGAATTGTTTGCTTGTTTGTTTCTTTGGTTTGTGTTGCTTTGTTTTGTTTTGAGCTGAGTTGTTTGCTTGATTGCTTGCTTGCTTGCTTGCTTGCGTGTGTGTGCGTGTCAAGTTGTTTGCTGGTTTGCTCAGCTATTTGTCATAAGCTGACGGTCCAGAAGTACCGAGCTGCAAGGCCGGGCGGAAGCATTTTCGGGGCAACTCGGTGAATTAGATGCAAAAGGAGGTAGGAACACCCCAACACGAGGTAGGGTCATGACACACAGATGGTGAAGGTCACAAACGCATGGGGCGTTGGAAAGTGAGGTCAATGCAACGAGGTACGAGCGCCGGACCATTAACCATTTAGCAAGAAGTACCGCATCTCATATGGGGCCAGGACAGCTTTGCTGCCTTGAAGGCGTGACGCATGGACTTTGTCGGGCAAGTGCGCTATGAGCCATCAGTTCATTCTGCATGGATTAATTGTTGGCGAGGATAGGAGGTTTGGGGATTTGCACCCCCGGCTCTTGTCCGCAGAGGGAAAATGGGAAACCCCCAACCCCCAAAGCACCAAATCCAAGCGACCAATCAGAGAGAAGCTGAGCATTGTTTGGCAGTCAGCAACACTGCGGAGGGTTGCCATTCGAAGTCGCTGATGGGCGTTGTTCGCTTGCATGCTAGTCAGGAAAGCCGGTCACTGTGACCAACGATTTGCTACTCCGCGACATGTGGACACTGGAGCTCTACAAGCATCCCCTCGAGGCACACGATATCGAAGAGCGGCATTGCACGAAATACACACGCGCCTTTTTCATGGCAAATGGTAGGCGAGGCGCGTTCACCTGTTCACGCTTTGATTCTTCAGGGCCGCGTAGAATTGCACGCTGTACTCAGGGTTTGGGGCGGCCCTGGCTGTGCTCAATGTGCCCCGTTCCCACCCTCCTGCCCCCCCCCCCGGTCCACAGTCCGCGTCTGGCCATTTGCTTTCATGACGTGTTGGCAGTCTTGTTGCTTTCTCTTTCGTTTTGGTCGAGCCACCTACTTTCGTTGGGGTTTTGTGTATTTTATGGTTTTAATGAGATGTGGAGCCTTATCGACTCGATTCTTTCGCCTCAGTACAACCTCAGTTTGAGAGGCTTCAGTTTCGGATCGCTTCCATCCTGTTTGCAGCTGGGCATGAGCAGGTTCAAAGGAGTCTCTGATGGCGGGCCGGAAGGAGAAACCAAGTTGCGCGGGATGGGCATGACCCAATGGGCTTTAGATCATTGAACGGAATTTAAGCCTTATAGCTATGAACAACAAGTCGCAGCTCCATCAATTGTTGTTATTAATTTGGTGCTTTGATTTGTGCATGTGCAAGCAGGTGGAAGAGATTGGGGAGCAGGCAAAGCAGGAGGCCAAGATGGAGGCGACGATTGCAAAGCTTCATCGATGCCTGGCCAATAATTCAGACACACGTAGACACACGCATGCCAGACGGATGTTTTGCAGTGGCCTATCCTAGCCTTTTCGAACTGGAGGGCGGCTGTTGAGAGAGTCTCGCAAAGGTGGGCCAAGCAAATCGAATTCTTCCTACGAAGGCAGCCACTGGGGACGAACTTGTTTGGCTTTCTTAGGACCAACTAGCTATCAAGCAATCAGAGCGAAGCTTTTCAAGCCTGATTCAAGTGGCGCCAGCATCATCGTCCAATTTTCACCCCGTGCAAACTCACTGCTCATGCAGGAAGTCAAGACAGTGTGCCAAAGTGTCAGGAAGTCTTGTCCAGTTCGTGTTTGCAGCATGGCTGGACGCAACCATGCTCTCAACAGTGACAGATGCACTGGCACTGGCCATAGGAATTTGGTCCACTGTGGAGTTTGTGTACGAGCGCCACAAGGGCTCAGACGTGATGCTTATGCACCTGAAGGATGAAGACGTAGAGACTTTGGAGGAGAACCAGGCGCGGTTGTTTCGCAACATTCCACATGGTTGGAATTGAGAGAGGCGACCTCATGCGACTCGCGACCTGTGCGAGTCCATCATGTGGGGTACCGTTTTCGCCGTTTCAAAGGGACACCAAAAGGACATCTACAATTGTTGGGGTCCCCTAAGAAGACGCAGCCATGGCACCACAGCCCTTCATTTTGCAGGTGCAGGTGCAGAACATGTTCGCGTCTCGCTTCCTCTCCACCTTTGAGGAACAGGCGCCGGGTTCATGGAAGCGGTTGATTCTCGTGCAAGATCAGCTTGCTTGGTTCCTCTTTCACTTTTGGCCTGCAACTTGAAGGGAATCAAGGATATGTTTTGCGGGAAAGTTGTTCACATTCTTGAGCTGGTCATTCTATTGGTGTTTTTGCTGGGTCGCCTGCGCCATCTTGTAGGTTTGCTTCCGGCACCCCAGCAACCGGGAGAAGATACTTGTCCCCAGGAGGGTATTTCGGGTGTTTGCTTTGTCTAGCTTCGGAACCTCTTAGCTATGCATTCCAGCTGGTTGAAGTGTTCAGAACAGGACTCCCCTTACTGGCAGGGCAACATGCTCGAGAGGTGCTGTACTGGCAGAAGACTCTGGCCATCATTAGCGAGACCTCCACCCTGCTGAGCGAGGTGATACGGACCTGGGTCTTTCTGGAGAATCTCTTCATCCACTCGGAGGCATTCGGCACCGATTTCTTTGTTCTGAAGCCCAAGATGCGACCTGGGACCCGCATGAGCGTCTCTTGAACTGTGAGCAATGCATTGGGTCGAGCATCTTTGGAATTGTTTTAGCCCTGAGATGCCGATTCCGGAAACTATTGTGGGAGACCCTTTTGGAGAAGCCATTTGCCATGAGCATTGTTTGGCCCGAACTTCAATGTTGGGACCATGCGCATGTGGAGTCCCCCCAACAGGCCAAACGCGGTCAACCACAACGAAAGGCACCCATAGCAATGGCAATTTGTGAGACAAACCGAACCCATCCAAAGCATGTCCGAAAAAGCGTAAACATGTTGAGGAGCCATTTCAGATTGCCAAACCTGGGCCCTCCTTGAACGACAATCAAAGCCTGGGCAACCCAAGTAGTGGACAGTCGCAACCACAAATAGGTGTGCATATCCGCCCGTTGATTCTTTTGCCAGGGACTTCTTTGTACCAATTATTATCAGATCTGATATATTTTCCCAAAAGTTGAAATACCTACGAGACCCCTTCGGATTTTTCCCCTCTCCCTCCAAACTAATGCCCCTTCAGTTATGTCACCACGCACTATTACTTGGGGATCCCAGGAAGACCATTTTCGTCTGAAAAGGGCCTTCTGCTGGAAATTTCATACTAGCTGGTGGGACTCCCCAGCAGCTAAACATGGATCGCCAAAATCCATCATTGTTGGAGTGGACCTACAGGGCGAGCCCACCTGAAATCGGGATTCCCCCCATCTTGAATCCAGATTGCTCCCCGACAAATTAACATAAGCAAAAAAGTGTACCAAAAGGTAGTTTCCCAGAGTTTCCTCAGAAATGCTGGGGTGTGTTCCATGAAAGAAAACTGCAAGGAGTTTCATCTAGTAATGATACGACTTGGGCTTCATGTTGGTAGTATTATAGTAGTCCCCAGGAGGTGAAGAAAGAGCTCCCGGACGAGACGGAGCGGTTCCTGGAGATCGACGACGACGTGCAAGCGCTGCTGCGGAAAGGCTTCGAGGCCCGCTTCGCCAAGGTCTTCTGCGAGCCCACCATCTTCCAGATCTTGGCGCCTCACTCAGAGTGGGGCTCCAAAAATGGGGAGACCCCTATCAAAAAACATGGGTTGTTTCTGTTTTTGGTTTCCTCTTACACCAACCCCAAAAGCGGATACACGCAACAATATCCACTATTGCCTATGTTCAACGATGTTCGCTGCCATTTCTTGCATTTGCCATGAAAACTTCCCACGGGAAGGCTACTACAGGATGCAATTAGGCCATTTGGTCCCATGCGAATTCACATGCCACTTTTAATGCAGCATGCCAAGTTCGAAAAGAATCCCTGGCTGGGTGTGGGCCTTTTGAGCACCGCCAACCTGAGACCCATAAGCATCAGAGAACGCGACACCCTTCCAACAACCGTGATGAGTTCACCAAGAGCCATATCAGGGTCGCGCAAAGTCTTCCAACCCAATCAGCTCCATCATGTCGGGCAGAATGCCATCTCGCGGCACGCTTTCAGGAGAAGACCCAAGTACAGCTTCAGATGTGTGAGAAGGCCTTGAACGAGTTCATGGATGGCAAGCGCCAAGCCTTCCCGAGGTTCTACTTCATGCCCCTCGGCCCATGGTTCGTCGCTGGAGGGGGACGGGCTTTTTCTTTCACTACGGAAGCTGGGCGGGCTCGCCCTTTTTTTGCCCGGGGCGTCCTGTTTGGCGCGTTCTCTTGATAGGTGGGTGCATTTAGTGTTTGGATGGTAGAGAGGGCTGTTGGGAGGATGTTGGCTGTAAAAAACCCGTTCGTCCTGGTCAAGTTCTGCTCCATGCCGCTGTGCATACCTTGGTCTTGTGTGGTCTTGAGTCTTAGTCATGCATTTGTTTGGCGGCTTTAGGAGGCTTTAGACATCCCAGGCTACAGCTGCATTCAATTAGGAGCTCACACAGCGATGCCTGTCTTCAGCGCCATAGCATTGGCTTCCAGCACGCCCTCTATGATTTCAAACAGGTTGGTGGCTGGCTGGCTGGTCAAACAAGAAGAAGCGGACCTTAATCCAGCTGAAAACTGGCAAGTCAATATAGCTGACCATAGCTGACCTATATCTGCATTGCAACTCGTTCCCCTTGCTTGCCGCTTGGCCTGGTGAGCAGTTCTGAGCTGTGAGCGGGCCAGAGTTTTGGTGCGCGACACATTCGGCGTTGAGCTTTGCCGATTTTGAGGCAACACGGACATTGCCGCGTACCCTCCCCCCCGTAGACCTCTACGAGTGTATGAGCAAATATGTGTTTGAATCCTCAGATGCTCGTCACTCAGGTCTTCTGCAGATCTCTTGGATGTGCTGAGCAACGGGAACAACCCCACCCGTGTTGTGCACCACTTCCCGAAATTCTTCAACGCCATCGCGCCTGGGCTGGATGTGCTGATTTCGGGCCGCCAGCAACATGCATGGGACCTTTGCATATTTTCCTTTCAAGTGGACGCCGAGAGAGTCTGGGGGACCTCTAGGGAGAGGCAAACAGTCGAGCCACGGCAGCCACGGCAGCCAAGGAGAAGTACGACCTGAAGTTCCCGGATGGCCCTTCCGCGCGGCCTGTGGCCACTGGAATGCACGCGTGTATCGGCATCGAGCACGTGCCTTTCCCAGAGGTGCGCTTGCAGCAGGGGAATTTGGTTTGCCCCCGCCATGCGGACGTCGGCGGACAAAACGGCTGTCTTTTAACACTCTCAGAACTCAGTGTTTGAAGATGCTGACTAGCTAGTTCAAGAAATCATCAATCTTGGGAGGGGAGAGGTTGCTTGCGGTAAGCTTGCGATATTCATCCTCAATGCAGCCCCAGTTGCAGAAAGCTTGGCAATGATCATTAGAAGCCTCAGGGATGAAATGCTTCCCCATGCCATCTGCTTCGTTTGCCAGGAGCTGCCACTTATTGGGAAGGTGGAGGTCTATTTGGAGCGCTGCATCAACACCTTTCGCAGCACCTTGAGGCCATCTGGGAATCCAATTAAATCGAGCACTCGCACGGATGCCACTTTGAATCTGAACAGGCCCCACTATACAGAGGTGGCCCTGGTGCAATAGCCAGCAGTAGTGGCAGCCAACACCACAGAGAAGAGACGCAACAGAATGCAACTGTCACACAAAAGCTTCTGACGAGCACACATCTATGGTGCAAAGAAACCAACACAAAGCAGACCATATTAGAAGAGAGAAGCAGATTGGCGTGTACACTGTGAAATTATGAGAAAAGATCGTAGGCCAGGCGCTAGGCCTTGACCGCTCCTGATATAAGGGAGTTGCACGCCTTCGAACAGCAGTATTTATTTGCCTTTCAGCTCAACGGATGGTCGGACCTGCGGTTCTGAAGAATGGGGGTTGGATTGCTCTTGTTCTTGGGTGCTTGGATGTCTTTAAGCTGGTGTGCCAGGTCCAGCCTTGCAGTCCCGGCTGGCTCCTGAAATGGGTTGGTGCTTTCCAACATTCTACCCCGCTGAGTCGAGCTGAAAGACATTTCAGGTGGACTGCGGAACAAGCAGGGTCATTTGGCTTTCTGACGCCTGTGCAGTTGAAATCCGGCAGGCATTTCGCCATCACGGATTTGCAGAGTTATGCCGAGCAGCGATGTGAGGCGAGGGAAGCGTTGTGCGGGTGGACTGGGAATCACGCCCCGGGCCTTGTCGATCCTGATTTGTGTTGGCTGGACTAGCCCATCAGCTGCTGTTGCGCCTTGCCCGGATGCATGATTCTCCGTCTACTTCCTGGTTCATGAGCGTGGAGTGGGGGTGGGGTGGACTTGTTCGGAGCGGGTTGCTGAAAGGACAACGTTGGCATTTCTTGCCAAAGGTGCTGGCTTTTGGCCGTCCTCTCAGTATGTTAGTGTAGACACATGCAACATACTCTAGCCATCTTAGATGTTCTATGTAGCCAGATCAGACAACCCCTTGGCGGAAAACCATCTAACCACCAATCCAAACCAAGAGGGACACTGACATCAGATCGCGGTTTCGTGGTCGTCAGAGGCCAACGGCACGAAGCGGGGCCAGTGGCTGCTGCAGGTGAAGGCGGCGCAGGGGGCGCTGCTTGTGCAGCTGCTTGGAGGGCAGGGGGTCTTGTTTGGTGGCTCATTTTCTTGAGGCTACCCTTGAGCTTTAGCACCTGGATCCTGGGCCCTTTCAAAGGACCACGCGGTTGTTCAAACAGGGCTTAGATCCCAACAGATTTTAACAAGGGGTTGCCACTCTGGATTTCCCTTGCTGGTTTATCCTCCCAATTCCATCCTACCTGGAAGGTTCTGTTTCCAGGTCCCGCCCCTACGTTCCAGACATTGTCTTTTCTTTTCTTCTCCTTTTTTTTTTTGAGGGGGGGACGGGCCTCAAAATGAGCTTCCTTTCAGTGATGTTCAAAAGGGACACCCCGGGGCCAAGCACAGACACAGACACAGAGAGAGAAAGAGAGAGACAGAGACAGAGACGAGAGAGAGAGAGACAGACATTTTGAGAGCACAGCATACGTAGGAACGAACTCAGGCTTATCACCTGGGTCCAGCTGGTCGAAGTCTCCTTCCAGGCCCCCCGACTCGCACGAATGCAAGCCGATTGGGAGGTGTCTGATGCGTCTATTCAAGGCAACAGGTGTATCCTTCACATGTCCCACCGGCAGCGGAGCCTTGGTTTTTGGCATGTCCGGACTGTGGCCAAACAGTCCCCCTTCAGCGATGATTTACCAGCTGATGGTTGCGGTTCCTAGCCAGTAACCAAAGGAGACCAGGGCTGCTCCCAACAGAAAACTGGCGGGGTTGCAGAAACGAGCAGCCACGCACAGTGAAAACAGGGGCCGACGTGCGTCCAGTTTCATCGCGCGGGCAAGTTTTGCTTTGCTTGTCAGATAACGAAGGCGTAAACACAAGTGTGAATTTGTGTGAGGACATGCTCTTTGAAGCAGAGTCAGAGATGGACAGATATCAAAGGACGCAGTGTTCACAGGCCTTGCTTTTCCGGGCCCAACTTCTCAAGGACCTCCAAGTTCGGAAGAGCAAGCCAAATGCAGAACTGGGCCTTCTTGGTATTTGTTACATCTCGGTTACTACATGGGCAATTACAAGTCGAGCCTTTCCCAGAGGGTGGGACCAGTGCTTTGGCAGTGTAGGGGCCAGGGGTGGTTGCAGGTGAAGGAGGAGGAGGAGGATCAGAAAGAAAAGAAGGCGGGACACGCCCCTGGTAGCAGACATCCAAGGAAGGCGGTCTCCTCTGATGTTGGCAATTGCCGGATTTGGTCAAAGACTTTTTCAAATTGCCTTCTAATTGCTTGGTGGTGACCAGGCGTGGCGAACTAATTTGATCACGCCTTTTTTCCCTCTCTCCAGACCGGTTCAAGATTTCGAACGGAGTTCAGGTCGCCCAAGCCTGGAGCAGGCAGCAGGAGCTGCTATTGGACCTTATCCGACTCACCCAGACGGACCTTACCAAGCCGGCCAGGCAGAAGGTGCGCAGCGGAAAGAAAGTTGTGCTTGTGTATGTTTGTGTTCATGTTTGCCGTCGCAGGTCATGTGCGCCATCACTTTGGACGCGCACAACAGGGATGTTCAGGAGAGGCTAGTCAGAGACAAAGTTGTGTCCGCGGACGCGTTTCAGTGGCAGAGCATGCTGAAGTGCTACTGGGTGGAGGACGAGGAAGGAGCCTTGCCAAAAGAATGCCTGTTCCGTGGTATAGGCCATGTAGGCAAATGGCTAGTTTTCGGCCGCACCAGCTTCGAAGGCCCATACGCAGTTTGCTTGACATGCACAGGTTGTTATGGTGGTCATGCTTGCTTGTCGTTGTGGCTTGGCCCATCCTTTTCCTGAGACTCATGCTCCAAAAAATGGCAGGATGAAATGTAAGGAAAGAGAGGGTGATGGCGATGCAAGTTGAGACTCGAATTACAGACTCGAATTTATGAGGCTGAAGAGGCGGATGTCTCTGGTTGGGACTGATTCGCAAGAGGAACAGATTGTTCAGGACAAGCAATAAACAGATTTTAGGGCCAGAAAAGCAGGGCGGGGCCGGAAAAACTGGTTTCCAGTCCGAAAAACAGGCTGCCCCAAGATATGCAAGCCGCTTCCCTTATTTGTGGGGCTTACCTGTCTCGCACCTAAGGAGATTGGAATGCGCAGATGTGGCTTTGCTGAATTGCACGCCCTTACCAGCGCTGCTGTCAGACAGCCCGTATGAGGTTTGCAAGGCATGTCACCCGTTTGGCCTTAGCAAGTATTAAAAGGTTCGCACTCAGGACTGTGGGCAACAGTCGTTAAGGTAATTTCAATCTGAGCTAGCGCCTTCAGTTGCTTGGTTGCTTTTTGCACTGTTACTTGCTTGGGAAGGTTATGCTGGCAACTGTTCCTAGCTTACAAGTATCGAACATATGTCTACGTGCATGTGAGACTTGAGCGCCAATGACTTATGTACTGGACTGGCACTGCCTTGGCCAACAGCTGCCCCCAGACATGTACATCACTATGGCAGGAAGGTTGGGGCAGAAGCGTTTTACATTGGCTTTAACTGGCATCGGTGTCTGCTTGCGCCCCAGGCACCCCAAGCATGCATGCTTTGCTCAGGCAGATTTGCGACGCTCGGATGTGGTACGCTTACGAATACCTGGGTAATGGCCCGCGCTTGGCCACCTGGCTGGAAAACTTGGGCTAGCATGGGCTAGCTAGATGATTGCCATCCTTTTGATGGTCGTAGCGGCAATATTCTGTCAGTCATCAGTGGCCTTTAGGAGTAGCTTGCTGCTCCTCGATTTGGCCCAGGTGTTTGTTTTTTCTTGTCATTCTGTTTGGTCGCTTATTTGTTTCCGGCACGTTGCTCTGATCCAACCCGAAGGCTGCCCCAAAGACCCAGGGCCGGTACGGAATCCGAGAATCGGCCGCTTTTCCCAGCCCCGCAAATAAATGGGTGACCCCACGTGTAAAAACCACCCGGCTGGACGTTCGCTTCTCAAACTGTGCGCGAATTCGCAGGCATTCGCTGGTAGCATTGTAAGAGGAATGAATGCTCTATTGGACTGAGTGCCCAGTAGCCCCATAGTTCTTTCCTTCGTCATTGCGCAGCTGAGTTTCCAGAGCGTGCAACCGCAGGTTGTCACACCTCTCACGGACCGCATCTACGTTACCGCTACACAGGCCATGGGTCTCTTGCTCCTCTTTCTTTAGACATCTGGTGGTTCAAGCCTGTAAGAAGGAACGCGCATAGGCTTCTGTGACATGTTTTTTCATCGCCAGTGGCGGATGCTTTGTGCCCCAGCGTGGCGTTTCGGGGCCAGGCATTGCACCTTTGCATGGGCTGTGCGCCGGCGGGTCCGGCGGGCACCGGCAAGACAGAGAGCACCAAGGCCTGCCAGGGGGTGGGGGGGAGCAGGGAATGCACCCAGCGCAGTTCTCGGGCGCGTTTGTTCTCCAGAGATTGTTTTTACACACTTTAGATCTAACCGTTGCAAGTTTGCTCTGTGTGTTTGTGTGTGTGTGTGTGTTTGTGTGTTTGTGTGTTTGTGTGTTTGTATGTTTGTGTGTTTGTGTGTTTGTGTGTTTGTGTGTTTGTGGGTTTGTGGGCTTGTGGGCTTGTGGGTTTGTGGGTTTGTGGGTTTGTGGGTTTGTTGGTTTGTGGGTTTGTGGGTTTGTGGGTTTGTGGGTTTGTGGGTTTGTGTGTTTGGGTGTTTGGGTGTTTGCGTATTTGTGTGTTTGTGTGTTTGTGTGTTTGTGTGTTTGTGTGTTTGTGTGTCTGTGTCTCTGTGTGTCTGTGTGTCTGTGTGTCTGTGTGTCTGTGTGTCTGTGTGTCTGTGTGTCTGTGTGTCTGTGTCTCTGCTTGTCTGTGTGTGTGTGTTTGTTACATTGTGTGTGAGTGTGTGTTTGCTTGCTTGCTTGCTTGGTGAGGTTGATTCGGCCTCATGGGCAACACTCCAACTTGTGTTTGCAGCCTTTCCATGGTACCAACTGTTTGTCCTTGTGGTGTGACCAAGGCAGGCTGCCAAGGCTTCAAGATTTCATTGCTCCTGAAGTGCGTAAGGCTGCAAGCTGGCGGATGCCATGCTGGTAGGTTCCCGGTTGGGGAATGACTTAGCTTGAGTGAACAACATGTCAAGTTGTTCACTCCAGGCCATTGACTGGCCGAGACCTGGCTCAAAGTTGCGGCGTTCAATCCAGGCATTCTGAACGCTGCCATGCATTCTGAACGCTGCCATCCCGTGGCGACCCGGCTCAGGACTTGGCAAACGCCTTGGCGCGCGCATGCTATGTGACCTGGCAAACATTTTGTGCAGAGGGAGGGGGCAGCCAGAGGGCAATTCAATGTATGTGTGGGGGCCAGAATCCAGAACACAGGATCAGTTTGAGGAACTCCGAGATGTGACTCCAGCCAAGGGAGGTTTACACGGTGCTTCTTTGTAATTAGACGCAGCACAACTTCTGCACCTGGCAAGATGCCCTCAGGTCATCAACGCAGCACCGGAGATGGACTACCTCACGCTGGGTAGCTGGGCCAGTGTTCTATGGAGTCGTCGCATGTGCTGCCTTTGTCAGCAGTCAAGACAATACCAGAAGAGATCGTGTGGATTTCCAGTTCTTTTGTTTTGAGCAGCGCGATCGTGGCAGAATAGGCAAATCGTGCAAGACTTAGTTAAAAAGATGGTTCACAGTAACAAACGGACCTATGACACATATGTACAATTCTTGCTTTTTTGGCACTGGACAACAGCACCAGTGGTCTTGACCAACCCTCGGATTGCGGGGCGGCCCTGCGAGTTGGAGAGTGCTTGGCAGGTTCCGGGAAGTTTGGGATCGATCCAGGTAGGTGGAACATTTTCTGAAAAGAAAGCCATAAAGGGATGAGTAATTCGTCCTGTCTTTTCCAGGCCCCCTTTTCGAGTATTTGTTATAGGGGCCCCCGAATTGTGGGTTTTACCTCTGGTTCCCTTGCAACCCCGAAAGGGTTCCCTGAGAAACACCCATTCGTCTATGAATTTAGGAATCTCCCCTCCAAAAATGGTTGGTGGACACAAATGCCCACCTGAACGATGTCCTCAGCGTCCCCAAGCAAAATTCAACCCCAGACAGGACCCTCAAGACATCACGTTGCTGAAGTCGTTGGGTCCCAAGCCTTGAAGATGTTTACTTCGACCGCTGGCCAACAGGCCCATGAGGCGTTGGGCGCAAAACAAAAAACAAGCCCTGAAGATGTCAACCCCAAAAACGCGAAGGGACCAAATCTGTCAACCCCAGACACCAAACGGACCAAATCCAAGGCAACATCTTCAAGGGCCTTGCCGCCAGTGGCTCCTGGGGCTGCTTCGACGAGTTCAACCGCCTGGTGCCTGAGGTGCTCTCGGTGTGCACGGCCCCGAGACGCAAAGCGACAGTAGCTCTCTTCTGTGCCCACACCCCCGCGGCAAATTCACATGGACCCCCACAAGGGGACCCTCTAAAGATGGCTTCTTCTCTTTTTTGGGGGGGATGGAAAATGGTTCCTCTGAACTTCTAAGAGATGTTGTCTTTTGTTTGGGGGGTGGGCGGGTTCACTGGAACCCAAGAACCGTTCTCCTTTTCCACCAGGGTCAATGGGGGCTCAACGATGCCGCTAGCATGCAGTCCTTGGAAGTGCTGACCATATTCGGCCGAGGCTATTTGTTGCCTCCATTTTGTGGTCAGAACAACGCGGAAACCGTCAAAACTGCTCGAGTCAACTTAGGGAGGTGGGCAGACTTCGAAACCCTTGCGGGGTCAGATGGGGATGTCCTCCTAGCATGTTGATTTCCTCCAGTGTTGTGGATGTGCTGCAGGTCTACAGAAGGTGGCTTTACCATATTTCTGTTTGTGCTCCGTAGATGTGAGTTTTCCTACAAGTCCTGTCCGCAGCTTGTTTGCATCGTGGTGGGACGCATTCTAGGGGATAAGGGGTGTGATGACCATTCAATTTTGTGACACCCAGTCGGTGCAGACTATGTTTGCATTCCTTGATGGGCAGATTGATCGTCCTTCTGTCTGGCTTACATAGGCTGAGAAGCTGATCATGAACAAAGCCACAATTAGATGACTGCACTTTGAGACAGGTTGGCATGTTTGACAGATTGCCTGTGACGTTTTCGCAGAGTGCTTCCGTCGTTAACTTCTATTCAACAGATGCAGGCCGAAACGGCAGTGCTGGGTCTAGCCCTGCCGGGCTCGGCATCTCTTGGACATTGGGCAACTCCAAATTTTGTGACGGCCTTGTCTAAGGATTGCGCAAGTTCAAAACGAATCGTTGGTCCTTGTCAGGGCTGAAAGGGCTCACAGCGGGAAGCCGAGGCAACTCAGGGACGCTGTTGACCCTCCTATTCCGTGCACTTTGAAACAAAAACTCTGGAACCAAAAAGGTTGGGGGCAGGTTGGAGTCAACGGATTCGGATTGAACCAAATGGCACTTTGCCACGCAGCTCTCGGCCGAGGTTCAGTTCAAAGCAGTTTGCGATGCCTTGCGCCAACAGCTTGACCGATTCATCATCCAGAGCGATGAGATTCAATTGGACCGAGGCAGGGAAGACGTTGAACACGGAATATATGTATGTATGTAATGTAAAATGTAATGTAATGTAAAATGTAATGTAATGTAGTGTAGTGTAATGTAATGTAATGTAATGTAATGTAATGTAATGTAATGTAATGTAATGTAATGTAATGTAATGTATGTATGTATGCATGTATGTATGGATACATCTTTTTAATGCCCCTTCAAAGATGCCTATGTTTGGCATACTGGAAATACGGAACACCGATCCTGGTGAAGCAGAAGCTTTGCACGCGCAGCTCTATCTCTGCAATATCTTATTTGTTTCTAGGCCATGGCTTGGGCAAGGACAACCTGGCAAATGCCCCCAAGTTTGTCCAAAAAGGCACGAGCATTGGAGCACCGCTCTAGGCTTCTGGCTGTGGTTAATGCCCAGCCGCACGCCGTTCGCGTTCAGTGGCACCCTGTTTTCTCCTTCCCTTTTTCTTTCTGTTGCGGTGGGGGGGGGGGAAACCCACCACCCACCTCCCCACAATGGAATCAGCCGCCCAGAACGGAGGGCTCCCTTTGCCGTTCGGGTCGAGACGAGCGAGACATGTTTCCCACCGAAGGCGTGGGGGTCTTCATCACCATGAACCCCGGGTACCTGGGCCGCTCCGAGCTTCCGGAGGGCCTCAAGGCGCTCTTTCGGCCCATCACCGCGCCTCGGCGATCTGTTGCCCACGTGGCAGCGCGCGGGGCTGTTTCCCGGAAAAAAACCGGCGCGCGGCAGAAGAGGATATGTTTGTTTTTTTTGTTTTCTTTTTTTTCCAGACTTGGTTGGGAATGGTTGAAAGCATGCCTGCAGAATTTGGTTCATGAGTGAGTTATGTCATCTCATGGCTATGAACCACTTGCCGCTGTAACTCGGGAGTCGAAATAAGCCCCATGGAGGGCGTCTTTCCTTTGCAGCCTGGCGAACGTGTGGTAATTTCAAGCTGCTACATCGACATGATAGGAACTCCTTCTGACGTTTCCCTCCCAGGGCCGGGGGATGGCTGATAATAGTGTTGTACCTTGCTTCATGCAACCCCCCCCCCAAGGTCAACAGGAATCGTAGAAGCCAGATTCTGGAGTGTCCCCAGAACACCGGATTAATCCGGACCTTTCCAGTTTGTTCCTGTTTCACGCCTGCCTGTCCAAAATCAATTGGGGGCCTTTGTGTATCAGGAAATGTTGTCTTTAAACACACCCGGTGGCAAGAAATGTGTTGTTTCCGCATGGCTGATTGGCGCCTCTTGGGGCTCAAGCAATTTGGCAAACATGTTGGCAATAGTCAGAAATCTAAAATAGTTTGTTTGGGTTGGTAGGTTTTCGGGCTGGCAGCACAGGACATTTTGTCTAGAGGCAGTTCTGGTGAGGGCGCGAAGCAAAGTATGAGTTTGTCCGAGATATTGGTTGGAAGTTCGGAAAGCAGCTGAAAAAGGTAGGCCATGTATCCTCAATAATGGCTTTTTTAAAAGCCCTATTCCTTCACACACTGCGCGCCTGCGAGCTGTTTAGCTGGCCTTGGCGGCTGACACAGGGACGGTGGGCTCTGGGCGGGGCTGCGGGCGTCGTAGGGGCGGTCGCTTTGGGACTTAGTGGCTTAAGCCCGCTCCACGACGCATGCAAAGATGTGGGCCCAGATCGATGTTGGGAGACCAAGGTGATGGTTCCCGACTTCATGCTGATCATGGAGAATATGCTCCTTGGCTGCAGTTGGAAGGCTTTCCCAAGAGCTAAGACCGAAGACATGTTGCAATGCTAGCATGAGAGTCCAGAGAAGTTATTTGGGAGAGCCATCCTGCAACAGGTGTTGCTGGTTCATCAGCATGCATGCAATGGGCCGTTGCTTCCAAGTTGTTGCAGCATGAGCTTTTTGGAATGGGATGAACCATACTGTAGCTGAAGGCGCAGAAACTGGTATTGAGACAGATGCCGCTTCCGGAGGCCTGTTCCATGTTTATACGTTTTTCTGAAAACCTTCTCGGGCCAGTAGTTTTGGCTGGACCTGCAAAGCGACCTGTTGATGGCATTTCTTCATTTGAAGTGCAGGAATGGATGTGACAAATTAGGTGCGACCAAACATGCCATGTGCGTTGTCGAGTAGGGGTTGGGGCGCGCAACGCGGTCCCGGAAACTAGGCCCTCCTTGAAAGCTGGGAAAAAAAGCATGGCCTCGCTTTTGGTGAGTATGTGATCTGCGCCAAAATAGGGGATTTGGCCCCCCCTATATTTGAGCTTTCGTCCTTGGTTTCCTTCAACCCCCCCAGCTGGGGTCTTTAAGAGATCCCTGCGAAGGCTCAACTGGATGGACAACTGCGGATGGGTGTTTACCAACACGCTAATCCGGTTTCACGTTGGGCGCCGTTTGGGTATCCTTGTTCCTTTCGGCTTCCTGGGGCGACGAGCCACACGTTTGGCAGGTTCATGTCGGAGGGCTTCCTGGAAGCCAAGAAGCTGGCGCTGAAATTCTCCACGCTCTACGCCCTCAACAAGGAAACCCCTCGGTGGGCTCACCGATTCGGACATAAAACGAGCCTTGGGGGTCCCTTATTTCAAATTTTGGAGTTTCTCCGATTTATGTTTTGTGTGTGTGCGCGCGCTTTGCGGGTACCCTCGTTGAGGCTGTTTTTGAGGAAGCGGAAAGGACGGCCATACTTTTTGGAGCACCCCTATTTTTATACGTACCTAGTTGATTTACACTATGAGGGTGTGGTAGCATGTGTTCCTTCAAAGCCGCTTGTTCTTGTCCTTCAGACACAGCCATTCTTTGGCTCTCTTGCGTCGTGAGAATCTTGATCAATATGGCAAAGGTTCGGAGCTCCTCCTTTTGCTCAGAGGCGAAACAGCAGTGGGACCTTTCCGCCTGCATAAGCTTGGCTTTGGTGACGGCACGCCTGTGTGTGTGTGTGTTTTCGATGAATCGGCACATTCAAGGAGTCTGGAACGCTTTTAGGCCTTCACGATGTCCAGTGGCCCAAGACGGGTGCCCTGTGAAAACCAAGATTCTTCGTGGTTATTTCCTCGCACCTGGACCTGCTGGCACCCCGGGCTTGCCATAAACATATCCGCTGGTTGGTTGATATTTTGGTCGTGCGTCCTGTGCTTTAGGTAAAACTCCGTCACGTGCGCGAATTTGCACCTGCCCTTTCTCTCAATCATTGAAGTGGAGGGGTCTGCTCAAGAGTCTTGCACTTGCACCCCCCCCCCCTCAACTTCCGTGGTGCGAAAGAGGGTACGGCGTGGTGAAAGTACAAGGCACCATTCCTCCATGTTGGTTTAATTCCCCATTTGCAAAAAGGAATTGTAGCATCTACTTTCCTGGTGTAGCTGTGTGGTGACGCCTGAGGGGGTGGCAGCTGGGGCAGGACCTGCTGTCGAAGTCCAACAAGTACGACTGGGGCATGCGCGCCATCAAGTCGGTGCTGGTGGTGGCAGGCAGCTTCAAAAGGGCCGACCCCAGCCTGACGGAGCAGGCGCGGGTTAGGGGCCGCGGGGGAGCTTAGAATGCTTTCCCTAAGAGAAGAAGGTTTTTTGACCCCCAATATGATCTGCAGGAATATTGTTGTTTGATTCCTAAACAGTTTTTTTCATCCCTCACCCTTTACTTGGGGGATCGGTTGTTTTTGTGCGTGTGACTTGGGAGGGTTTGGTTTGGGGTTGGTCCTGCTGTTCAGGCGGATAGTCTCAGAACACCTGGCAAAGCCGTATGGTGCCAACTGTGCCAGGCAGTTCTGATGCGCTCGCTGCGGGATACCAACGTGGCCAAGATCGAAGGCGATGACCTCAAGATCTTCATGGGCCTGTTGGCGGATCTTTTCCCCGGCGTGGAGGCAGGTGGAGCACTGCAGCTAATGACGCATCGCATCTCCTGAAATTGCTGTTACCATGGCACCATGCCCAAGTTCTGCCTCCGTCCAAAACCTGGCCATTCGCTGGGTCCGAAGGTGCCGCGAGCCCGAGACCTTGACTTTGAGAAGCTGGTCGTGGAGACGATGGAGAGCGAGCTGCTTCGGTTTGGATGCGGGGCCCGGCTTTTCTTTCACTGGCTTTCAACGGCTCGAAGCTCGGAGCCATTGCCTGTGTCGCGCAGCCAAATCCACGCCTAGCAATCTTGTCTTCTGATCTTGAGGGTGCTTCTTGCTGCATCTTGCCTGGGCCACTGTAGTTCAGGAACTGATCACACGGTTCCAACTGTCTGAAGTGCTGTTTGGGCAGGGCGCTGAAGACTGCATCCGCCAAAAGTCCAGGCGAATCATTTTTGGCCCCAGGCACCATTCTAGGTTTGACACCTTTGGCGCAAAACCCACAGTGGCGCCGCGGGTGTAGCTCCAGGGCTAGTCTTGCTCTGGCTTTGGTGACTCTGCCGAGTGCGATGTGAATGCCTGGTAACGAAGTGCCTTCAGTCAGAGTCGAATGCTTCAGATATATCTTCAGTTTGTTTGTGTGTTTGCGAAGCAAGGCACACTCTTGGCGTTGCTTCGTGTGTTTTTTTGGCACAAGAGAACCGTTTAGCAAGGCATAGGAAGGGAGTGAACGGAGGGACCCATCAAACCGGTCAGAGTTCCCCTGCAGGTGTTCCTTCCTGTTTCTTGTCTCGCTCCCTAGCCTTGCAACAGGCCAGGGTTTGCGTCTGTTTTTTTTTTTGGGGGGGGGGCGGCCACCAGATGTTCTTCTAAACGCAACCTCCAACTCTAACAACTCTAACTCAAACTCTAGCCCTTTCCCAAACACCGGCACCACAATCGACTCTCCAAGCTGCTCAGTGTTTTGCTTAAACTTACACTGATCAATGCTTTGGCAATGCCTTGCATTGTCTTTTTTTCCAAAGCGGCCTGACGAGCACGTGAAGAGGGCTACATCATGTTCTGAGCGAGTTGCAAGTCTGAACACGTACTATACGTATGTAGTAGTATCATGTATTGGGGGTGTGCCGTTTGTGGCGGGCTTTTGCCCCAGTCAATTGGGATCATGTACCAACTTAGTTTAGCTTGTTCAGGCGCACACCGCAGAAACCCTCATCAGAGGAATCTCCTTTTGAAAGGCGACCCTTTTTAGGCCATGCTAGTTTGCGGAGGGGATTTGTGTGTGTGTTCGCTGGAAACCTCTGAGGTTCGGCTTCACCAACGACGCGGAGGGGTATTTGCTCCTGAAGGTGTCCCAGTTGATCGAGCTGCTGGACATCCGGCACTCCGTGTTTCTGATGGGCAACCCCGGGAGCTTCAAGAGCTTCCTGTGGAAGGTCCTCAAAAACGCCAAGACCAAGCGGGGGGACAAGACCACGGTGGTGGACGCCTTGCGCGTTAAAATGGGGAAGGGGAGATGTGGCGGGAGAATGAGGTTTTCAGAGGCAAGGGCATTCCAATTGTAGTACCAGCTTCGGGTGAGTGTGGGTTGCTGCTTTACCTCTTGAAGTCGTGATGAACCCAGTCGAAGCAGGTTTGACAACAAGCTTGCAGTTGTGCACCATCTAATGCTTCTACATGGGCTTTGCCTACAGTATGCACGAAATAAGTTACACAGTTTCGCAAAAAGATGCAGACAACAGCGCACCTTTGCACACAATTATATATGAGTACACGTATGTGTCATGTGTCTGCTTTTGTTTTAACTGCGCGGATGGTTCGCAATTCTCACGACACGGCCCGTTTGCAATTCTGACTGGCTGGACACCCGGTGTCGCAACTCCGGAGCTCCAAGCGGCATTTTGTGTGGGAACTGGGCAACTGGCCTTGGTCGAATGCAATCGCTGAGGTGGCGAAAGGCAGGGTGATACAATGTCCCGGTATGTTCCGAATCAAAGAGACATGCTGTTGCTTCCACGTTCACATGGAGTACGGATATAGGCTTGCTTTGGAGGAGCTTGGTTAAAGGGACCCTGTTGAGCCCCCAACCTTTTGCCTGGGACCCAAGCACAATGAACCAGGTCAAAGCGGTTTGGCCTTAGCCGAGGACTTCAGCCCAAAGGCCATTTCCACCAATGAGCTCTACGGCAGCGTGAACATGCATACCCGTGAGTGGAAGGACGGCATCTTGTCGAAGACGATGCGTGACTTGGGGCAGATACCTGATTCACATCCCAAGTGGATCATGCTGGATGGCGACCTGGACGCCAACTGGATTGAGTCTATGAACAGCGCTGCTTGCCAGCAAAGCGCCCAACGTGTCTTGTCAAGTGTTCGTGTATTTTGGGGCCAGGGATGGAACTAATGAGTGTTTTTGCGGAGCGGGTGCATTGTAGTGCTTGTTGCTTGTGTCTGGCATTCTGAAGCCCACTGGCGTTTTTGGGGAACCCCACTCAAAATGGGTCAACGTTCCAATCGTTTTCTACCTTTCGGGGGTCACTCGCACCAAACAACAGTGCCGAGGTCATGGATGACAGCCGGCTGTTGACGTTGCCCTCCAACGAGCGCATCCCCTTGAAGCAGCACATGAAGATGATCTTCGAGATCCGGGATCTGAACTATGCCACGCCGGCCACCGCCACCAGAGCTGGGATCCTGCTGCCCGGCATGGGATCCCAAGCCATGGGCCGTGTCTCGCGGCTTTTTCTTTTTTCTTTGGGGGGGGGGGGCCGTGAAAGGTAAATCCGTGCTGTTTGGGACACCCCCCCTCCCCATTTTGACTTAGAGTCAACACAAGGGCCCTGACAGAACCCGCCATTTGCGTTGGAGAATTGCGAGGGTTGATGATGACTTGGATGCAACCTACTTGTGAAGATGGGCAGGCTGCATAATTAGGCATAGCTGTGCGCTCAGGTGCATGTCTGACAAGGAAGGGGTGCAGTGGCAGTGCTACGCCGCTCAGATGCACTTTCATCCTCGGGTCCTAGTTGAGTCGAGCAGGTACGCAGCTTTCGGAAGCCATGACTTTTAATGTCCGAATGATTACAAATGGCATCAGCAGTTGCGAGTTGTACCCTCCCAAAAGCAAAGCTGCACCCTGGAAGGCCGTTTTCCTCCATCAGGGCCCTCTTTCAGGTTCGTTGTTTTGGGGTGGGTATTTGGTCGAACTCGCCCAATTCCAAGTCAAACATGACTTTGAGTCTGACGCTGCTGTCAAGGCAACCCAGTAAATCCGGAGGAGCAGGGGAAAATGGCTGGACTTGTCTATGCCCAGCGCCGGTCAACAGGGTTTGTCTGCACACACTTTCTGCGCGCACTCTGAATTTGGGTGCTAAACGGGCTATCGCAAGATTCACTTGGCTTTCCAGCTCCTCCCAACCATCCAGTCACGTACTGGTCACTCGCCATGTGGATTTGTTTGGGTGGTAATGCGTACCCCTCCTCACTAACCCCCCCCCCCTCAAGGTCCAGAACAAGCCCAGTTTTTGGCGGGTCCTCCCCCCCCTTCGAGGCGACCGTCTCCTGTGGCTTTCAGGTGCAGAGTTGGGTCAAGAAGCTCACCTACCCCGAGCCCGTGAAGGAGCAACTGGCGCACCTCTTTGAGAAGTACCTCCCGCCAACCATGGTGTGGCTTCGATGCTCGGGCCTGTACGGAGTGACAAGTTGTGCCTGGTGATTCAGTGATGGCCTTCAAGGCCCTGGTCCACTTTCATGTCTTTTGGAAAGAGGGCGGGTAGTCAAACCTGCTTCCGTTTGCAAAAGCAGCCTGTTGTAGCTTGCGCCAGCTGGTGGCTTCGTGCCCCGTCTATGTCCGGGCAAGCGTTTCGCCCTTTAGTCTAGCGGTTTCAAGTGCATATAAATATATATATGTATATATATATATATATACATATTTGTTGATTTGCCTATTTGCTCAAAACCCGTTCTCCGTTCTGACTCCTACTGCCCGAAAGAAAGAGCTTGACAAACCAATGCCAAGGCAGGTGTGTTTGCTTGGGAGAAAGTGGAATACTCCAAGTAATCTAATGGGGCATGTAGAACTTGTGGCATGGTGACTCGAAGGAAAGACCGCCAAGCTGCTGGTGCCTTACGTGGAGATCTCCCTGGTGATGTCGCTGTGTAGCCTGCTGGATGCGCGGCTGAACACTAGCAACCTGGAAGCTGTGGAGACCTGGCCCCGTGGCGAACGGGACGGGGTGGGTGTGGGTTGGGTGGGAGGGTGGGGGAGGGGGTGGGGTTGGGTGGGGGGAGTGGGGATTGGGTCGGGGGAAGTGGGGGTTGATCGCCAAACAAAAAAACTACCAGTCGAACAGTCGTGTTTCAACCGGCAGGTATTTTCTCCTTGGCATCGAGTATTGTTTGGGAGCGCACTTTGTGCTTTAATGGTTTTTGTTTTCCCGTTGTTGTTTTTCATGGGTTGCCTTGGGTTGCTGCTGGTGCTTGGAGCGTGTTTTCTCCCGGTGGCATAGCGCGTTGATGCTGGCTTGCCTTCACAGCGGAGCCGCTTGGGATTCCCTGACCTTCTATTTCGGTACTTTTTACAGACTGGGAAGCCTTTTTTTTGTGCTTTCCATCGGAAAGAATCAGCCTTTGCTCCTACTGTGAGACCAACGGAGTTTACCCTATTTGGCCTGGGACACGTGGGAAAAACCTGGCATTGTTGCATGGTTCATAACCAAGAGCACTTCATGTCCCACCCTACTTGGAAGCTGGCAAGAAAGCCGTGTTCCATGCTGGAACCCATGTTTTGAGAAGCTTAAGTTGGAAACCTGCCCATTTAGAGCGGTTTCGCTACTTCAAACCAACCTCTAGGGTTTCCCACCCCGTTTTCCACTGGTTCACAAGTTTCTTGGATTTAACTTTAGGTGGATCAACAGTCCTGGCCCCCAAATGAGCAGGGGTAACTTTTCCCATGTGGCGGGCAGTACCAGTTTCTTTGGTTTTCCAACGTGGCCATCCCATGCAAAGGACTTTTTGATCAGCCCCCGTTTGTTTTCCCAAAGCCAAGGTTCGCCTTCTGCACCATCTTCGCCTGCGGCAGCGGCCTGGCGGAGGTGGACGGCGTGGACTACCGCAAGGCCTTCAGTGCCTTGGAGAAGACGTCGGATGGAAGGCAAGGCTTGGTGGGACAGCAAGGGAATGAGGGAATGAACCTGGCGATCCTCTTAATGGAAACCATCAGTTGGGGGGTTTATAGGGGTCATTCCCTCATTTCCTGGGATAGGGAATTTAGGGAATGGGAAATGGAATGAACCTTTCGGGGATTCCCTTAAAGCCAACCATCAGTTGGGGGGTGTAAAGCTTAAAGGGGTCATTCTATTTTTCATTCCCTGCCTATCGCACCAGCAAGAAAGGGGCGTGTGTGAAAGCTTGCAGGTTCTCAGAAGCGCACCAAGGAGATCCGCCTTTTGGATGGCTCGGCGAAGCCAAAAGGCAAACACAAAGTATTCATCATTTTTATTCGGTGCTTGCCTTCGCGTGCGCAACTATATGGCAAGGCCTTTTCCATGAAAAGGATAATGGCATGGGAAGTCTGGCTGGCAAGCAGTGCTGGATCTTCTGCCTTAGCTTGCAAGTATAGACATCGCAGGTCGGGTGCTAGCAGGTTCCTGTCGATTATGCTTGTTGCCACATCCTTGTTGATTTGGCTCATCACCCCAACCACAGTGGCCTCTGGTTTGGCAGGGAAGCAAAGGATTGCCATGGCTTTCCCATTGCGAACAATCAAGCAGACTGCCAGAGCTCGGCGGGGTAGACTGCGGCCCTTTGGGTGGGTGCTCCATTTTTTCCCCCTGGGTGTGGGATGGTGGACGCAGGAATGACACGCATGTGATTGATAGTGATGTTTCCGAACATCCAGGGCCATATGGGTGTTGCTCAAAATAGGGGTGTCTTAAAATGGTCGGTTTCCCCTCGATTCCTATGAAATGCCAACCAAAAGCGAGTCCACCATGTGGAGGAACCGCCTCATGGAGCCTCCCTTGTGCGGTTTGGTGGGCCTCAGGGCCGCCCAGATGCTGGATATCCTCGCTTTTGAAATCGTCTCAGCTCGTTCCATGGCTTTGAAACATTCTCTGTCAGGCAATTGTCACATGTCCGATGCAGACAAAACCAAACTTGCTGCTGGTCGAATTTGGGTTCTTTGCTGTGGCCACGCGGTCAACTCCGAAACGAGCCAACAAGTGCAAGAGATCTTTTTGGAGTCTGAGGCAACTGGTGGAAGAATGAGATGAAGACCGTGAAATATCCCACCAAGGGTCTCGCAGCTCGGCGCTTTGGGGTTGCAAGCGGAGCTTGGCGCAAGAGCTGTCCAGTTGCTCAGAGGAGCTTCCACCCTTTCAACTTTTGGTGGGGAAGGGTTCTCTTGAAAAAAGGAGCCTGCGCAAAAAAGGTGATTAGCCTGTTGTTTCCCATGACTCCAGCCCTCTGAGCAGGTCGGGGGTTCGCCTGTGCCCGTCAGATTGGGGTCGCTTGTGCCCGACGGATTGGGGTCGCTTGTGCCCGTCTCTTGTTGAATCTGTGCGGCGCACTGTGTTTCTCTCCCATTCTAAGGGGCCTTTTTGGGTTGGTTTTAAGTTGGGAAACTAGCAGGGAAACCGCTGCCATTGTGGTGGGTCCCTGACAAAATAACAAACCCACATGGCTTCCACGGACGTGGCCCTATAGATGGACAACCAAACCCAGAAAGAAATCCACCGCCTCCACGCTTTGACAGGACTTGGCCCAATGTATTGCTTTTGCTTGGTCTCTTGAGCGAGCCTGCGCCATCCTGTGCGTGAGACATCGTGGAACGATTTGGCGATTGAGGAAAAACAGTTCAGTTTTGGTTCAGAAAGGTTGTTTGGTTTTGGGTTATTTTTGGTTTAGGTTTTTGGTTCAAGAAATACGAGATTTGGTTTGAAACATGAGGTTCCCAGTTGCACCAGTTCAGACTGGGTTGCGCTAGGGGATTGTTTTTGGTTTAGGTTTTTGGTTCAGAAACACGAGATTTGGTTGGAGAAGCTTCTCAGCGGAGCGCAGCACAGCACAGACCAGCTCCTTGGGCGGTGCACGCTATTACCCCCCCCTCCCCCCCGCCCCCTCCCCGCCCACACCCGCCACAGCACTGCAAATGATCAAGGGCGCAAGTGATCCTTTTGTTATGGGCGTAAGGGCAACCTTTGAACCAAAATGGGCGCAAGTGATCCCATGGGCGCAAGTGATCGACCCCTCCACCCTCTGAGCAAATGTTCAACTGCACCCTTTTTGAAAGTGCGCTCTCTTTGTTTCTACCGGGGTTACTAAATTATTGAACAAGCGGGGTCTTTTTCAAAGCTTCAAGGCCTGGTTAGGGAGTGTGGCCGCGCAAGCAAGCGACGTTTTCCTGGTGAGAAGTCCCTTGCTGACATGCTGCCTGACCCAGCAAGAGTTTCGATACGGGTGTGCGTGAATTTGGGCAGGGCTCCCGGTTTTGTGGAATTGTGTGGGGCCCGTTTGCCACGTGCAGCGGATGGGACGCGTCAGACCATGCCTGGCGCGTTGCATAGGATCTATAGACGAGACATGGTTGCTCCAGGCAACTCTAGGTGGGGCATGCTTAATCTTAGCTGTTAATTGAGCCAGGGTATCTTTTCCAAAAGCCATCGATTGTGACATGTGTTGTCCGCTTTCTTTCTGGGCAAATCAGCCACAAGGGGTTAGCCAACTTGAAGCTTAGCACGTGTCAATGGAGGCAAACCCACTGGCAGCGACTGTTCAGTCGTGGGCTCAGCAGGTGTTTGACCTCTATGTGCGCGACATGAGGTTGGAGGAGCCGGCGGGCTGCGCCAGGTCCAAATGTAAAGGGGATCAAATCATGCACCCGATGTTAACACCCTTCAGTGTTTCTCGATACCACTTCATCAAGATAGTCCACAGGAATTGCCCACCGGAAATCTTAGTATCATTATGCCTCCCAGGCTCTCCAGCGCCGAACAACTAGCCTTATAACGCCACTGGGCAAAGTCATGGTTCGTCCGCCCACTGGCATGGAAGCGAAGGTAAGCTGGGAAACCAGGTCGCCAATGAGCAGGCATTCATCGCCAGCTTCTGTTGGGCTTGCCCCTTTTGCCATCCACTTCCATGCTGGCAAAGGCCGGCAGCTGTCCACTTTCATGTTTGGAAGTGTGTACCAACATAGGCCTATGTACTTTTAGATTGACGTCGTGCGGTGCTCTAAAGCCAATATAATACAAATGACAATCATAAAGGAGAAGACACCTTTAGACGTGTGATGATTGTCCCCAAGCCAAGCAATGACAATTTAGCGCAAATCAAGTCAGCACTCCATGCAGGATTAATATGAAGGTCCAAGCAACTCCCCCGCAAAACAACAACATAGTCAGATTCCTCGAACAGCTGCAGTGCAATTAATTTTGCTGGTTCTCAGTAAGGAGTCAACGTTGGGTTTTGCGAATGAGCCTAAGGACCCTCCGAGAAGCCACAATGGATGGTTTAGTTCGGGGTCATTCTCTTTACTCAGAACCGTCAAGCAACATGATCTCGACCTCGATTCGGGGGGATTCACTCATTTAGAAACCCTCAAATGGTGGGCGTCCTTTGCCAACCCAAAACTGGGACCACCTTTGGGGCCCCAAGGTGAGTTTCCCGGTGAAAGGGGAAACCACTGGGATGTTCTTTAAGCAAGGTTTAAACATGTTTAAGCAAGGGCTTGGCCCCACCCTGAAGAGGGCTCCCATCCACTGCCATTCAATATGGAACTCAAAGGACCTGGACGACGACTTCCCCATGTAAAACTTGCACCTCCTTCCAGAGAGACTCCCGCAGGCGTGTGTCGTTTTTTCTCCACCTGGAGCTAGGAGTGGAGCAGCCTGGTGGAGCCCATGCAGTACCAAAGCTCCACGCCCATGGGGGAGGTCACCGTGCCCACCACTGAGACGGTCTGCACCTCGCCGGCGTAAGGACCAGGTGGTTTTCACCCAAAGGTGCGACGTTTAACATTCCTTGAGACTAACATGGAAGCTCCCAGAAAGTGTTAGTCTGGGGGAGGGTAATGGGCCCCGGAGCCTTTGGTGGACATCATGAACCATTAGGTGGGGGTTCATGTCGAGTGTCCACCACCATCCTTTTTGAGGTGGTTCCCTGATGAGATTCATAGCCAAATGTTTTTGTTTTTGTTTTTTGATGGAACCATTTGAGATTGGTTGAAAGGGAATCCAAAGGCAAAGCCACTGGGGGTTCGCATCCCATATCCCTTTTGTGTTGTGTTGTTTCTCCCCATGGCTACGCAAACAGGCGCACGTGTGAGCTATGGGATGGCGCCCAGTCTTGGGATTTGTGTGAAACACGGCCTCCGCCTCGTAAGGAAGATAGATGCGCTTGTTTCTGGTCCCATCTTTTGGGACTTATCTGAAATGGGTCCCAGCCAACGGGGAGCCGCCATTTGTTGGGGCCCCCTACTTTTGAAGGCACCCAGAGAGGATCTCATGTCGGACAGTAGGCCACTTACCCCTCTCCATTTTAAAACGGTCCGAACGGAAGGCGGCTCGCGTGACGCAATTCGTGAGTGACCCTCTTGGCATCATTTAGACAGGCTCTTTTGTCAAGGAGTGTCTCACGCAGGAAGCGTGGCACAACCCTGGGCGAGCGAGCACCGAGAAGACCAACGGAGATTGACACCAAAGATGGGCTAGGCTAGTTGAGCAACCCAACCATCACCCCAAAGGTTCCGTTGAATCGATCAGCTCAAACCGAGGGAAGTATCTTCTTTGTAAGCTTGAGATCCAGCAGCTTTGTTCGGGCATGCCATGTAGTATTTCAAAACTTGCCCTGCGCCAGCCAGGTTTCAATTCATCTAAGAATCCTCGTATTCCAACAGAAGCCCTTTGTTTGAAAGACGATCCGCCCAAAGACTGGTCGGCAACCTCTCAGGCCATGAAACTCCCTGCCAACGGGTTCAACGGAAGGCTTCGGACAGAAGCTTGTTGGGCCAAATGTAGAACACATGTAGTTGGTACTTGCGAATCCGAGCAGTGCAATGCGCTTCTCAAGGTTCATCGGAAAGGAGCCAATTACGAGGACCAAATTACTTAAACATGAAACGGTCATGACTGAGGGTCCCTTCTGCAGGCTTGGGCTATTTCATGAAGGCCTTGATCGAGGTTTCGCACCCGGCAGCTTCGCCAGAATATGGCCAGTCGGAAGTCTTCCATAGCTTAGCGTGTGCGTATGGCTATGTAATAGATAGTGCTAGGGCAGTTGCCAAGGGTGTTTCTGTACAGGCAGTGCCCACGCGTTGACAACCTGAGTGTGGCACTTGGCAGAATTTTGTTTTGGCGCAATGGCTCTGAGTTCATTGTCAAGACAGTCATGTTGGCAGTTTGATGAAACGGGACTCCTGCGAAAGTTACCACCTTGCCCGTGGAATGTATTTACAGGGCAGGCTACCAAGTGCAGGACCTGCCCTTTCCTCCCGTTGGTAAAATTCAGGGCCCCTAGCTTCCCACTGGTAGTGAGCTGAGACCTGTTTTCAGTTCAGCTCTGTAGTTTTCTTGTCCTTTGGCTCTGAAAAACGGTGAACCCTTTCAGGGCAGCGATGACCCACGCCAGGCTGAGCGAGTCAAGTGCCTGAGATGGAACCCACGGGTCCCTTTTAGAGGCCCTTCACCTCCGGGTCCCCCAGTCCGGGGCTTCATGGGAAGGCAAGTTTTGATGGATCCAGCTAAGATAGCCCCATGACCATGTAGTGTCAATGTTTTGGAGCACATAGAACGCAGCATAGGGGAGCCAACACCAGTGGCAAACCCATCTAAATGGATTGTCCAGCTTGGCTCCACTTTGCTGAAGCGCTACCCTCCTTCCCTCAAACTGCCACGGGCGGGAACAGTTTGGGCTGTGCAAAATGCCAGCAGTGAATTCCGACTAGGTTATCTTTCATGCCAGCACCGGGTGCTAAATAGCCTATATGTTGCTTAACTTTCCCAAGCAGAGGCCACATGTTGTGCGCCTCCAGACACCATCTAAGACCTGGATCACGAGTATGCCGTCGCTTTGAGGTGATGCTTATTGGTTTGGCCGGGTGCGGCAAGACGCAATCATGCACAGGGCTGCTGAAGAAGCTGGACCGCGAGGCTGGAACGATAGTCCCAGCAGTAGATCGCGCGGGACTCCGCCCTGTCGATTCTGTTACCTGGCTTTGGGTAGTAGGCCTCTCATATACCAGATGTTGATTGTGACTCACGTGAGAGCCAAAGTAAAGCTGTCAGGGGGAGACTCCTTTAGCGGGGCGTAGTTACTTCAAGGCTACGGGTGTGGAGCGGCAAAACAGAAGGGTATGGCAGAGTTGCCGTTGGCAAGGCTGCTTTTGTATGCAGGTGTTTATGGGCTACAAGATCAACATGAGCTTCTACACTGACTCGGCAATGCTGCAATCTATGATGGAGATTCCTCTGGAGAAAAAGGCAGGCAAATTGTATGCACCTCCCGGCAAGCTGCAGATGATTTACTTCATCGACGACCTGAACATGCCGGCGCTGGACAAGTACAACACCCAGTCAGCCATCGAGCTGATCAAGCAGAAGCAAGACTACAACCACTGGTACGATCGGGCCAAGATAACCGTGAAGGCAAGGCAATGGAACTTTGTTCAGCAGGTTTAGTTGACATGTTCTTTGTTGAGACATGTGTGTTTGGACAGCGAGGTTGTGATACCCGGACGACGTATATACTGGTTCTTGAAAATTTACGCAACTGGGAGGGCGTTTCCAAACGATGGACCCATCTTGAAGCGGCACCAGGGCAAGCTAGGGGAACCAAGGGACAATGAGGAGCCCCATGTTGATTCTTCCCCATCCTCACCCTGTCAGGCCTTCGGTCTTGTTGAGCCTTAACAAAAAGCAACACCTGGCAGCATTGGGGTTCATTCCTGTCAAAATTGTCGGTTGCGCTAGGACATCGGCAACACGCAGTACCTTTGCTGCATGAACCCCACTGCCGGGTCCTTCACTGTGAACCCCCGGCTCCAGCGCCACTTCTGGACCTGCTCCGTGTCGTTCCCTGAACAGCGGCCCGGCAAGAACGGGGCCAAGCAAATTGGAAGAGTCGTCTTGCGAATGAGCCCAGGAGGGGTTCCCTCAAAGGAAACCACAAGGGATGGTTTATCGGGGTCATTCCATTCCTCATTCCCTGCTGAGCTCCAGCAACAAAAGCAAACAGCAAGTGGTGGGGATCTCCAGCAGCTGGCGGGACGTCCTTGAAGCCCTCGATTTGGAGGGGGGCACAGGGGCGCTATTTTGGGAAGCAAGTAAATGGTTTGCCATCGCAGTGGTGAAACGGGCAAATGCCGTGATGGAATCGATGTTTCACTAGAGGCAAATCCGAAAGGTTCTTTTTGTCCAAGGCTGATGGGCGACTACGGTATTCTTTGGTTGCTAGACGTAGCAAGTGGGAAACAGGCGCGCCCCCAGTGTTTCGCCACACTCGTGCCGGTGTTTTGCCTCGCTTGTGCAGCGATCTTTGCAACATGTATCAACACGGGGAAGACGGAATTTGGTGTCTCATTCTTGGTCTTATGTCTGATGGACACCTTGTTGCTTGCCCAGTAGCAACTGAGAGATGTCATCATTTGTATTGTCTAAAGCATGAATCTTTGGCGGTGGGTGCATTTCGCCGTTGGGGGGCTGCAGGGGCACATAGGGACACAGTTTCGGGATATTACATAAGCCAAGCTACACCCATCCAAGGAGCCTGAATTTAAGGACGATGGAAGTGATGACCAGGTCCCCTCAGTTTGCAGTCACTTTAATGCACCCACTGTCCATTGCCCACCCAGCATCCTGGCAACGCGTGGCCTTCGCGCCAGCTTTCTTCTTAGGGACACAAGGCCCGACATGCTCGACGGAGCTACTTCCAGATGTGAGCGATCCTGTTCTTTAACTTATTTGCTATGGCTACTCCAAGCTGTGGGCGCTTCAGAAGTCATCGGAAACGACCCCAGAGGCTGCGTTGGAGAGCATTTGCCAGCCCAGGAATGCACTAAACCTGATCTACGCCACCTTCATGTAGCTCGGCTGAGAATCAGACGCAACCATCCCAAATAAGTTAGTGCGGGCGTCACCCGTCACTTGGGCCGTGCGGGTTTTTCTGAGTGTCCGGAAATCCCCAGAGGCGTCAGCCCCAGAGAGGTATTTGTTTGTTGAATCGGAGCAGTGTTGTCCGGTCATTGCATGAAGCTAAAGGGGGGGGGGCCCAATATCGCTGCATCGCCTGGACCATGGCAAGTTGCCAGCCTATGCTAAGCTTCCCATTGCTTTAGTTCCATGCCGGCACCAAGGGCCGTGCGTTGTGACTTGGATGGCCATGGGATGAACCTCCACTAGTCATATATGCCTGACGCATTTTTTTCAAACGCCAGCAAAGCAACCAAAGTCTGGCGCGGCAACAGCTTACTTATGTTCCTCACTTTTCAGCGTCATGTGACTCTCGGGCGGTATTTTGTTTTGGATCTTCACGGGGTTGGACTGGCCTTCGTGACTCTGTATGCATGTCCAAGAAATTTGGTTTGCCTTGCCGTTTTGCCCTTTTCTCAGGTGAGAGTTCTTGCATAGTTTTGCAGGTGGGGCAGTTCTCGTGGCCTTACACATGCTTGCGCTTGGGAAGGTGTCATTCTGAGGCGCCAAAGTTGCTAAATGCTAGAAAAGCTTTGGGGGCTCCGGGTCAGTGTATTGGTTGAAAACGCGCGGGCGCAGGTTTACAGAAGTGCTGGTAGTCTTAGCAGGTTTTGCAAGGACGGCCTTGCTTTGAAGCCTTGAAGTGCATTCAAGCTGCATTGGAAGCACTTGGAGCTCAGTGACATTGTGGGCGTGGGGTGTGTTGCAATCCTTCTGTCAGCAGATGAGGCCGCGTCTGGCGCGAGAGAGCGCATGGGCTCACCGAGTTTTCTGGCTCTTCTCATAACGCGCCTGATACTCCTTGATGAACACCTCACACACACACACGTACACACCTGCATCCACCCCTACCAAGGTCACACACACACACACACCTGCGCGCACACATGAAATGCTTGAGTACGTACACACATGCGTAAGCACAAGCGTACGAACACCCTTGGGCGGCTTAGTCCAAAAGGTGTGCGGTGCCGACATGGGCCAATTGAGATACGCGCAAACGTACTGCATTACGTCACATACGCACATACACACATACACTTGCACACACACACACAGAGGTGTGCAGGCGTGCTTGCATACATGCATTCATGCGTACACGCATGCATGCGTACACACACGCACACATACATACATGAGTGCGCGCACACACACATGCTTACATACTCGCATGCATACACACACACATCTCACTTATTTGCTTGCTTACTTATTCACATGCTTGCATGCATGCATACATGCGCACATGCACGCGTGTTTGCACGCGTACACACAAACTTAACTACTTGCATGCACACATAGATACGTACATACATGCATGCATACATACATACATACATACATATGCATACACAAATACATACATACATACATACATACATACATACATACATACATACATACATACATACATACATACATACATACATACATACATACATACATACATACATACATACATACATACATACATACATACATACATACATACATACATACATACATACATACATACATGCATGCATGCATACATACATACATACATACATACATAACATACATACATACATACATACATACATACATACATATATACATATATACATATATACATATATACATACATACATACATACATACCATAACATAACATAACATAACATAACATAACATAACATAACATAACATACATACATACATACATACATACATATATAACATACATAACATACATACCATACATAACATACATAACATACATAACATACATAACATACCTAACATACACAACATACACCACATACACAACATACACAACATACACATTATACACAACATACACAACATACACAACATACACAACATACACAACATACACAACATACACAACATACACAACATACACAACATACATAACATACATAACATACATAACATACATAACATACATAACATACATGACATACATAACATACATAACATGCATAACACACATAACATACGTAACACACATAACATACATAACATACATACCATACATAACATACATAACATACATAACATACATAACATACATAACATACATAACATACATAACATACATACATACATACATACATACATACATACATGAAATACATACATACATACATACATACATACATACATACATACATACATACGTACGTACGTACGTACATACATACATACATACATTTCTTAACGCAACCTTGCATTGCAACACCATACATGGCAATACATTACGTGTCGTTACGCGCATACACCCTACACATAAGTATGCACAAACAAGTGTGAAAGCGCACGCTGACGGGCCTATGGCGAGCCTGTGCGCCCGTGGGCCCGGCCTGCTGCCCCCAAGTAGACCCTGCTCACCTGCGTGCACACAGTTGCAGCATGTTGCAGGAGTTGGAATTTAAAGCAAGAACACGAGGGCTGAGGGCTGCTTTGCGTTCGCAACCTTCAAGATCTAGCCGTTCTGCACGTCAAGTGCTTAGTGCCATTGCACCATGTCGATGTGGCGCGAACCAAGGAAGGGCCACTTCGATAGCTCGTTCAAAGTCCAGGTGCAGGAGAATGTGAAGCTCAGGGATCCCTTCTAATGGGCGGCCACGTTGTCCAGGGGATTTTCCGTTTGAAATGAACCCAAGTGGTCCTTGTTTTGTGAGTGTTTGCAGTATGGACCGGAAAGCTTTGATCAGAGCATTTTCCTTGCCAGGGTCTACCAGGACATCCCTGCGTCTGAAAGAGTATCAGTGTAAGGGTTTTGGCCCACCTTCTCATCCAGTCGGACACCGTTTAAGTACAAAGCCGGTCGCGTTTGTCGCACTCGCTTTCAGTGCCAGCATGTGCCATTCAAGCATCACTGCTGAGTTTTGCCCTGCAATTGACTGTGAGGCATCATGCGTGAGTGCCTGTGCCATTTGTTTTGTCAAGTGTTGTGTTCAGCATTGGAAGGCAAGACTGCCACCCAGAGATTGGAAACTCCCCGCAAGCGGACTTTTCCAGCTTTGGTTGATGCGATCAGCATTTAATCGCGGGCAGCGAGACCCAGTTGACCAGATTTTGATAGGCGGACTTAGTTGGAGAGCCGGGTCGACATGAATTTTGAGAATGGGGGGGTTGAGCCCATTTTGGGCTTGTTGATGTCACCTCCCGTGGTGGGGCTGGCACCCCCCATTTTCTAAATTGTGAATAAAGAGAATGGGTCTGGTCAGGAAGGGCCTAGGTTGGCCCCCCCCTTTTCTAAAATTGGTCGACCCCATTTTCTAAAGTAGACCGAGCTGGAAGACCCCTTTTCTAAAAGAGCAGCTATTTTGTTGCCAGCTGGTTGAAAGAGAAACCAGAAAGAAAAGCCCACGCTGCGGCTCAAGTGGGAGTCGCAGCCCACAAAGCCGCAAAACGGACTGTCCGGTTTCCCTTTGTTTTGACCCTCAAATGGCATAGAAGCGCTTTTGTCGTGCATTAAGAAAGCACGCCAAGTAGAGAACTACAAATCATTCTTTGCTGTTTGAGGGTCCAAGCCACTACAATCCATCCAGTCTTGGGCTTGTCATCTCGGAATAATCTTGAGCCGAGACTCTTGAACCAAACTAGAAATTGATGTCCCCTTTTTGTTACGAGGCAGCCGTTTTTGTTTTTTTCATGGTGAGGTTGGACCCCCCATTTTCTTTTCTTGGAGGTCGGCCCAGTGCCACATCGGACCGAGACTGGCCCCCCCCATTTCTAAATTAAGCATGTTTATGAAGATGGGGCCGGCCTGCCGAGTTCTAACGAAACATGGGGGGGCCAACCCCACCCCCCAACACACCGGACCCCTATGTCGGAAATAGCCCCCCCCCCCCCATTCGGCAAGATCAGAACATATCCGGCGCCTCAATCGTGTGCAACCTCATGGCGCTGGTTTGTGTGTGTGTAATCTTACACATGTCTATACGTGCATGCGTGTTGACCATTCCCATCCATTTCAGGTCTGCTCTCTTTGGCGAGCAGCCAATCTCGATCATCTGAGAATCTACCTTCTGCTCGGCTGTTTGGGCAGGTTGGGTCCAACCATCAAAGTCGTTGGCGTGTGGCCGCCATAGGCAAACGATGGCATGCGGCCTGCCAGTTGCGCAGCGCTTAAATGGGTTCCTCTACCCCCAATCCACCAAGAGTCTTACGGATTTGTACCTTTGATATAGTGGCTGTAGTGGCTGTATACCCCGCCCTTCGCCGGATTCGATTCGATAGCGAGTGGCAACCACGAATTCGCCGCAGGAGATCTCTAACTGGGTCATCAAAGCGGCCCTGAGCTTCCACACGCAGGTGAGCGCGAGCTTCCGGAAGACTGCGAAGCGCTCTGGCAGAGCATGGGTATGGCTCGTGCGGTGTTCCTGTTGTTCTCCCTTTAAACCACCCTTAAAAAGGGTAACCTCAACAACAGACACACACGCAGACACACAGAGACACACACACACACACACACACACACATCACCAGGGCTTTGTCAAAACTAGCGGCCCTTTGGGCATCCCCTTTAAAAGGCAGCGCCCTAAGCAGCGCAAGGATTGGAAGGGGCCATGCTTTTGAGAACCCCCTGAGTGTCAAATTTTTACCAAGGGCCCTCATTGCTTTTTTTCAGTGCAAGGCAATACCTCAGCATGTCCTGAAAGGAACGCTGGAGGGATGGCCACTGATGGACAATACCTCCCGGCCCTCCAATGATATGTTCGGTCCTGACTAGCGCACCTGTTGCCCTCTCTCAAATGCCAAAAGGTGCGAGTACAGCTTTCGAGGACCCAAGGGCACACTGATTCCCAGTCGTTCACTGGCACCCGTTTGCTTTGGCGGCTTCTCCAGCAAGAATGGTCAAGCGAAAGAAAGGGTTCCCTTTTACTGCCAGGGTCAACTGGGCAAGCCGGGTCAGGAACATGCACTATGAGTTCAATATCCGGCACATGAGCGGTGTCTTCTCCGGCCTACTCAAAGCCAAGCCAAGCGAGTTCACGGATGCGGTGCGCCTGGCACTTTTGCTTTTTCTGTGGCAGGTCGTTCTTCTGGACATGTGGGTGTGTCCCAGAAGATAACGGAACGAAGTCTTTGAGGTAGCCTGGGGAGGGTAACCCAAAAGACAATGAACCTTCATTGTTTGCAAATGAGCTGCAGGGTTACACATGCCTTTCTGCCAGGCATGGGCAGTTGAAGCTGCAATCTTGATATTACTGTTACGAAATTCAGGCAGTCGGGGTGCTTTGTTCCATCTATTCTGAAACCAACCCGCGCAGACTTTACAGTGAGTATCTTGGCTTTGCCCACATTTCTGCATCTTTGTCAGTGGCCTGTGCAGAACCAAGCATCATGCAAAGATGCAGCGCTTTTTGAGCGCTCAGAAGCTGTCCAATGTTCTCGGTTTCGGCGTAGCTTTCTGCGGCTTTCTGCCAGGAGAAGCTGGTGCTCATGTGGATCCATGAGAGCGAGCGCATCTATGGGGATCGCTTGGTCTCCCTGGCGGATTTGAAGAAGCTCAAGCAGCTCACTGAGAAGATCGCCAAGCAGATGCTTCTGGGCCAAGACCGGTTCGGATCGCCGAAAACGTGGTTGGTGGTTCTGGCTTGGGGGCTGTGCTAGGGGGAATGGACTTGGTGTTGGTTTGGGGTGGGTTGGAGTTGGTTTGATGTTGGTGTGGCATGTGTTGGGGTGGCTGAGTACGGATTTGATAGCCTGGCACCTCCCACGAATAGAGTTGAGATCTTGCACAATCGCAACTAGCTCATCTTGAACTTGCTGGATTTGTACAGGTAAGCTCAGATATGCTTGAGGAACAGGTATCGCATCCCTACACATTTAGTTTCTAGGGTTATCTAGGGCTGATTTGCTGTTGTTGTGAAACAGATTTATCAGTACACCTTATGCTCTTGTGATTTTGGTGAACATGTTTTTTGGGCTTGGCCTCCCATTTTTCAGGGCCCAGCCCTTTGGTTGAGCTCTCCTTCACCCCAAGGAGCCTTGGCTTCCATGCGCGGCGCTCGCCCGCCCGAAAAAACCACCATGCAGCCCGCAAGGGTTCCCTTGGGCAACCCCGATCCTCTAGCAGAAATCTGCGCACGGAAAGAGCAGCCCACGACCTGGGGTCAAAAGCCCAGCGTTGCTTTGGAGTGCAGGTATGGCCATCAGCCTTCCTTGTCTTTGATGCATAAACTGGCTTGTTGCCGGTTGGTTCACGGTTTACACCCATTTTGAGCACCACCACAGACGAATCACAACAACTCAATCAAGCAGCCCTCGTTCCAGATAAAACAATGGAGCACAGAAGGTTTTAGAAAAAGGTTCTGGGAGCTGGTTTGCTTTCAGAGAAACTCTTGCTGCGTGGAGGTGTTTCTTATGTGGCCCTTTAAGACACATTCTGCCTTTTGAGAAGCCATTTTCGAGGAGGTTCTTCTTGGTGACTCGTGGTCTGCTACGTGTGTAAAACCCCGCAACCGGCAGTCGGACCTCCCCCCCCACATAAAGATTGGAGCCCCGGAGCTGCTCAGGTTCTCAAAGCACAACCTGCAGAAGTACTTCCAAGAGAAGAATCCCGAGCCCATCATCTTCGCTCCTTTCTCGAAGGGTCATCAGAGTATGGAGGAAGGAGGCGCCGAGTTGTTCAACGAATCACCCAGGTGCCAAAAAGGCCTATGGAACCAAACCGGGAGGGTACTTACGGGGATTCCTATGGAGATGGGAAGCGAGGCCCGACCCACAGCCCAATTTGTCTCGTCCGGTCTAATGATTGCAGATGGGATCAAGGCTCGCTTGTCCAAAAGCCGTGCTTCTTGACAGCAACCGCATGCGCCACAAGGGCACGCCTCCACCCCTATAATAGATTCCTGGTGACCCAACAAAAACACTCAAGGCAGCAAGCCAATAAGGCCCGCCAAGGTGGGGCTAGGCGCAACCTTTGGACTTTTCCCCACCTTTGCCAGGCATCTATGACAAGATCAAGGATATGGATCGCCTTTCCCAGATCTTGCACGAGGCCATGAAGGACTGGCTTGGCGGCTGACTTGGAAGTAGGTCTTAGGCTGCCCGCAGATGGATACACAAAGGATGGCCAAACTTGTGCTCATGCAAGCATTGCCCACACGATAGACTTGATGTATTTGTTTTATGTTTTGCCTGCTTGTTTGCTTGCTTTGCTTATTTGATTGTTTGTTTGTTTGTTTGTTTGTTTGTTTGTTTGTTTGTTTGTTTGCGTGTTTGTTTGTTTGCTTGTTTGTTTGTTTGGTTGTTTGTTTGGTTGGTTGGTTGGTTGTTTGGTTAATTGATCGGTTGATTGTTTGGTTAAGTCATTGATTGATTGCTTGACTGCTCGATTGCTTGATTGTTTGCTTGGTTTGTTTGATTGATTGATCGATTGATTGATTGATTGATTGAGTGATCGGTTGAGTGGTTGATTGGTTGGTTGGTTGATTGAATCACATGAATGAAATGATTTGATTAGATTTGATTTCAATCGATTTGATTTGAGGGCTTGATTGAATTGATTGCGTTGATTGATTTGATAGACTTGGTTATTTGATGGATTGACTGGCGTGATAGACGTTATTCATTTGATTGATGTATTTTACTTATTTACTTATCTATTAATTTGCTTTGATTTGAAGTGAATTGATTTGATTTGGTTGAGTAATTGACTGATTGATTGATTTGTTTGATTGATTGATTTGTTTGATTGATTGATTGATTGGTTGATTGGATTGATTGGATGGGCTGGATTGATTTGATTGATTTGATTGATTTGATTGATGTGATTTGACTGATTTGAGTTATTTGACTGATTGATTGATTTGGTTGATTGATTGATTGTTTGATTAATTTGATTGATTGATTGATTGATTGATTGATTGATTGGTTGATTGATTGATTTGATTGATTGATTGATTGATTGATTGATTGATTGATTGGCCGGTTGAATGATTGATTGATTGATTGATTGTTTGATCATTCGATTGGGATTTAATTTGGTTGGCTTGTTGTTTGAATTGAACTGAATTGAACTCAGTTGAGTTGGGTTACTTAATTAGTAATTTCATTGGGCAGGATGGCATGGGATGGGATGGGATTGAGTTTGTTTCGATTGGATTTGATTCGGTTGGATTGAATTGAATTGATTTGGATTTGATTTGATTGATTGATTTCATTGATTTGAACTGTTTGATGGATTTGATTGTGATTTATTTGATTTGCTTGATTTGAATTATTTCATTGATTGATTTGATTTGATTGGTTGATTGGTTGGTTGGTTGGTTGGTTGGTTGATTGATTGACTGATTTGATTTGATTTGGTTTTTATTGATTTGATTGATTGATTGATTGATTGATTGATTGATTGATTGATTGATTGATTGATTGATTGGCCGGTTGAATGATTGATTGATTGATTGATTGATTGTTTGATCATTAGATTGGGATTTAATTTGGTTGGCTTGTTGTTTGAATTGAACTGAATTGAACTCAGATGAGTTGGTGTACTGAATTAAATTAAATTTCATTGGGCAGGATGGCATGGGATGGGATAGGATTGAGTTTGTTTCGATTGGATTTGATTCGGTTGGATTGAATTGAATTGATTCTGGATTGGATTTGATTTGATTGATTGATTTCATTGATTTGAATTGTTTGATGGATTTGATTGTGATTTATTTGATTTGCTTGATTTGAATTATTTCATTGATTGATTCAACTTGATTTGATTTCATTGATTGGTTGGTTGGTTGGTTGGTTGATTGATTGACTGATTTGATTTGATTTTATTGTTTTGATTGATTGGTTGGTTGGTTGGTTGGTTGGTTGATTGATTGACTGATTGTTTGATTGATTGATTGATTGATCTTTAGATTAGGATTTAATTTGATTGGCTTGTTGTTTGAATTGAACTGAATTGAACTTAGTTGAGTTGGTGTACTTAATTACATTAAATTTCATTGGGCAGGATGGCATGGGATGGGATGGGATTGAGTTTGTTTCGATTGGATTTGATTGGGTTGGATTGAATTGAATTGATTTGGATTGGATTTGATTTATTTGATTGATTTGATTGGTTGGTTGGTTGATTGACTGATTTGATTTCATCTGATTTGATTTGATCTGATTGATTTGATTGATTGATTTGATTGATTGGTTGGTTGGTTGGTTGATTGATTGATCGATTTGAATTGATTTGATTTGATTTAACTTGATGTGAATTGATTCAACTTGATTTGATTTCATTGATTGATTGGTTGGTTGGTTGGTTGGTTGGTTGGTTGGGTGGTTGGTTGGTTGGTTGGTTGATTGATTGATTGATTGATTGATTGATTGATTGATTGATCTTTAGATTGGGATTTAATTTGGTTGTCTTGTTGTTTGAGTTGAACTCAGTTGAGTTGCGCTACTTAATTAGGTTAAATTTCATTGGGCAGGATGGCATGGGATGGGATGGGATTAAATTTGTTTTGATTGGATTTGATTGGGTTGGATTGAATTGATTTGGATTTGATTTGGATGACTGACTGTTTGATTTGGATTTGCATTTGATTGGGTTGGATTGATTTGGCTGGTTGGTTCACTTCAGGACTACGACAGCACCAACGCCGCCATGGACTTGGTACTCTTCGAGGATGCCATGAAGCACGTGGCGCGCATTTGCCGGATCATCTCGAGCCCTTCAGGTGCCAAAAATGCTCAAACACCGGGGGCTTGAGATGGCAGTGCCTCTCCTAGGTTGACCTAATATTATATATATATATACATATATATCCATATGCAGAGATAGATATATGTGTATATGTGTTTATGTATTTATTCATGGAAGCTTCCATATTGTTTCTACAGCCTATTTTAATAGGCCAAGTTTCACACGAATGTTAGCACAAGTTTATGGAACCTCCCATAAGCAGAAGCCAATTGGGGGGCGTCCGGCTGTTAGCCTGAGGGGGTGCAAATCTTGGGGCTGTGAAACGAAAAGGAAACCGCATGGCAGGCAATGCAGGTGAGGACTATGCTGGTTAATGGGGGAACACACTTCCCCGTCGAAGGTTTAAGATCCAACCAGATGGCACTCTCGAATTGAAGGCGCGACGTTTCAAGGGGATTCGGTTTGCGACAATGTTTTCCATCAGCTACGTTCCACTCGGCTGATAACGAAATCCCCAATATGACCTCGCCCGAATCATCTATGGGTTGATGAATCCGGGTTTCCCACTAGGCATCCTGGAAGCAGTTGCAGTTCGGCATCCTGGAGTGCTGGCTCAATGTTGGTTATTTCGGAGTGCGGGGCGTAAGCATGGTTGTACGGGGTCTAAGCATTCGTAAAGCCGGCTTCCTGCATGCAAACTCGCTCGCAGGGAGTTCTTTTCAGATCCCCCTTCCATTGCCAGTCACAGGGAACTTTGTTTGCTGGAGGCCATCCCTTGCTGGTGGGCGTTGGCGGCAGTGGTCGGCAAAGCCTGAGTCGCCTCAGCGCCTTTGTTTGCCAGTGCATGACCTATATGACTCTCGGCGCAGTCGGGTATTGCTAATGTTCCGGCACTATATGCCCGAATTATTGAGAACTATGTCAAGCTGGGGCCCAGTCAAGTTGGGCCGGACCTTGTCACGCAGTGCATGGGTGTGCTCATGTCAGCTAGCTGGGCCAGAGGCTTCAAAAGGTACTCTGGATGATTTGATCTGCATATTTACTCCACAATCAAGTGGCCAGGCAGGCTTCTTCCAAAGCCAAGAGCTCAGGATTGTGATCACCAGCTCTTATGGTCTTGCTGACTTGAAGACGGACCTGCAATACATGTACAAGAGGGCTGGCGAGAAGGATGAGGGTGTGATGTTCCTCTTCACCGACAACCAGATTGCCAACGAGCGCTTCTTCGTCTTCTTCAATGATCTTCTGGCATCCGGCGAGATCACAGAGTCTCATCTGCACAATGTTGTTTTCTCAAAATAAGGGGACCCGCCAAATGGTTGGGTTTCCTCCATTGTTCCCTTTGAAGCCAACCCAAAACGGGCACCCTCAAAAGAAGCCAGCCCATGTTGACCGTTTTCCAGACATGCTCAGTGTGGACCACAAGACTTTGCGGACCCTTGTGACTGAAACTGTTTGATGGCCAAAGGTCTGACATTGTGCATGGCTGATGTGTCTAAGGATTTGTACCCCAACGAGGACAAGGACACGATTCGAAATGCGGTGAGGAGTGCAGCAAAAGGTGTGGGGATCGTGGACACGCCTGAGAACTTGTGGTCTTTCTACATCTCACGGGTGCGTATCTGAGCTGAACCTGGGATCAGGTTTGACCTTGTGGGGTTTTTGCAAGAAGCACGGCGGGGAACTCGGGCAAACTTGTAATGAACGAAGTGGCTGTTTGAAGGTCACGATCAAAGCCCAAGGTAGACTTGCACCTATGGACATTTTTTTTCATGGCCCTGAAATGTACCATAGTTTGCGATTGGTGCGCCCGTGGGCCAGCATATTTCATGATACATGCTTGCCGTTGTATGTAGTGTTTTTGCCCAGTGGGTTACTTGTTCAGAGTAGTGGGTCAAAAAGCAAAAGGAGTGTTGCTCACGATGAAACCAGATAAATCATTGAACAGCTGGAGTAAAGGTTACCGTTTCCTCAACTGCCCCTGGGCCATCCCCATCCATTCCGCACAACACCCTTTCTGCGCTTGCATGCAAATCAAGTGGATGCAAGCAATTGCAACACCCACTTCCCTGCGCTCAAACAAAGCAAGTGGTAGTTACCCCCCCTTTTTAATAATGAGTGTAGGAAGAAGCTGATTGTTTTTGCAGAGGATTGTGTTCCAAAGGGCTCCGATCGGCAACTTCCATTGTTGCGGTAGACGAGGCGCACGCCTCCATTCACCACCTTCCCCCCACCCCCGCTCAAGCAACTCAAAGTTGGGGGATGTTAACTGTTAAGAATATGTTGTCTTTTTTGGAGATACCAGAAAGGATGTTTTGACAACCCCCCCCCTCCAAGTGGACCAGGTTACTTACCATTCACCTTTCCAAATTTCAAACACCCGCCGCCAAATGACCTCCCAACCCACATTCCAACCTCCGAACTTCCCCACAATCAAACCAATGATTGGATCCGTTTTGTTTGACCGGCCGCCCGACCAACCGACCAACCAAGCAACCGACCAACCAACCAACCGACCAACCAACCAACCAACCATCTCCTAACCAAACAAGCAAGCCAATGGACCAATGGATCCGTGTTCCAAATGAGCCAAGATGCGTCAGGCAAAAACCTCCACATGTCTCTCTGCTTCTCCCCGGTGGGCTCGGGGCTCTGGAGCCGCGCCCGGCGCTTCCCGGCCCTGGTGAACTGCACCACCATCGACTGGCCGGGGAACCCAACAAGTTTGCCAATTTTTTACCGGGGCGGGCGGGGGGGTGGATTAGTTGGTGGGGGTGGGGGGGTGGCGTTTCGGAGGGTTTCGGAGGAGTTTGGTGGAGGGGTTACTTGGGGTATTTGGTCTTTAGGGATTGGGTTGGGTTTGCAAAACAGTCTCGAAGTGACCAAGCGGGGGAATGCAGGGGATGAGTCGCACAACTGCTTTACCTCTCAAACACGCAGCCAGTTTCGGTCTATGTTAGTCTTCCCCAAGGTCAAGGGCGCGTGTTTGGGGGGGTCCCCCAAATACAATATCTTGTAGTTTCATTTGGCTGGTTCCGACCATCCGTTTTTTTTTTTGCACCACTGGAATGAAACTACAAGAGATACTTTATCAGGGTTTCATGCGCCCTTCCCCTGCTGAGAACCAGCAAGGGGAGGAATGGAGAGGCCAGGCAGAATGGCAAAATGGCTTCGGCTGTTGGGCTCAGCCATGTGGAAGCTGCGAAGGGTTGCACGTTTTCTACTGAAAGCCACGGCTTGTTCTTTTGTTTGGGAGGGCGAAATGGTGCGACGCGTCTATAGTTCTGATTACTTTGAGGTGCATCAGTGCCGCGCGCTTGTTGCACCTGCTGCAACTAGCAAAGGGTCTCTACTTGGGCCTGTCCTTGCTGGAAGGACATGTTGAAGGTCAATTAGTTCTCTGATCAGATGCTCACGCATCACAAGGATTGCAACTGGGATGGGTTAGGATGGTGTGGCGTAGTTGGGGCAAGGGGGAGGGGTCGGTACAGAAATAGCCACAGAAATACACTGAGGCTCAGACTCAGGTTGCCCAGAAAGTGCCAGTGCGCGTTCAGCTGGACACAGTCGCAGTGGCAGCGTTGTTTTGCGTTAGTATTCCTTTGTACCGGCCCAGTGCGTTCAGAATCATGGACCAAGCGCTGATGAACTTGGCATTTTGTTTGCAGTTGCAGTCTGGACTAGCCCCAGATATCTCAGGCAGTTCCCGACCGCAGACCGCAATTTCATGCTGGTGTGGAATTTGAGCAGTTGACGGCTGCCGGTCTGTGGCATGGCATGTGTTTCCTATGATGGCTTGGCTCACATCCATGTCGCGCATTGTGCGTAAGTTGTTATTTTCTTCTTTTTTCGGTGGAGCCGGTCTGACTTTGGTTTCGGTTCGGGGTGGTCAAAGTTTTAGCCTACCGACTGGGTGCTAAAGTTACCCACATTAATATGGTTCTTAACTTCACCTATTTTCGCCAAAAGGTGGTGGATCACATTTTTTCCAGACCCCCTGTTCAGCATCCAGTTAAATTAGTCAACCACAGCCTATTAATACGGGGTGCCCCTGGGTTTAGTAATTCACATTTGGAAGGGCCCCCACCCCGCTATTCATGAACAGGGTTGATTAATATGGAGTGCGCTGCTGTAGGCCGAGTTCACTGGCAAACCCCCATGACTTTGTTTCAGTCGAGCCAAAGGTTTCAGCCCTGGCCCACGGATGCCCTGCTGAACGTGGCCCAGAAGCGCCTTGAAGTGGGGATCGGGGTTGCCCGTGTGCCTGGGTCGTTCAAAGCCTTCCATTCACTTAAGAAGATGCTTTTATGTTCCCTTTTGGGTCATAAAGAGAATACATCACGACTGAGGGGACTTGAGCAACTGGAAGAAGCCCATCCTTAAACCCTTTTCCCAGATTCTAGTACTTTCACTTGTGGTGGGGTCCCGCTACACATCCCGCCCCTTTGGGCGATATATGGCGAGGGGACGTACATTCCAAGAAACGACAAAGTTCAATCTCAGCCAAGGGAACCTGTTGATTTTGCGCAGCTGAGCATACAAAAAAAACCCAGAGGACAAATGCTCCTGCCAGGATCCTGCGAAATCCACTTTGCAATTGAAAATAATGCCTGTGGCCGCCCATCCCCAACAGTACATGACTTCCCTTGCACCCAGAAAGCGACCCAATGGTGTCAGCAAGTTTATCAGCTGTCAAGCCTTGTCAATAGTTCCAAACCCTCTTTTTAATTGGCAAACTTGACAGTTGCAAGGTTTTTCCTATGCCCTTTCACTTCCTTCTCCTCTCTGGTCAACGGCCAAGTATCCATCACGCAGTGTGCGAGTATGCGCTTCTCTTGAGGCTTTGCAAGATGTACCCTCTCACCAACAGTCACGGAATCTGATACGAAGGTTTGTGAAGACTATGTTCCTTTTGGGGGGCCTGACCTCCCTGTCCACTTCCATGATTGTTTGAAACAGGGTTTCACATGTTTTACCGACTTCCGATTGCAACCTAGCAGCACTGTATGGAGACAGTGCTTACCCTATGTAACCCAGGCAACACTGGCTGTTGCCTGGGTGACTTGTTGTGGCTATAGGGGTTTTCAACAAGAGCTGGTTTTGTGGAGGGGCAGCCTGCACACATCCCACTGCTTGTTGGGCCGACAGATTCCATTTGTGCATAGTTGGGTGCCCCCCCCCCCCAAAAAAAAAAAGAAGAAGAGAAAACGGCAGCTTTCCTTGTGGTATCCCTGTATCTCCCCCCAAAAAATGAAGAAGAAGGGCACCCACAAAAAAGGAAGGTAGACCCAAGGGTTCCGCTTTCCTGGGGTTTTGGTTTACCTAGGGGCCTTGGAAGTCAAAACGTGGTCCAGTGGAGCCTTGGAGCCCATCTCCAACGGTCATACCTGATGAAGCATCAATGGGGATCAGACGGCTACCAAAGACCAAGCCGTTTACTTTAAAGAAACCAACTTAAGTCATGATCATAAGGGAACAATATATTGGTGGATGGGCATGTTTGCCCCTCACTAGATTGACGCTCTTAACAATTTGTTACCCTGTGGAACCTTTACAATCTTACATCTCAATGCTGGTAAGAAAGTTTAAAATCCGGCGACCCTGCTTTCCCAACCCCAAACCCTTTTTTCGAGCTCCATGTTTTTCTAATTTTCGGGCCCAAGTTCCGGCCGGTTTAGCCTTAGGTTCCTGGCGCGGGTGGAGGCGTTGGGCCCCGCAGACGGTGCCAACCGCATGTCCATTGTGGACTTCTTCCCCCACAGCTTTGAGTCGGTGAACCAGCTGCCGCTCGCATACCCAATTGCGGGAAGACCCGAAAGGTGGGTCCTCCAGTTGGTGCCCTTTTTGCTGAATTGGAGGGGTGTTCCTTTCCTTAAAAGACAGCAACCACAAAAGCCGAAGGGTGTGGGACTTGGCGTATTCCCATGCGGAAATTCAGCGGTGCTGCGTGCTACCGGTGTTTGTTTGCCCGGATTTTGTGCATGCTTACAGGGAACCAAAGGGAATATCGAGAACCGTTAGTGGTTGGACGGGGATGGAAGATACGCGATTTGATTCAAACGTATTCCTGAAGGAACAACATGAGGGGATTCTTAAAATACAGCATCCAGAAGGCAAGAAACAGGGGATGGACACCAACACATTTAACAAGGCCGTGGAAGCAAAGCACCAGATACAAACACACTCACGCCCGGAAAATCCATTCGGACATCTCGGCAAGCTGATTGAGAGCCCAAAGGGTTCCCGCGAAGGTCATCGGATGGAAGTAAGCCATATTTATCATCTTGTCTGAAAGGCAAGCACAAGGGACGGAAAGTAGATGAGATCCCGTATTCAGAGCCCCTCTTAAAGCAATTCAAGCAGACGCGGTTTGGTTTGGGTCTGATTGGCCCACATGGGCCCACTTTACGTTGCATGCAGGGGGAGTGAGTTGCTTCAGGTCAGGTTTGCCATGTTCTGTTTTCGCTGGAACTCACAGTAGATCCATGCGGACACATGTGAAGCATCAATTGACGCGACTTTTGTTTTCCTCCGAGTGGGCCTTTAGCAGAAATCGATTTCCTTTGTAGCGTGCAGGGCAACGCGCTTTTTAAATTGGCTGTCACATACTCAAAGAAAAACAGCAGACAGTGACAGCCCACCTCAGGCTAGCCTTATGGAAACACCGATGTTGCGCGCATGGCTGTGAAGTTGCAAAACTGCCCGCGCCAGTCTGCGACAATGTGAGTTCATGCAAAGGTGCATAGGGACAGGGACCCTTGGCTCTGAGACTAGGTGCCGTATGCACCTGAAGCTTTGGGGCACAGCAGCAACTTGCAGTTGCAGACGCAGGCCAATGATCAACGTAACATGTGCCTGGCCAAACAGGTCGAGAAGTCACCACAAATATTTGCAGGATACCTGCTACTCACGTGGTGGTTCTGCGCATAGATTCAGAAAGCGTTGACAATCATGGGCACAAATGCACAGAACAGCGTGCAACTAGAGTGACTCCAGAAGGAAAAGCTACCTTATGTTTATTCGTGCCAAACCCGCGGGGAAGTTCTTGGACCAGTTGTTTGTTCTGAATGATTTTGGACTTGTTTGAGTGATTGCGGTTTTTGCCAGTTCTCCAGTGGTACCTGTTTTGCCCTTCTCGGTTTCGCTTTCAACTCATGCAGCGCAGATGGTCCTTTTTCCCTTGCCGCTCTGCCATCAGGCCAAGGGCCTGAGGCAGCGACGCTGGAACACTGTATGCCGACTGTATTCCTAAAGCATTTGCCGCGAAGTCAATAGTTCGATCACTTACCTTGGGCTGAAGCATATCGCAAGGCCAGTGATCAAATTTGAAAAAGACAAGCAACCACGCACACATACAGGGCATTCGCGGTCTGAGTTGTCCTAGCCAGTGCAATTAGGTGTGGTTGCAAAGGGAAAGTGCTTGTGTGCCCCGTTTTCGTTTTTTTTTTTTTTTGCAACACCGGGAAATGCACATCCAGCCGGCGAACTGCCCAGGTCACAGACCTTCATCCAAGAAGAGCGGCGCTACGCTTACACCACGCCGAAGAGCTTTTTGGAGCTCATCAAGCTGTACTCCCTAATGTTGGAAAAGAAGGTCACCTGACTCAAGTGTCCGCTTGTCCCCTTTTTTTTCTGGGGATGGGTGACGGGGCCATTTGAAACCCAAACCAGGCCGCACCACTTGATGGCCCGACTTGTTGACACAGACTTGCATTTCAGTCACCTAGTTATCCTAGAGCTCGATGTGCCAGGCAACCCGGACAAGAGAACCGCATCGAATGAACTCGAAGCATGCTCAACTGCAATGGAACCCTGCCTCGCAGAATGCCGCCCTGGCCAAAGCAAATTGAAAGCATCCCCTTGCAGCTGCCCCAGTCACACTCATCCCGTTTGCAAATGAATCCAGTGGAATGTTCACCAGAAGTAGTGGCCGCAGCAGCAGGTAGCAGTAGCAGCAGCAATAGTAGCAGCCGCAGTAGCATCGGCAGTGCGGTACTGCTACTAGCAGTAGGCAGCAGTAAAGTAGTGGTGGTGATGGTGGTGGTGGTGGTGGTGGTGGCTCGCAGTAGAGCAGTTGAAAGTTTCCAACAGGCCCAAGTCAACAGTAGCGTTGGTGAACACATTGTAAAGGTCAATCTAACCTGGATTCATCCCTCTCCTCAGCGAAATGAAGCCCCGAGCAGCCAGGTGGCCTTCCCAAACCTCCATTGGCCAGGGGTTGACTTTTTCCACTGAAAAGTCAGCATTCAATTCAATAGAGAACACCTTTTTGGGGGTTTGGTTGATGCTGAGCCGAGTGGAACCACCTTTTGGGTTCGAGTGGTCCCGTTTTGACTGGAAGTCTACGGCGAGAACCTCAGGTCTACCTCCTCCAGGACAAGAAGACGCGGCTGTCCAGCGGCCTCATCAAGCTGAGGGCCACCCAGGAGGAAGTGGCGATCTTGGAGGAGGACCTTCAAGAGAAGGCAGGCGCAGCACCGGTAACGCCCGCCCGTGTCCAAGTGGCTTCAAGAGAGTCGTTCGATCTGGATAAGGTCCGCCTTAGATTGTTCAATGAATAGGGCCCACGCCCTGTTTGCGACCTGTTTTGTAGTACACGCGTATTGGGCTTTTCTTTTGGACAACTAATTTAGTATTGCGCCAATATTAAATTAGTATTGGGCATGTTTTTGTAATTGTTTACGCCTTATTTAGGGGTAGTTGATCATTTGTTTGGGAAAGTTCAGCTTTATTTCGGTGCAGTTTTACAAATCGTAGGTTAACATTAAGCGACCCCCCCAAAGGGTAGCGATTCTACAAGCTGAGTACGGGGTTGTTTATCTCACGTTGGCTTGGTTGGGTTAGCGGTGCGCCCATCCGGATAGATCCGGCTTCTGGTTTCAGAGAGTGTTATTTGTCCGCCGTCCCCCGCCATTTTTGTTCATTGCTTTCCCTCGCCGAAAGCGAACCGGGCTCCCTTTCAACACCGGAGGCGGTCGCAGGCGGGCATATGCCGTCAACAGCCACTTGCGCAGGCTGTGGTGGTCAAGGAGAAGGCTGAAAAGGCGGATGCCTTTGCGGAGGAGATCCGTGGTGAAGCCCGTAGGATGTCGCCATCGGATCAACTCCGTCCAGTGGGCTTTTGCTTGTGACCTTTGTGTTCGCAGCACTCGCATTAACACACCAGGGGCTTCCAATTCATTCCCTCAGCATTTGGCGCCTTTTCTTCCCTCAGGGCATGTCCCTGACTTTCAGGGTGGTGAATCATGGTTTGTCTGGGGCTTGGTAAACGAAAGCACTGCATTTCTGATGGTGCTTCTTTGAATGGTTGTTTCAACTTCGATTCGCGGGAGGCCTCACATCTGCAGCAAATTGGAAGGGAGTTGGTTGAATCTATGTGGAGATCTTGCACAACATCCTCTAGCCCCAACATAGGTCAAAATGGCTTATACCTTTTTGAGGATCCTCTTTTCAGGTTGGTTTCAAGGGAAATAGCCAGCATTTGGGGGACCCCTTATTTTGACACATATACCCAAACTGACTCCACTCTTGCCTAGATGTATGTTTGCATCAGAAGATGTTTTGTTGAATCATGTGAACAAGTTGTCTTTTGTAGCTGCACCCTTGCCCGTGTTGTTTTGCAAGGAAAGCGGTACGAGACACTCGCCCTAGAAAGGTCATGAATCATGTGGGTAAGCCTTTTTTGGGTGGGGAGCCCCTTTTTCAGGCTGCTTCAAAGAAAGCAACGCGTCAGGAGGGCCGAGCAACCCGAGCGAACGGGACCCCAGGAGTCTAAGCCCAAAGGAGTCCAGCGAAACGGAGGCCATGTCTCGTGTTTTCGGGGTACCACAGCGCTTCTGGCGTTTGGACCACGCGAAAACCTCTCCAGGAGATTGGGCGCGAGAAGGCGCGGGTGAACTCGGAGGCGGAGAAGGCCAACATCGAGGCCGTGAAATGCGCGCAGATCGCCCAGCAGGTAGCGGAGAAGAAGGAGGACTGCGGCCTGGCAGTCGGCAGTCGCGGCCTACTTTTTGGGAGGGGTCCACTTCGCGAAGCCTCAGCCCAGTTGCCCAGTGGCGACCCGTTGTTCTGTCTTTGTTGGGAGAAGGTTTTGATTTTTGCGGCTAGTTGGTAACGGATCTTGGGGCTTTAACTGTTTGGTCGAACCATTTCGGATTTTCCAGTGGGCCCACAGAAAGGTTGTCTCTTTTGCAGGGGGGTCAACAGCAACCAAGTTTTGAGGTTTCCGCTTGTAAGGGTCCATACAATGAAGGGTCTGGTTTTGTTCGTACAAAGAAAGGGGTCCAAACGGCTTTAGAAGTGTTACTTTGGCATATCAGCCATACCTCCAAAACCCATACCTGGAAACAGAAATTGAACAATTTGAGGTGAGTAACATGGGTGCCTTTTACAGAAGGCGGCAAAGCTTTGCCCTTTCGGGTGACGCTCCTGTTGACCGGCCATTTGGGAGGTCCAGGCTCCTCCCATGTGGGACCTTCCTTAACACAGGGAAGGTTTCCAGGGATTTGGATGAGAAGTAACCCCATGCCCAAAATGATGGAAGGTCAACCGTCGTGGTGCTGCGACATTCAAACTGCAAGCTGCGATGGCCCGTCCAACCCATCGACCTGCCACCTGAAACTAGGCAACGCCCAAGTCGATGGGGCAGCTCCCCAAGTCTGTGGAAAAATCGTTCCCCCCCCCCTTCCCCCTTCCCCCCCCCCCCCCCCCCGCCGCGTTTTTCCCCGGGAAATTCTGGTTCCGCCGGGGCGCCGGCGCTGCGCTTCTCTCTGAGGCCTGCGGGACCTGGCGCAGGCGCTACCGTTGGTGGAGCAGGCCGAGGCGGCCTTAGATGTCTTGGACAAGAAGGAGTTCAACGAGCTCAAGGTGGGACCCCAGACCCCCCAGCAGGTGGCTTCCTCTTTTGGTACCCCAGACCCCCAGTGGGTGGCCTCCCTTGGTTCAACTCTTTTTGCTTTTTGTTTGGAGGGGTGGGCTGTTTGAGTGGGTGGCTTCCTTTGTATTGTTTTTGTTTTTTCTTTGGAGGGCTGGGCCGTTTGAACGTTTGAACATTTGCCAAGCAGATGATGCCATTGCTCACCATAGCCACTGGTGTTTGGATTAAGGACATCAGATAAACACACACCAGCCACTGCAAACTCTACCGGACGTTAGCCAACAAAAACACCAGCATTTGTTTTGGCCACCTTCCCGTAGAATTTCCTTCGGCTGGTGTCTTATAGAGATTCAAGTTGACGCTTTAGAGCCCTGGCTTTTCCCCCGACAAGGAAGCCACCAATTTGAGGGTATCGCCCAGGGCAAGATCCTCCCCAGACAGCTGGCTGAGCCCAAGATTTCTCCTTGCATAGAAACAGTTCTTGTGATTTTCACGGGGACGTGCAGTTCTTGTGATGTTCACACCGCCTCAAAACTACAAATTCTCGCGCACATCCCATCAGAGAGAGAGGATAAAAGCCAGGAATCAGCAGATGCTCCCGCGGGATATCACTCATCCCGCAAGATGTGTTGGTTGTGTCAAAATGGGGGAAATCCAAAACTGGTGGTATCCATTTGGCTTCCCCACCCACACAATCCGGAAATCGGGAATGTGGGGAAGTTTATCCCTGTTCAAACTGTCAAATGGGAAGTATCATTGGGGTGCTGCACGGCTCTGTGTTTTCGATGGCCACGGCCCACGGACAGTTTTTGGATCCCGAACTTACAAGACGGACACCCACGGCAAAATTCATTAGCCAGGAGTCGTGTGAATCCTCGATTCCTTTGGAATGGCCCACGGGTTAGGAGATGCTCACTTGTTTAAAGCAGACCTTTTGAACTGTTGGCTTGCACTCCCAACTGGGACATTTCTTGGCGGCAAGTGAAGAGAGTTGATACAGATGTACCGTGCCTGCCCTCGCTTTGCATGGGGGCTTTTCAGTGGCAACTCTTTCGGTCACCCGCGTGATTCCTGCTGTGGCTGCGTCACTCAGACTTGCCCATGCCTCCCCTTCTTGGTTGTAAAATTGAGCCCTTCAGGCGAAGTCAGAGTGAGTTTCCTTTAGGTGATCTGATGCTTTTAGGCGGGATATGCGGGGAACATTGTCACACCAACGAACGAAGAGCTTGGAGTAGACCAGGCAGTTTCAACTGCCTTGCTTGCTTATTTGGCTGGGTGGGTCCAGCTTTTCTCTCTACTTTATGCTGATGTGATGTACTTCTGCTCTGATGTGTTTGTTGCCCAGGTTGGATTCCTCAAGTGAATTACGACTCCCCTGTTTGCACGGGAGCTATGACCCGGAACTCGCGATTTAAGATGGCAGTGCACAATCGCTGGTTTCAAGGACAGCAATTTGAAAGCCTTGCTATGTTCCGCTGTCTGGAGACCCTTGGCAGGAAACGCATAACAAGGACTCCCCAGGATTCCGAAGCGCCATTCAGTACTTTCATGGCTTTCTCATGAATTTCCACTGGCTTTTTCATGGCTATGGCTCCTGACCGGCTCCAGCCGACATGAGAGGCGCTTACCCGGCCACCGGTGGATGTGGCCACCGTCTGTGAGACAGCCTTGCACCTACAAGCCGGCTTGGACCCCCTCATCGAGGCGCAGACGCGCCGTGGGTCTCGAAAAAGGGGCAGGTGGCGAAACACAGCATGTGACATGAGGGGTGTGCTTTTTTGGTTTTTTTGGAAAAGCGGGGAAATAATGCCAACATTTCACAAACCGTTGTTGGCATAGCCTGTGAGCTCGGAAAAGCAAAGCAGCAAAACAGCGGAAAACGCTTCTTGCCGTCAGGTGGACAAGAGGGGCAAAGTGAAAGACCGCACGTGGAAGAGCGTCCAGAAGATGATGACGGATCCCAACAAGTTCCTGGCGAACCTGAAGGCCCAGCGGCAAAGCGGGCTGAACATGTTTGCACTTGATCTGCTGTTTGGTGGATGGCATGGGGACACTGCCATGTCATTGAATGAGAAAAGGGTGAAGAGACAGACTTGCTGACTTTTCCCCATGTTGGGGAACAACATTGGCGAGGGGCTGGTAAACTGCAACGGCGTCCTCATAGCCGTTGTTTTTGGTACCTGTAGCCTTGAGACCTTCACGCACATCAGGGGCCGCGCAAGCTCAAAGGGGTTTCCCAACCATTTTGGAGGCCCATGTGCTCAGAAGACAAACTGATGAAGGTGTTCGCTCGAGGCTTACAAGGGGGCCATCGACGATGGCCGGGTGCCGGCGCAGAACGTGGAGGAGGCACGCAAGCTAAAGGACTCCCTTGGAGAGGAGCACCACGGCTGAAAGCTTTGGCCCTGGCCCCTTTTAAGGGATTTTAAGGGTAAACCCAAAGTATGTGGATTGAACACTGCAACTGGGTCGCCTTAAGGGTAGGGGTTCTCAACACTTATGTTGCTTGTTTCCCAAACTTACGATCCACCAAAATCAGGTGCCGTGTTTTCCCTCACTGATAGCCACCGGAGGTCTGGGACGTGCACCTGTCTTGTAAACATCAGAAAAGCGTCTGAAAAGTTAGCAGCATGAAATCCCAAGAGCACAAGTTGGCAGAGGGAAGTAGGCTGCAGGCTGCGGAGCATGCAAGTTTCCGTGCCAACCTCTCTAGCTGTGCCCCTGGCTGTTTTGAAAATCCCCAGCTAACGGGGACCTGCCAAGGGTGGTCAAGCGATGGTGCTGATGACATGAAATCGAGGCGGTCATTCAAAAGAATTAGTCAAAAGGGGCTAGGGATGAAAGGGCGCCAATGGGTTCACTATTAAAATGTGTGTTAATTGTGCTGTCCAAAAAGAATTATGAAACCATTGCACATTTGCAGGATGCTACGTCCAACTGCTACAAGGGGACTTGAAGGGAAGCATGCAACGTTGGGATAAGTCAAGCGCCGCCTTCCAACAGAATGCAGCGCTGAGTGTGCGAGCCTTGGTTTCTTCTTCTACAAAGAGCAACAAAAGCTTGGCTGGGAGAGTGTGTTTGGGGGCGGCAGGTTTGGTTGCTTGGTCCGTTGCATGTTGTTGACTGAGTTGGGCTGGCTAATGCTGGCTAGGTCTTTTCTTGGTCAGTGGGGTGTATGACTTGCATGGTATGGCTCATGTGGGCAGCGGCATGGTGTATTCCACATGTTGATTCTCAGGTGGCTCCAAGGATCACAGCCGATGAATGAGATCTCGTGTGTCCTTTGGTATACGTCTAGATGCTCTCGGCTGAGGTTTTTGCCAGAGAACATGAAGAAGAAATCCCAGGCGGCTGGTGGGCTCAGTGAGCTGCTCGGTTGCAAGCAAATCGGCCGGAAACAAAAAACACCTTGTGGTTCCCTGGTTCAATTTCGGGGTTGTGTTATTTTTCAGGGGGAACCCCGTCTTTCAGGGGTACCCAGTTTTGTGCTGCAAATCGTTTCAAAAGCCACCACTACCCTTTTTAACACACATACACACCAACACGTTAATTCAAACTTCCGACAGGTGATCTTTGAGTTCAAGGTTGCTAAGAGGAGAGTGAGCCTCAGTGCCTTGCTAGGATTAAGGGGTCAACCTATTCGAATTCTGCAATTTGGGCCCCAGGGTGTTGCGTGGGTATTGTAGCAACGATCCGGAACATGATAGGCCTTCGAGATCCTTGAGCAAGGCTTATTGTGCAGAGCTATTGGCTACCCTTGTTGCTTGAGCCAGGGCTAGGAGAGACGTAGCCAAATGCTTCAACTCTTGACCAGGTGTTGGACTGTTCATACACCCCTGCTGCATTCCAACTTTATGCAATTCAAACAGTGAATGTCCAAATGGAACAGTTCCTGGGCTGCAAATGATGCCCAGACTTGTCAGAATGTCAGAAGCGTGAACAAAAGCCCTCGCGATCGCCTGGCTTATTGCCACTTTAATTTGGTGTGGAGAGGGTTTCAGATTTTGCCACCTGCGGCTCAGGTTTGTCATCAACATCATCAAGTGCCTTGACAAGCGTCAAATGCGGATGTCGGCGTGCTGTGAATGAGAAGTCACACTCTCATTGTCTCTCATTCAGGTTTTTCATGTCCTGCTTACTAATTACACGGTTGCATTCTGAGGCAGCCCCCGGGTAACCATTTGATTGGTCAGTAGGCAAAGGGTGCTCCAGCGTGTCAAGAACTTTCAGCCGATCGGCCCAGTGACACCTGGCAGCCTGGAAGGTGCTGTGTCAGTGGGAGAGCGCCAGAATCGTAAAAGCAACTTGCATGCTTGCTGCGCTCTTCTTGGTCCCATGCTCGGGCCTGTTGATTGTTTGCTTCTTTTAATGGTGGCTGCCTGGATGAGATGGATGAACGGATGCCAGCTTGTCCTGTGAACGAGGCAGCTGAGCGGTGTCATGTTGAATTATTTTTGTAAGCCTTGAGCCATTTTTGTCTCAGTCTGTTGCACTTTGAGCATGGTCCTAAAAGTTCGCCCTGTAAATCCACATCTTATCAGATTCGCTCGCTCATTCGCTCGGGCGGAGGTACTACGATGTGGTTTGCCAAGTGGAGCCCAAGAAGCGCTCGCTGCAGGAGGGCAGAGCCAGCTGTACCTCCCGCGGTCACAATTTGAAATCTTTGCATCGCTTTGATTTTTCTGGCTTTGCGTAAACCACGGCATATGCCGGTCTTGTGGGCATAGATGCGATGGAATTTCAGAATCAAACATCTTTCTTCATTTTTGTTTGCCTCGGTTAACATGGTGCTTTTTGCAGGGGAGGCGAGGTGAGAGTGTAATGTGAGCATTGTTCTATGAGTCTGGTTTGAGGAGTTATGTGTCAAGGGTGATGGATGTAGAGGCCGATCATCGCGTTGCATGCATTGGGACACCCATGACCGGCTTAGCAGGGTTGATTTCTGAAGTGGAGATGTGGTTTGTCAGGACGGCTTGGTCGAACAATAACTGTTTGTCAAGTAATTTGGCTCAACTCTTGCTGTGATATGTGGAGCTGTAATCAGTAGGCAGCAACATGCATGGACCACGCATTGTTCATCATTGAGGTCACCTAATGATCATATTTCCTTGGAGCGAGTGATGTTGGTTTGAAGTACTCTTGGGGACAACTGTTTGGGTTTACGAGACGGTACTGGCTTAAGCCGTTCTTGGCAGGCCTTGCAAGGGGTTGAGTTTGAACGCCAGCTCTGTACAGCCATCTCAGTTACGCCCCAAAAGCCGGCCATTTGCCAAAAGGTGGTGCCTCTAAACTCTAGTAGATCCACAAATTAGATGGTCCAAGCATGTTGGTTTGGACTCTATGTTATTCTGCGGGGATGGCCACGTTCCAGGATGCCGCCGACACCCTGGAGAAAGCCAACGAGCGCCACCGGGAGGTCACAGCCATGGTGAAGGATCTCCGAATCAAACACGTCAATTTGACCAGCTGATTCCAAGGATCCAGATACCAAAAAACAGGTGTTTGGAGGAACCCTGTTTGGGGGCAGGGTTTGAGTGTGGCGGAATAGGGGGTGTCATGGAGTTGTGGAATACTAAACCCCTGGCACCCGCAGAGGGTTGACTTGGTCCATACTGGACATTTCATGAACTGATGAATCAAGGCCTCGTACTCTCAAATCTGGAGACCCTGCACTCTTTTGGTTTTGACACAAGTTCATCTCCCCAGTTGACGAAACAACACTTGGACGTACGCGTTGCAGACGGACGTCTACGCGCATGCTTGGTTGGTGCTTGGCAAGGGGCAACATGTGTTGAAGCACCAGACCCTGCCCCCCCCCCTTTATATAGTGGAAAAAGCACGCTAGGAGACTGCTGAAACACGGGGTGGTTGACCACGCTTAAACGAATTGACTCGCCTACGCCTGATTCTTAGAGTCAACTTGAGGTTAACATGACACCACGAAACCCGCTCATGCGCAGAGTCTCCTTTTCAAAGGTCCCCTTTATGGGGTCCTTCCGTTCGTTACTAGGGGGGCCCGTAAAGGACCAGTCATGGTCAACTCCCCTTATGGCGCTGCCCCCTCCTTATCTCTCCTTATAGCTCTGGAACACAAAAAGAGCCCTCTTCACTTCCTGAGTTCAAAAAGACTTTCACACTTCTTGGGAAGACCATTTTCGTCGCGAACCAAAACATCTGTGCACATTTTTGTTGGGCCAAGCCACTCAAGTGAGCCTGCCTCATCGGTGTTTGTCTAGGTTTTTCCAGTAGTGCCTCGTTTTTTTTTTTTGTTTACACTTTTTTAGTTGGGAGGGTTCCCCTACTAAAACAGACTCCAGAAAAAAAGAGGAAAAACAAGGAAACAAACAAGAAAAAAAAACAAGAAAAAACAGAAACAGAAGAAGAACAAATACGGGCGCCCTTATTGTAACCTCCAAAACTGGAGGACCGAGGCCCGTTGCTTTTGGATCTTTTGGGGCTCCGTTTTTTGTTTTTTTGGGCTCAGGACCTGGAGGAGAAGCTGGCGCGCCTGGTGGCGGAGTTCGACCAGGCCCAGGAGGAGAAGGACGAAGTCATGGCGGAGGCCGAGAGGTGCCAGAAGAAGCTGGACATGGCACAGAGGCAACTGGCAGCCGTTTCAGCCGCCGATTTCTTCTGGGGCCAGTTTTCCCGAATGCGTAGCAGAAGGGTTCCCGTTTAGAGGTCGGGGGTCTGGGGGTTAGGACGTGACCAGAAGTCGTTGATTTACGTCCTCAAGCGTCCGTATGTGTTCGCGAGTGTCGCGTTCGCAGCTCCAGTGGGGAAACCGAAAAACGTGCCATTTAGATGACTTGAAGCGTGTCATTTTTCGTGCCCCTGTGCGGGAATCGTAGCTCTTAGCATGTCAGACGTAGTTTTGCTGTGCAGGCGCAGTGTTTTGGAAGGCTGCGTGTTCTCGTTGCCGTGCCAGTAGGATTTGCGATCCAGGGATGGTCGCTTTGAGGTGTCCTGCTTGGCAGGCGCGCGCAAGCGTTTGCACGAGTGTCATTTTCGTTGGCCCTGGCGTACAATCGGCTCGTTTTGGCGAGCCTGAAACATGTCAAAGTTGGTCGAAATCATTCTGGCGCCACAGTCCCGTGCTAGTTTTCGATGCGTGTCGTAAACGTGTCAAAGTTGGATTTCGTGGCAGGTCCAGCAGTTTGGATGATTTTGAGTTTGTGGCAAGCTTGCTTTGCGTGAGAGGCGCGGCACTTTCGAGCGTTTTGGTTGAATTTCGTGGCAGGCGCAGCACTTTGAAGCTTTTCGTGCAAATTTCGTGGCAGGCGCAGTTCTTTAGCGCATGGGTGTAGATTTCGTGGCAGGCACGTCACTTTGACTCAGCGAGATCGCTCTCGCTGTGGCGCGGTGCACATTTTGAGAACGCGAAGCGAACCGTCTGCGCACTTTGGGTGGGTCAAATCGCTCTCGCTGTGGCGCGGTGCGCATTTTGAGAAGGCGAAGCGAACCATCTGCGCACTTTGGGCGGGTCCAAGCGCTCTCGCTATGGCGCGGCGCGCGTTTTGAGCATGCGAAGCGAAGCATGCGAAGTGAACCCTGTGCGCACTTTGGGTGGGCCGTATCGCTCTCATGTTGAGCGCGCAAAGCCAACCTTCTGCGCACTTTGGGTGGGCCGAATCGCTCTCGCTGTGGCGCGGTGCGCATTTTGAGATCGCAAAGCGAACCCTCTGCGCACTTTGGGTGGGTCGCATCGATCTCGCTGTGGCGCGGCGCACATGTTGAGATCGCACAGTGAACCCTTTTGGGTGGGCTGAGTCGCTTTCGCTGGGCGCGGGGCACATTTTGAGATCGCGAAGTTGTGACGAAACACGAAACGCGGGTAGGGTCGTGGCTAGAGACATGACAGACCACAAAAGGCAGGACGGGAGATGTGACGGAGTTGTGATGCGAGGCGCGTCGAGACACATGATAAGAGATGCGTTGGAAGTGATGACGAGAGACAGGAGCAGAGTTGTTACGACAGACGTCGCAAAGCACGTGACCAAAGACGTGACAACAGGCGTGACCAGAGGTGTGACGATGGATGTGAGAAGAGGAGAGCCGTAACGAGACACGTGACGAGAGATGCGACAAGATCCGTGACGAGGATCAGGTGGGATGGCAAACGCGAGAAGAGACGTTTGAGAAGAGACGTGACGAGGGTCGTGACAAGAAACGTGACCAGAGACGTGATGCGAGGGGTGACGACGCGCGCGACAGGATCTCCAAGAAAGACGTGACGGGAGATACTACGTAGTCGCGACAAGAGGCGCCTTGACACACGTGATGAAAGATAAGATGAAAGTCATGACAAGAGACGTGGCCAGAGTTGCTACGACAGACGTGACAAAGGACGTGACCAAAGAAGTGACCAGAGGCATGACGATGGATGTGAGGGATGTGACAAGAGACGTGCGATGAGAGATGCGACAAGAGACGTGGCGAGGATCGTGACGCGAGAGGTTACCAGAGACGGGACGGCAAATATAACAAGAGACGTTTGAGAAGAGACGTGGCGAGGGTCGTGACAAGAGACGTGACCAGACGACGTGACGCGAGGGGTGACGACGCGCGCGACAGGATCTCCAAGAAAGACGTGACGGGAGATGCTACGTAGTCGTGACGAGAGGCGCATGATGAAAGATAAGATGAGAGTGATGACGAGAGACGTGGCCAGAGTTGCTACGACAGACGTGACAAAGGACGTGACCAAAGACGTGACCAGAGGCATGACAATGGATGTGAGGGATGTGACAAGAGACGTGCGAGGAGAGTCGCGACGAGACGCGAGATAAGGCGTGACCAGAGACGTGACGAGATAACGCGTGACCAGAGACGTGACGAGAGATGCGACAAGAGACGTGACGAGGATCATGACGCGAGAGGTTACCAGAGACGGGGCGGCAAATATAACAAGAGACGTTTGAGAAGAGACGTAGGGTCGTGACAAGAGACGTGACCAGAGACGTGACGCGAGGGGTGACGACGCGCGCGACAGGATCTCCAAGAAAGACGTGACGGGAGATGCTACGTAGTCGTGACGAGAGGCGTGTTGAGACACATGATGAAAGATAAGATGAAAGTCATGACAAGAGACGTGGCCAGAGTTGCTACGACAGACGTGACAAAGCACGTGACCAAAGACGTGACCAGCGGCATGACGATGGGTGTGATGGATGTGACAAGAGACGTGCGAGGAGAGTCGCGACAAGACGCAAGATATGGCGTGACCAGAGACGTGACGAGAGATGCGACAAGAGACGTGACGAGGATCGTGACGCGAGAGGTTGCCAGAGACGGGAGACGCGAGGGGTGACGACGCACGCGACAGGAGACGTCTCCAAGAAAGACGCGATGGGAGATGCTACGTAGTCGCGACGAGAGGCGCCTTGAGACACGTGATTAAAGTTAAGATGAAAGTCATGACAAGAGACGTGACCAGAGGCATGACGATGGATGTGATGGATGTGACAAGGAACGTGCGAAGAGAGTCGCGACGAGACGCGAGATATGGCGTGACCAGAGACGTGACGACAGATGCGACAAGAGACGTGACGAGGATCGCGACGCGAGAGGTTGCCAGAGACGGGAAGTAGTTGCGACGATCGGCGCCTCGAGACACGTGATGAAAGATGCGATGATGAAAGATGTGACAAAGGTCTTGTCTTGACGAGAGATGTGGCCAGAGTTGTTATTAAGAGACCTGCCAAGGGACGTCTAGCTACGTGGCGATAGAGGTGACAAGAAACGTTGTTACGTGAGACGCGACAAGGACAAGGAAAAAAGAGAGAGAGACGTGACAAGAGACGCTGTTACGAGAAACCTGACAAGGGGCATGACCAGAGACGTGACACACCAGAGACGTGACTATACACAAAAAAGAGGAATAGCCAGATTCTCCACCTGGCGAGGAGAGACGTGACGAGATTGGACCAGAGACGTGACGAGAGATGTGACAAGAGATGTGGCGCGAGGGCCGACGACTCATGAGTGACAAGAGACGTGACGAGAGTCGCCAAGAAAGACGCGGCGGGAAACGCGACGGAGTCATGACGACAGGCGCGGCGAGACAAGTGATAAAAGACCAGAGACGCGACTTGAGGGGTGACGACTCACATGACAAGAGACATGACGGGAGTCGCCAAGAAAGACGTGATGGGAGACGTGACAGAGTCGTGACGAGAGGCGCAGCGAGACACATGATGCAAGGTTTGACAACGGTTTGACGAAAGTCATGACGAGAGACGTGGCCAGAGTTGCTACGAGAGACGTGACAATGACGTGACCCGAAGTGACCAGAGACGTGACTATAGAAACGTGACTAGAGACGCAACGCGAGATGTGACAAGAGTCCGCTTTCGTGTCCGCATTCGGGTTCGTGGCTTCTATCAGTTTGTTTCCCCGTTTTTGGGGGTTGGTTTATTTGAGGGAAAACCGAAATCCTAGTGATGTTGTTTTGATTGTTTTGTTTGTTTTTAGGGGGGGTCCCTTTTTGTTTAAGAGGGTGGGCCCCTCTGACTTCAACTACCAACGAGGGTGCCTTTTTCTCCCAAAGCCACTAGGGCGGGGGGGCGCAGGCTGGGCAGTATGCGGGGCTTGATATAACAGTGGACGGAACTTTGCGCAATCCCCGTGCGTTATCAGCGTTCTATTTGTGGATAACCTTCAAAAGGATTTAAATCCAGGTGGCCGGTGTGTGTGTGTGTGAGTTGTGGTTTGTTTGTCTTTCTGGGGTTGTGGCTCTTGTTTGTGTACCTTTTTTGGCATAAAGTAATTGGAATGGGTTGCGAATACTTCATCCACAACTCACGGTCGGTTACCTCATGATCAGAGGAGGGAATGTTTGTACATAATTATTTAGCCCCTGGTGTGTTGGTATTGTTGGTATTCTTCCCTTTGTTTGTCGTGTTTCTCAGCGGCATTGGCGGTTCGGTTGGTCAGTTGATCTGGGGATGTGCTGGTCCTGGTTTTGCTCCATGGGTTGTTTGGTGTTGCTGCCGCAGGTGCGGATTTGGATAGGTCATGTGTTTGTCCGATTTGATGTTCTTTGTTTGGGCTGCTGTGGTTGGCATGGCGCTTGCCTGAGGAGAGATGTTACCCACCTCCATATCATAAATTCAAGCCCTCCCTGTCCAAACTGGCCCGGATGGGTTTGTTGCCTACTGGATAAATGCCGGCATTCATCAAACCAAATATTCCCTTGAGCCCTGATACGGCTTACTTGCTGGGCGTCGGGGCAGGGGTATTCCCCACAGTCACTCAAAGGTCCTTTTTGAAGCCATTTGAGAGGTATAACCCCATTCACTTTCGGCCGGAGTCCGTTAGGCTCGTCGGAGCCTTGAGCGCCAACGGGGTGATCTGGGAGCAGACCGTGGAGAGAACCGGCGAGGACGGGGCGCAAAATTGGCCAATGCGAGGGGGGGGTCAAGGAGACTGCTTGAATTGCTTGGATTGGGCAGACCTGATCGGTTTTTAGTATCACAGCTCCGGCTGTTGTGAATGGTGCCCGCTTTTTCTCCATTGGCCACATGTATGCCTTGCCGTCAGTCCTCCCTTGATTTCCCAGCTCTCGTGTCAAGATGAGTGCTTAGGGACCTTTCCCTGACATCAGGATGAAGAAATCAGCAGGTCAGCACATATCAGCAGATGTGTGTTTGACCTGCGAGTGATTTGCAGGGGTTGTTTTCCACGAAATCAGGAGCCCTTGAACAGGTGCCGCTCAGAAGGTTCCCGACACGTGCATGTTCAAAGCAGGCCCTCTGCCAGATCGCATCACCGGCGGCGAACATGTGGCACATAACCACGATTCAGAATTCAGCCGCTGAAATCAGGCGACGCCAAATGCCATGAAGAGCCTCATGAGATTCGACAGCCCATGTCCCTTCAGCCAGAGGATCTGGTCTTCATTCCCGGGGACTCCCTGGTGGCATGCTCCTTCGCCTCGTACTTGGGGGTCTTCAGCCGGGAGTACCGGGAACAGGCGCGGGGTGCTCACTATTTTGGTGGGAAAGAACAGTTTGTGGATTTTTTTTGTCTAAACAGTGTGACTACACTAATGGGCCTGTAACGGTAACAGCAAGTAAGACATGGTGTTTAGATTGTGGTGCCGAGACGCGTCTCGCCAAGTTTAGTGCAAAGGGTTGCACAAAAGTTCCCTCTGAAATTTTGCAACGTTGATTTTAAGACGGTTTGCGGGGAGACTCCTGTTTCAGAACGACGTCTGCGTTGTGGCGCCGTGCGAATTCTGGTAATAGAGGGTGCACCTACCCGCAGAGATCTTGTGCAGAGATCCTGTACAAAGCTCCCACAGATATCTTGCGCTGGTCATTCACAGGGATCCTCTCCAGAGGTCTTGCGCCAGGAACTGCAAAGAACAGAAGATCTGCAATCAGGGCTTTTAGAAGGATCCTGCTTGAAGAGGGGATAAAAGACCTTCTATAGGGATCTTTGTGGTCACCAGAATTAGTTCCCCTTTGTATTTTTTGCTTTTTTGGGGTTCCCTTTGTTTTCCACTACCGGGCAAAAAAGATAATTTTTGCTGGGGTCCTAATTCCAGCGCTCAGGAAGTTCCAAAGCAAGCGAGCATCTGCTGCGGGCATTTTCGGGTTACATGCGATTTCTGTCTTGCAATGTGTCCTATATTCGGCCGCTGTTTGGGGTCGTTTGCTGGGATAGTTTTTTGGAAGCTCCCTACTACCGTTGGAGTTTGGAACCACAAATCGTTGACACGTTTAGAGCAGTATGAGCACTTGAAGAACGACATTTCAATATGAAAAACTGAAAGCCACACCTTTTTGTGGGGTTGTTTAAGCATGTTGAAGCAAGAGGTGTTTAAACTATGCAGCCCAGAGTTTGAATCGCACCAGTTCTGGGCACAGGCCACCGCCTCCTTCGTGGAGTTCCTGCAGGGCCGAGAGGCGGTTTGCGGAGTTCGGGGGCAAAATGAGGTCATGGTGAAGATCTTTGGGAGATCCCTGACTTCTTGTTGCATGTAGAGGCGCATGCATTTCCCCTCTTCTTTCTACTGCAAGTGTGACACGCTTGTCCGCAAGTTGATGCTGCTGATTCGGTTTTTGTCAAACGGGGCCTGCTTGGTTTTCGTGCAGCTTTCCCTGAGGATCCGAAGTGAGCCCTGAGAAGCTGCATGTTTCGATTCCGAAACATGCTGTTGGTTTTTCTTTGCAGTTAGAATCTCTATTTGCGTTTTGACCAGGTTGACAAGGTTCACGGACGAAGGTTGATGGAAACAAAAACCCTCGCTTACACAGCGCCTGTGCTGTGCATAGCTTGCAAGCCATGGATGTCACAGACGGCTAGCACAAGCCACCCAACCCATCTTGGACCCTGCCAAATCGGGTTGCCAATTTCCTTGGCGCCAAGGCCGACGGTTGCTTTCATGCAAATCCACAATCTTGATTTTCCCAAACCAGATAGAAAGCCCCGCAGCCCAGCGCGTTTCCCGCCGCCTCAATTGGGCTGCAGGTGCCGCTGGGCCCATCGCCAGACCCGCTGCAAGTTCTCTCCACGGAAGCGGAGCAGGCGCTGGGGAAGTTCGGCGGCGAGTGTTTTGTTGGCGAGTGGCAGCGTATTGGGTATGTGTCAAACTAGGGGCACCTTCAAAAATGGGCGGTTGCCTTTTGGCTTTCCTGAACCCCCCCCCAAAAAAAAAGAAAGAAGAAGCAAAAAGCAAACAAACAAACAAAACACAATATATCGGGCGCGCACACACCAGTGTTGATGTTGCTCTTTTCTTCTTGGCTTCCTTTTCAAAGCAACCCCCAAAAAGGGGTACAAACCGATGCGCCAGGCCGGTTGGTGCGCCTGTGGCTTGCCCAGTGACCGCGTGTCCTTGGAGAACGGCGCCATCATGAGCTGCAGTGAGCGCTGGTGCCTGACGCTTGGCGAAGATCAGCGGGCGGAAAACGCTTCGGGGAGCCAGCCCCGTGGGGATCCTAGAAGCATCCTAGTAGGCAGAAAGCTCCAAAAAAACAAAAGGTACATAAGGCTGAGCAGCTGGGACGCGATTGAAAGCATGTCAAACTGTTGAGTGGCTTGTCCTCGAGCTGGCTGGCAGCTAGTTGAATCAATGAAGTTTAGTGAGTCGGGGTCAATTTCTACACATTGCGCAAGGGGTGGACATGGTGGCCATGGGGTGGAAATGCCTTGTATACATCTCGTCGGGTCTGGCTTTTGATGAAACCTCAGAGCTGAAATCTGGTTTGTGCAGACTTGGCAGACGGGTCGCCCCAATTCATTGCACCCAGAAGAATCAGAGAATCATGGTGAACCCAAAGAAGTAGTTTGTGATTTCAATCAAAATTTCTAGCTCTGGGACTACCCTCTTGTCAACGAACAGGGAAGTGGACGGAAAGGTTCCCAACTTGAAAGTAGTCTTCCCACACCTTCCCGCTCGGCTTTTATGAGTTTTGGCGGGAGGGTCGTTGCTGTACACTCATTGAACATCCAAATCCCCACTAAAATAGACTAAAATGGGTGGTGCACCTACCCTAAAATGATACCATGTTGACCCACGGCCAGTTGTTTTGTGTGATCGATATCGATTTCTCGCTACGCAAGAAGCCCATGTGCATCAGGATCATTGACCCACAGGCGCAGGGCATTGTCTGGATCAAGAACAAGGCGCCAACATCGTGATCGACAAACGACATCTTGTTATATGCAGAGCTGGCCTTTTGACCCTTCAGTTTGGTGTAGCATGTATGTGGCTTTAGCCCGGCTGTGCAGAGGAGTTCTGTCAAGCTGTTTGCAGGGCTCCCGCTGGAACATGTGCAGGCACTTGGTGGGTGAGTGATTTTCGCTCATGAGTCAATGCTCGGGTGCCCTCAATTGCTGGTTTGGATTGGTGGTTTGGGGCTTTGAACCCCGGTTCCTTTTTGTGTTTTGTTCACGTGTTGTTTCTTCATATGGCAAAACGGCCGAATGGCCGTTTGGCTCAAGTTTTCAACCCCCCGTCAGTTTAACTCTGGCACCACGTGCGGACGCCATACAACGGCAGCCGCCCACATCATCGGGAAAAGGTCTCGGTGCTGGGGGCAGCTGGTTGTGGGAGGTATCCGGTGGTGCGGCAGGGTTTGCTGGGCTTGGTTGAGTACTTATACTTCTTCAACTTGATTCCCAACTTCCCCAAACTTCTCTTTGCTAACCGTCACATCCTCAACCCGGTCATCATCCACAGCTTCACCCGAGTTGTGTTTCCGGGTGCTTTGGGTACATCGTGATCTTCGTTGTGCTCATTTGCTTCCCTGGGCTACTTCGTGTTCGCCCAAAACCGCAGGTTATCAGCCGTACCAGCTAGAAGCTGGGGCTGGTGATCCGGTTGCGGGACGTGACCCGCTACCTGCTCCCATCGCCTACTTGTACGAGCAATGGCGTCCCCCGGAGCTTCACATCGTGGGCCGGGCTTCGTGGATGACGAGGCCAACGCCCTTCGCGGCAACGCCGCGCCTGCTGCCCCCGGCTTAGACAGCCGGCTGTGGCCCATTCCCCCGATGGTGGGCGCAGAGCCCAATCCCGGGGTGATCACGGACGATTGGATCCTTTCTCAGGTCGTGTTTGATGAGGATGCGGAGGCCCCTATCCCGGCGGCAGTGCTCCAGATCGAGGACGGACCCCCTCTAGAAGAGGCTGAGGTTCCTCCAAATCAGGTGCCCTCGTCGATTTCGCCTACTGTTCCGTTCGTGGCGCTCCAGATCGAAGACCGGGCTGCCCATCATGCTGCTCATCAGGAGCCGGCTCAATCTTGGTCCCTTACATGGGATCAGTTTGACCAGCTCCTCGGCAGTGGATCGCAGGCTACACCGCCTGATTTCGGTCGGCTCGACTTCGACTCGGGTGCCCCCATGTCGGTCGGGAATCTGGATTTTCAATCCCTTTTTGATGCTGATTGGAGATCTCAACCTTCCCGAATAGACAGATCTTTTGATGCCCTGCCTATGCATGAACCTACTCAGGGTTTTCCACATGATGGAGAAAATGACCCCATTGAAGATTTCTCCCCTTCTCAAGTTGCAGGTTCGGCCCAACCCGAGGCGGGCAAACGGGCGATTGAGGATTGGCCGCAAATAGCTGGCCTTCCTCCTGTCTCAGGTTCATCCGACATTGACATCATTCACGATCACCCCAGTCCGGCGGATATGGACTTCATCCCTGATGCAGTATCATCTCACTTGTCAGGTACCCGCGACCGGAATGCGGACCGCTACAACGCTGGTCCTAATCCACCGCTTTTCTCAGGTACCCGAGGTCGGGACGCGAACCGCTACAACGCGGGCTCAAATCCGCCAAATCGAGCATCAGGTACTCATCGATCGGACGCGGGCCGCGAAATAGCAGGCCCAAATCCTTCATTCACTTCATCAAGAAGCCATGCCGGTCTCTTCGCGGCCTTCAATCGGCATCAGACTCGGAAAGAGTCCGTCCCCGACGTCATCGACCTCGAGGAGCAGTCCAGCCACCGTACCAGTGATGGATCCGAGCAGGATACACCTGGTATTGGCTCTACTCCCTTCGACCTTCTCGACATTCCCTTCCATCAGCCACCCAGGAGAGGGAATGAAGATGATGAAACCATCCCTGGGATCCTCGATGTAATCGATGAGGCCGAGGTCACACCAGAGAGACGAACGACATCGCTCCCGCCGAGCCGCGTTGCCAAAGTACTTTCCCCTAAGCCGTTCAATGATGACGTTGCTCAACGGCTTGATCTCACTCAACCTGATCCAGATCAAGCTCAACATCGCGGATCGTCATCGTTTGATAACATGTCGGGACAAACCGGCACTGACTCGCGAGCCACAAAGAGGAGCTCTGAGTCACCCGTCACCCGAAAGACGTGAAGCTGCCCTCCGATTGCGATCTAATCCCCCAGCTCATCACGATCCTGTTGACGTTCCTATCCACTCTGCGGGGTCTGGGCTCAGCTCCAATGCCCCGATGTCTGAGAAGGAGACTGATGACGGGATCAACTCTACGCCCAGGAACCGGAGACCCGGACTTAGCACTGTTGCCCCTGGGAATGGAGGGCTTCCATCAAATCAGCCGGTCAGCAACTCCCTCATCCCTGCATTCTTTCAAATCGGGACTCCCGGCTGCACTCCCGACAGGGAAGAACATAGGCGTGGAGCTCATGACGCTGATAGTCGTCCTGCCCCGTCTGCATCCACAAGTGACGACCATCCGGTTGCATCTGAGATACAGCGACTGCTTCTCGCGATCCACAACGAGGTCAAGGGGTGCAAGGCCGAAATCCAGGGATGCAGAACTGAGATTCGTTCATGCAGGGATGACATCAACGTTTGCGTCGGTGAAATCAAGAAGATCAATAACCGTGTTGATGCCTTCGAGAAGAAGGTTGAATCATCTTTTTCTGCCGTTGCCGGAACCCTCTCAAGACACGAGGCCAAATTCCGTGATTTCCACGAGTGGGTCGCCCGAAGCGAGAAGGAGATGAATGAGCGTTTCAAGATGTATGATGAGAGGTCCAACTCGATCGTCATATCCGCTGCTGAACTTCGCGAGCAGGCCGAGTCACTTGAAAACGTCAAGGTCCAGCTCCTTAGGTTCTCTGAGATTGGGGCCCTTGAGGCTGAAGTTCGAAAAATCAAGGACGAAGTTGAGGCGAACTCTCGCAGTGTCATTGACATTGAGGGAACCATCTCAAGGGAAAGAACCATCCGTGGGAACGTCGAGACGTATATCCAGCAGCTCGTTCCTGCGACCGACCTGAAGCAGTTCAGTGATAGGATGTCCGGAGCCCTCAATGAGAACTCACAGAAACAGGAAGAGTTCAAGCTTCAATTGTCCCGTATTGCTAGGTGCGTCAAGGACCTTCATGATAAAAGCCTAGGCCCCTATCCGAGGGACATGCAAGAGCAGTTTATGAAGCTTGTGTTGAGGGTCAATGAGATCAACATGCAGATCGCTGAGTTGAGGGAACAACCTCCTGCTGCCTGCGCATCTTCAAGTGCTGGCGCTGCTTCGATCACCGGGACGGGGCCATGGGAGAAATCTGGAGACACTGATCCCTTAACCCAGGGAAGGGCTCCTAGAGGTTCTCCTCCTCGTGATGCTCGCACCGTCAGCTCGGCGAGACCTCCTCCACCTCCTTCAGGGCCACCCCCACCGTCACCATCAGCCCCCATCTTTGGCAGGGATCCCTCTAGAACGAGGGCCGTTGCTCGAGCTGCCGGCGCTGCCCCTGATAACCGGGCCAGGTGCGCTCATGAGGAGCCCGGGCATCCACAGCATCGGGAACCTCGCTATCCATGCCGAAGCTGCGGCAAGTCAGTCTGCGAAGACTGCTTTGACCATGATTGTAACTCATGTTTCAGATGTAGCGATCAGTTTCCTAGATGCCGCGCATGCAGGGGAAGAGGGGGGAGACACGGACTTGTGACGTGTCTCATATGCAAGGATGAGTACTGCGATCAACACATCGCTTCGCCTGACGATGTGCGCCGTTTTGGGTCAGATGTTCGACCTATTTGCCTCGGCTGCTTGAGGGCTGACCCCGATGGGAAAACTAAACATCGTGGTCCTAGTGCGGGACCTGGAGGACCTGGTTGCATTCCTGACCATAATCAGCGGGATGGCACTGCTCCTGATCCTGGATCCGGGCCATCACGTGGAGATCCGTCACATCGGAGTCCTGAACCGCAACAAGGAAACTCTGGTTTCTGTTCCCACGCCGGAGCCGCCGGGCCAATGCCGCCGAGGGCAATGTCATCGCCCGTAGTCGGGCGAGCAGCTCCGAGGGGAACCATCAACACGTATCCCGGATGTTCCCCTACAGGGGGGATTTTCACTGGCCAGGCTGAGCATGGAACATCTCAGGGAGTCATTCGCGGAAGATACGGGCCTGACATTGCTGTGACAAATCAGCAGACTCCACTGCCTCACCACGGAGTACAGGATAACTCTGGCGGGCCAGCTGGTTTCTCTCTTCCACCGGGGCTCGGTAAGGGTGTGCATGGCGCCGGTGGTGTCGGCGGTATTGGAGCTCCCGACCTTCGCCGATCTTCCGCTGAGGAGAGGGTCTGCCCTCGATGCAACATCAATGTCAAGTCCAGCATCCCCGGGACACCTCCATGCTTCCAAACCTGTTCGTTGTGCCGCACTTCCTTGTGTTCCGCATGCTGCCCACCATCGTCTGGGAGTTGCTCTCTTTGTGCCATATCCATTGGCAGAGACGGCGTTCTACCTCCCCACGTTTTTGGGCAGGCTACTCGACCGCCCTTAACTTCGTTGCCATCTGAGGCGAACAAGTGCGCCAACATAGAGCTCGAGAAAGAGCCTGCACCGCACGAGTTGCGAGACTGGATCATTTCCACGAGAGAAATCGTGAGCAACGCATTCAGCTATGACTCGCCATATGCCATGTCTTGGGTCATGAGTGTCGAGAACGCCAACGCAATAGAGGAACTTGATGAAGAGTGCCTCTACCCGATCCTTGACAATAGGTTCAATGCTGCACTGAGAAAATGCATCACATCGAAACCTATAGTTGCCAAGATCAGCAGGCTGACTGAAGAGGCTCAGGTAAAAAGGGGAACGAGGCTGAAAAGCCGCCAGATCCTGTTCTGTCTAATTGAGTACCTTCGTCCTGATGAAGTCGGGAGCCA